TTTGCCGACGGTACACGCTACATTTTTAATTGACGTTGAGTGACATTAAGAAAAATAAATAATCATTTCTTTCTTTGTATTATATGTTGTTTTTCTTTTTTTTTTCGGAAACCCGTCGTTCCGACCGCTCTGATAGAAGTAGCTTGTCGATCGTCGGTGGTTTCAGTGTTAACAGAAAGTGGGAGACGCGAATCGCTTTTAACTACGCTACTAAACTCGCTAGATCTTCGTCAACGCAAAGTGGCTCGAACGCACATTACTAGTCACGGTGAACATTCATTACGCCTGAACACACCTCTCTTTTTGAACAATCCTGTATGCATGCGTGTAGCGTTCGTATATATTAATATTTACGTATATACACCGAGTATGAGACGCAATGGCCAAGCGTTTGTTCTTGATCAGACGATATAATCGCTACCGACAACAATATTAAAACTCTGCCGCGGTCTGCAAAGGCGAAGCCGTCGTCGCGCGTGCCGCTCTTCGAAACTGACGCGTGTCTTTCTTCCCTGTTATGTACAAATCGTGTCGCTTCTTTTCCGCCGAGTAGAAAATCCTTATGATGCGTATATTTAAAAGATATATTGTTATACATATATGTTTATATATATATATATATTATATATATTCACGCGCGCGTGTGAGATCTTACGGTGTAATAGTAAACGAGAGGGAAACCCAATCATCATCGCAACTGATGCAACCTGACTAGATAAGTACAATTAATTGATAAACGACGGCGCACAGCGGGGCAAATCACCGAAATCTGCGGCCAAAACCCCTAATGTCTTGTCGATTTCAAAATTGCGCTGTTTGCGCTCTTATTTCAATGCTCGATCTGTGCAATTATAAGCACAACCGCGCGAAATATATCTGCTCACGTCATCAGTATATTACATCATAAAATTTTAAACGCGTCAGTTTAGTTTTTCTAAAAACATCTCAGAATGTATCCTTCAAAAGAGATATATCTTAAGAAATTATTTCTCAGAATTCATCTTTCATTTGAGATTTCAAAATTTCCTAGTGACTTCCGCGAGTCTGGATGCGATGCGTCGAAATCTTTCGGAGTATATCGTCACGCTAAAAATCACGTGTCACATGTATAGTTTTGCCCACAAATTCGGTCCGCCGTGCGGCGGCTGCGAGTGTCACGTTCTGCGACATTTCGCAATGACGAGGCCGACCAGGCTATGTAAACGCCTTAATCACCGTAACCGCAGGTCTTTGCTCGTACGATTTTCAATCTTACGCGTTATGCGCCTGCATGCAGGTGTAAGGTTGAAAAACGCAAGGGACTCCAGGTGAGCAGGTGTCGAGGCAATTTAGCATTTCGACGTACAAGTTGTGCTACAACGTTAACGATAATAGATAGAAGCGACGATTGTTTTAATACTATCGTTAATCGTTGCTCGTGTTTTCAACACACACACACAAGTGATCATTGCACTCTCAATGCACTTCGGAATAACCGTCGGACCTGATCATTAGAAAATATCGCGTCGCTGCGTATGCAATATTTACAATTATCCGAGTAGAATTTTGTCGAGGGAGAGAAAGGGAGAGGAAGGGAGATCCCCTTCTGATCGCGACGACACTCGCGCGACGACGACACCTCCGTCTTTGCAGATCGCGATTCACGCTACGTCGTAAAATGCTACACACGACAGAACAAACTTTTATCTAATTAGCGGTGCGAGCAGTCCCGATTCGGTCGGAGTCCTACGCGACTCCGTCGTCGATTGGCCACTTCGTATTACGGCGAATAGAAGCGCCGTTGGGCATGCCCTGATCGAAAATTTCGAAAGCGCTACTTATTTATTACCTAGCGTACGCGAATGTGCGAACGCGTTCGACGATAAAATTTGATTAATAAGCACAAAATCGCGCGAGTCGACTGTAACCGGTGCTGTCCAGTACATTCGCGAGGAGATGCGCGATTCATGAGGCTCTTTCGCCGAGCACCACAGTCGAACGACACCGCGTGTGCGAGAAGTGACAGAAATATTGTCACAGAGAAAAAGAGAGAGAGAGAGAGAGAGAGATTCGATTGACGAGTGCAAACGCACGGGACAGCATCGAGGATACACTCGATTGCACGTTCACATCAATCTCGACTTACACAAAGTACAAACAGTAATACAATCGGTGATCCGAAAATATGTTGCTCGAATGTATGATGTTTTCGTTACACGTAACACGAAGCAAAGAAATATCGAACAGAGCTATATATTTGAACTTACTGAGAAATGCAAAGTCCGGCCTAGTCATACAATGAGACGAACGGAAAGCGTAAAGAGCAACGGGCTTTTCCTTCCTCCCTCCCTGCCAATTGTCTGGTCGAGAGACCTGATGGTTTCTTCCTTTTTTCTTTTGAGCTGTGAGAGGACGGCTGCATCGCACGTTTCATTTGTGTAAAAAGTAAGCGTACACCTCTCACTGTTACAGAAACTCGCTGACTGAACAATTGACTGATTAAAAACTGGATGACGCGCTTCTGCGCTCGGAAGGAAAATCGGGCCGTTTCTCACGATGTCCGTTCGGGATGACAATGTTATCGTATAGTCACGCAAGAAGAAACACCCTTACAATGTATGACATAGCAGTGTTAGAATATACATATAAATACGTTTATATATAGTGCTTTTACCCTACAATCGAAATGATCCAAACATTAATACGTTCTTCTTCAGACGCTGACGCGACAATCCGCGGAAAAAATCGATTCACTTTGTTATGTCACTATAAGAGAGTTTGTCGCAGTTGTCGTGGAAGATGTGAGATATACGAGTTCGCCTCTGAGTGAGAAAACGCTTAACGATACAAATCGTGGTACAAATCAACGAATCGTGCATGTTGGTCGGCCGGAGGAAAGGCACCGATAATCATGTGTCCGTAAAAACTCGATGAGTCTTAACACTTTGAATCCGTCGTCCGTGCGGCAGGTATGTAGTACATTTTTCTTTTTTTACATTTCCACTCTTGCATCTCGTTACGAGATCTTCTGTTATTCATCTCGTCGGTCTGTTAACCCGGTAAACAACAATCGGTAACGTTCTATCAATCAATATTGTTTTTCGCTTAACAATGTAACTGTTGCGTATAACACGCATTACATTACATTTACATTGCTGAATGAGAAATTACAATATCGGTTGTACCGTTGATGTCTACTGGGAATCGCCGTATGTTTGGTCCTCGTACACACGTACGATTCCCTGATGCCCAGATTGCGATAAACTTTGATCAAGAATATTATACGCGCGCATATTTAACGGATGACGATGGTGCATCGTGCGACACAGGGTTCAAAGTGCTAAGATACCACTCTAATGAAAAACGGGGTAAGTACAAAATGCTTTTGTGCTGCACGTAAACCACATCGTTCGCTCTTAATCGCATTATGATATTCCGTCTTGTCCGCGTAGCACTCCAAATTTTCGTGTATAAAAGTATCGTTTTTTTTTCCTTTTTTATTCTCTCCGTTATTTTACTGCATTTTATGGTTGAATATGTAAGATATACGCGTTATTCTCAAATATGATTTCCGCTGTATAAAGTAATTAACTAACTATTACTTATCATTAATAAAGAATACGTTCTCGTCGCATTCGATTTTTCGTAATTTTCTTTACATTTGAACACAGTGACAAAGTTTGGAACATTTCAAATGTTGAGCATCTCTTTATATATATATATATATATATATATATATATATATATATATATATGTATATGTATATATATATATATATATATATATATATATATATATATATATATGTATATGTATATATATATGTGTGTATATATATATATATATGTATATGTAAGAATATTAAAAGAATATGTCCGAATGCAATATTGCTTTATTCTACATATATATATGCACACATTGTGTGTAATATATCTATATATATATATATGTATATATATATATATATATTTATATTTATATAGACTTTCCATACTCCCCTATATAACAACAACATAACTTCTCTGAATAAGTTTCAACAAATTGAACACAAAAATCCCTACGCTAAGTCAGATACGATGCATTTAGTGAACAATGCTAACGATATAAAACATTAAAGTGGCAGAATAACGCTATATACGAGACGACCCATTTTCAACGCATCAATTTCTCTCGTCATAACGGAGGCGCGCAACAATCATGTCGTGGTGAATCATCTTAATCTTATCTTTATTGTACATAAAAAAGAATTCTTCCAAGATATATCGTTCGTCGTAAACGTTTCGTATGCTTATTTTACACATTATATTTTATATTATTTCTTACACTAAATACACTTAAACAATTCTAAAAATCGCTATATATCTTCATTTTATAACATACAATATAACATCTCGGTGTAAATAATTTTATATCTGTAAATAAAATTCTGTAAAGTTTACTTTTTAATTTGTTCTTGATCTTCATGGCTATTTTTTGTACTTAATATTGGCTCTATCTCTCCTCTCCGTACCTATTTGTAAAAAAGAAATCGAAACGACAGCTATGTTACAATTTAAATATCAAGAAAAAAGATCTAGTTACTCTTTAAAATCAAGAATGGCTCCAATAAGGACATCTCTGTAACGCACACCAAAGTAAAATTGCCTCCGTTATGCGAAATAAATAATGCGTGAACATTATGACGAGTCACCTTGTGTCGATTAAAATGTCGTCTAGTGCAGTCTACTTACTGATGCTTATGATACCCATCTAGAATAATGTTTGTCATTCGTGTATAAAGACTATTGTGTCATTCAGTAACAGTGATATACCAAGTCGCACTATTTTCGCAGCGACCGCGATAATAATTCTATTATGCAACGTTATGTGTAACGTATTTCCTCCGATCCCAGTGATCCTACCGTATTACATAATAACCGCTCAAGAGAACGTAGTGTTTCTACTATTGATTATCGAAGTAAAAATGCACCCTGTACTGGGATCTACGGACATTTTGTTGAAATTGCGAACAGTGTTCATGATGTCGTGTGCACACGCAAGAAAAGCTATTCCTTCGAAGGGACTGACGTGTCGTCGATTGTACGCACACCTTGCGTACACCTTGAGAGAAGACTGTATGTACAATATTATTGATCTATCAATAACATCTAAATTAAAGATTCGCATATTCTCAGCGCCCGCATGATTTTCAAAATCCTTCCTTCTACCCGCTCGCAATTCAACTTTAGCGATTCTTACAACATAGATCTCGTGTAAATAAATAAACTAACAATATTAAAACCTCATGCATTTCGTTTTGATATATTGCACACGATAGGAGCATCGATCTCGAAGGAACAACTGATCTTACAGAGTAGATCACGAGTGAGCATTGCACATTATATTGCACGTTTTACAATGTCACTAATGTATTTACGGATGTGTACATACGTATATGTGTATACACGCACACACATACATGTATGTACATTTACATACATACTTGTATGTGTTATACGCGAACGCGCGTGTATGTGTGTGTCTGTATGTGTACGTATAAAAGACAATACCACATTTAAAATGAAAGACGTATTATCGAATAAAGCAAACGTACATTGTATAAAAGTTAAAACGAGTATACAGGAGGGCCATCTACTTCAATATTTTCAACAGATTCGCACGCATAGAATCGCTCAGTCAGACCATCCCGTCTACTATCGATGTCATCATAAATTGTTCATAATACGCACGAGGAACAAGATAACAAGGTGATCGAATATAAGGTAAAAAGATACCAACACCGGAGCATGTAAACAGACGTTACATCTGGTTCTAGGCATTTTTATTTTGGTCTTTTAAAACATTTCGGTTCGGGTTTCGAACATTTAAACTTTTAACATAGAATACATATATATATATTCTATATTAAAAACTTAACTGTTCGGACTTAAAGGCCAGACTAATAATGCCCAGAATCAGGTAAGCGTCCCGACTTAATACTTTTACTTTACATGTAGCCGGTGCCGTGTTAATAAATTCGTCGTGTAAACTTCACGTTGAACGTGACGAGAATAACGATATACTTAATTACAGGCGCGGCGTTAATGTTCATTTCGGCAGTCGTTATATTTAATGTATTATTGAGATCGTCGCGATGCAATCTCGATATAAACTCGGCGATGAGATGTTTCTTCTCATTTCTCTTCTTGTTTCTCGTGCAAAAACGTAATTTCTCTACCAAGCACAGATAAATAGAATTGCATTCACATCGTTATTTCCTCTCCCTTCACCAGTGCACGGTAAGGGTAGAACAAAGCTTTTTCACACTTTGTTAGACGACATTATAATATATACACATATCTCGTGAAAACAGATTTACCAAGCGGAACAGATGCCATGGATTACACTGAATGTGTGTGTGTGTGTGTGTATGTGTGTGTGTGTAGTCACGTTCATCACTAACAATTACTCATTATATATGTACACGGAACAAAAGGTAACTTTTCTTCAAGCATTTCCTACGGAACGTCGTTTTTTCGCGTAACTCACTGCACGATTGTATACTAGCTTATGCATGTATATATTAATATACGTATACATAAGTGAATATACAACAAGTATATATGCTTTCACATACGACATATGTGTATATAAATATATTTGAAAGCATTTAGAAATATATTTATATAAACACGCACGTATGAAAAAGCAGTGCAATAAGGTACAAGAAGAAACGGGAAATCCTTTTCCGCTTTCCATCGTAACATATAGCGGGGGGCGAGATAAAACTCTATTGTGTTTGTTAAATATTCGTCATATCGGAACAAAAGACAGGCTATTTTTTGCTCAAATAATTATAAAAAAAGTACAATTTACCTCTCGCAATTACAATTCTACAGAGAAGACAATCAGTTTTTCCTCCCATTCTTCAATATATTATATACCTCTCTCTCTCTCTCTCTCTCTCTTTCTCTCTCAAACAATGTTTATTTTAAGTGCTATCTCGACAATTGACCGAAGAAATAACTATCGTGTGGTGATATGACATCTATTTTCATTTCGCGCACGCCTAACGCGTCGTTTTACTAATTCTACTTAAAAATCGCACTACTAGTATCTACCATCAGTTTTTACAAGCAACCTTGCATCCGGAGAATTGAACATCTATTACTCCAATTTATCGTTACGTTATGTGCAACTCACAATAATGCATGTATCTTCTCGTTCATAAAAAATCGTAAGCCTTAGTCGTACTTCGAACAAGGTCATTTGTAATTACAGGATGGATATAATTTTCGTCACTGAAACACGTTAACAAACCTGTTTTCAATATATTAAAAAAAAAAAAAATCATTCGATCATTCACCGTCTACGCATTTTACGTACGTATCTCTTTACATAAATGCGAATATGTCAATTAAAAAAATTTTCCCTTCCCCTTCATTGTCATTGTCAAACGTAATACTTATAACGATTCCCAAGTTAAAACGATATAACACGCACTTTACGCGAGACGAGTCCACTACTTTTGTCTCGTGAACTCTGAATCAGAACAAACGGGTTTCTTAACGGTTTCTTTGAGAGCGATTTTTTCTTTATACTTTAAGAGCGGCTTTGGGAGACCAGTGATGGAAACGGGCGGGTCCTGCGGGATATGAAGGCGGGTGTATCCACTTGTTGCCACGATGGCCGATAAAGGGCGGTGGAGAGGGTCCGGCTAGAAACTGAGGAGGCATTATGTTGTACCATGGCTGGCTTATCGGATGAGGACCGTAGCCCATGCTGAAGGAGTGACCGAACCACGAGCGGTTTCTGTTCAGGTGCAGCCGAGGGCTATTCAGATTACGTCTCCTCGCTGTACCGTTATTGCTATGCTGCTGATTTTGATTAGCGGAACTCAGCGGTTTTGATTTCGCCTGTTGTTCTGCGCCGATGTTTAGGGGGGATTTCTAAACACATACATTTACTTGAGTTTAAATTTATTTTTGATCATCTTTCTCTCGGGGAAAAATTTCGTGTTTGTATAATCTTGAGTATAAAAAAAAAAAAGAAGAAAAAGATATGCATATATATGCGATGTTGATGAGATACATAATGTGGGGTAAAATATTGATACTCTTCTTTCCTCCTCACAGATTCAGTCACAAAGATATTCTTACACTAATAGTTTCGGAGATACTCAGTCTTTCCATTTGTAAGTCAAATCTTCTTACACATATATGTATAAAAGTATAATGATTAATATTTAGTATCTTGAAGGTTCAGCGTGTCAATCATTGATTTCTATCTCTTCAGAATGGATTCTTAAACTTTATTTACTGCAAGATCTTTGAAAAAAAAAAAGAAGAAGAAAGTTAAAAAGTCGGTTCGCTGTGGACGATAAAATTCAAGAGACAACGTACCTAACACCTTATTTCATCTAGAACCTTATTCCACGTCGCATGTTTATCACTTTTGAAAAATATCATTACTATATACAATGATTGACAGTGAAGCATGTTGACCAGTGCTCTCGTATTTACATAAAACAAAAAGAAAAAAAAAAAGTAAATGCATACGTGAGATTCCGTGGATGTAAGTGAAATTTTGTTGCATCCAGAATAAGGTCATTCACGTATTTTCACAGATTAGATGTCCAACTGGTAATTAACGGCATATATAATGACCCTCATTGGAAGTTTCTCTCCTCTCTATTATTACACGTACGATTGCACAGGAAACTATTGATTTGCAAATCAACTTGATTATCTCCGAGACCTTCTCATGGGGACGACACCTTACACTTCAGTATTGCCTACCTGTATCTTAGTGGGCCCCATGAACTGCTTGTTCTCTTCTTCCGCATTCTCATTATCGAATAAGGGTGCAGTGTTCTCCTTGTCATCGAACGACGCCAAGGTGCAGTAAGAACCCTTGCTCTCGCCGAACCGACAAACAACTTCCTTAGGATCGACCCAGAGCGTCAACTCCACAGGCAAGGATAGATCCTCGTATTTGACACCGGCGGCGTTTGCGGCACTCTCCAAGGTCGCGTCCCTGCGATTGTGGCCGTTGACGCGGATGCAACGGTAACCCTGGCCCTTGAACGGCTTGTCGGGGAACCAGTGGTTCTTGAATCGTTCCGTCAACAGCTCGACCAGCCGCCGCTTGAAGCATTCCAATTGATCGGGACTAAATTTTTCGTTTTTTTCGATCAGCTGTACTAAGAAATGTACCGCCGCTGTAATTTCGTTGCGCATGTTGTCGCTGTCCTTGGCCTGGATTACAAGCTGCCGGTGTGCACCTGCCGCGATACCACAATGCGAGACTCTCGGAAACTAAAGTACCATTCGCCCAAGTCGACGTGGAGCACATAGAGCCCTTCTGCACCGTCGCAGCGCTTGAATTCTTCAAGATCTATGTTTCCGACGTGTATTGTCCGCGTCTCGGCTGCACAATCGTCACTGTTGTGTCCAATTCTATCACAATTTTACAGCTCTTGTCCTCTACCAATACCGCCGTAATCTGTATACAAAGAAAATACACGATATATTACATCATCCTATCATACCTCTGAATGTTTCACCCCTCTAGATAAGAGGCTTTCACAATTTGATGATAAGGTATATCTGAAAAAAGAAACTCAATAAACATTCCAAAACTACCGGTTCAACAGACAGAAGAACACGTGTGTATTTATGATATGCCACACGCGCGCACACACACATATATACACGCACACACACACACACAGGTGTGCATATGCACATCCCGAAATGCGAGACGAATGATTGTATGCAAATAACAATATACTTTCTGTTAATTAAGATTCCCGAGATGATCTCGAGCGTTATGAGTCAATGCAAATGTGCGTGAGCCTTCAAACGCAAAAATCTGATTCACCCACCGATCCTGCCTGACCGGGCGCTCGGTAAAAACTAGAACGCGAGATGCGTTCCACTTTCCAGCGAGCAGTGAACGGTCGTTCGAAGACACGCCGTGCGCGTCTCTTTGTTTGTTTGTTTGTTTGTTTCTCCGTACCTGCGTGCACGGACAGGCACGTGCGTGTCGCGGAGGCGGAAGCACAGGCGATAAAGCGTGGCCGCGATGCACGTCGCAAACGCTCGTTCGCAAGCATGACGCGGCTGATCGCGACGAAACCCACTGCAATATGTTATGCTCACACGCGCCAAGTTATAGACAACGCGATGATAGCCGAGTAGGTTAGGAGAAACGTCTGTCAAAGCGGGAGCGCGTGCGAACTGCATCGCTCGTTCGACTGTGTCCCTTAATCGCGACGCGGACCGCCCGCGAAATTCGCGCACGCGGTCGCATTCGCGACGCACCGTCGCCGCGGGCTAACGCAACGCGACAATTTGTGCCAGCTCATTGCTGTCGTACCACCACGTCGCGCCGTACGGACGATCTCACCACCGCGATATTGTGCTTTCGAGTATCACGCGGACGCGCTCGCCGTTTATTATTCGCGCACATTGCCCTGGTGAACGCGCCGCTGCCCGAATCGAGCGGTAATGATGTTAATTGATAGGCGATATTACAAATGAATCTTACGAGTCAGTGACGAAAATTCCGTGCGTGTTGCTCTAGTGAAACTACTACGTCTTCCCTCTTCCTTTAAATAAAGCAGTCGAACCCCCAACACGTGTTACGTCGCACCAGGCAGCCACGGGTTGAAACTTTCTAGTGAATCGAGAAACTCGCTCACCGGGCCGGAACCTCACAGAATGAGTGTTCGCCCTTAGCATACGAATATGTGCTCGTGAACGATATGTGATTTTTTGCGTGAGCTTAGAACGCACTCGTTTCGCCCAATAGCGGTAAGCTAAGACTCCATGCATGCGGTGAGCTCCGGCAAACGGCTGCGGTGACCAATCAGGAGACAGACGCATGCCGGAGCTTGCCGCAACCGGACTTGCGCCTCCCTCCTGATTGGTCACCGCAACCGTTTGCCGCAGTTCACCGCATGCATGGAGTCTTAGCTGTATTCTTTCATCAGAAGATAATGGGTGCATTCAGTACTACAACCGCTCACTGAGCGCTAAGTGAGCTCTTGCATCTGATTGGTGTATATTTTTAAATCTAAAGGTATATACCAATCAGATGCAAGAGCTCATTTAGCGCTCAGTGAGCGGTTGTAGTACTGAATGCACCTATTTGGTCTGTTCTTTTTAACTGCACTGCGGAACTAGTGCAATAAGTTAAGCTAGCGGCACACAATGATTAGGGGTCTGTTCTTTATAGCTACACTGCTGAACTGGTGCAGTAAGTTAAAATGAGACAACTATATTTCTTCTCACTCAAATTTATTACACTAGTTCAGCAGTGCAGCTATAAAGAACAGACCCTTGGCCTGTTCGTTTTGTCTGCACTACTGAACTGGTGCAATAGGTTGAAGTGTGATAGGTGAGAAAACCTATGTTTGTCTCACTTTAACTTAATGCACTAGTTCAGCAGTGCATACAAAACGACAGGCCTCTTGTTTTCGTGCTGGATTGCTTGCTGGATGAAAATACTGCGTTCTGATTGGTACATTTCCGAAGATGGATAGAAATGCACCAATTAGAATGCAGTATTTTCATCCAGCAAGCAATCCAGCACGAAAACAAGCACCGTGTGCCGCTGGCTTTAGGGCCAGAGCACAGACTTCTGCATAACGCTTAATACACAACGCATAAGAGAATCAACCAATCAAAGTTCTTCATTTCTATCTTTAGGAGGGAAATGAAGAAAACTATTGGGTATGGGAATAAGTTTTAATCGTTTCCCCATAGATGGCATTAATAGTATCGCTTGCATCTTTTCTAACCCTTCGACACATGGATTTAAAAGGTGTATATGTAAGTTGTTAAACGCAGTATAAGACTTTTGTTTGGAGTGCAAACAGCAAATATTCATATCGCATCGAAAATGTCGGAATTTGTTCCAAAAAAGCAGCATTTGCGGGAAGTTCTTCTCCACTACTATCTTTTGAAGAAAAGTGCTGCGGAAACGTGCCGTTTGCTTGTGGATGTTTACGGCGACCATGCTCCATCGGAGCCAACTTGCAGATATTGGTTTCAACGCTTCAAAAGTGGTGATTTCGATGTCAACGACAAAGAACGCGATGGTACCCCAAAAAAGTTCCAAAATGAGGAACTTGAAAAATTGCTTGATATTGATCCATGTCAAACACTTGAAGAATTGTCTGCAGCATTGGATGTTGATCGATCCACCGTTGGAAAACGCTTACATGCGCTGGGAAAGGCAGGAAATTGGGTACCACACGAGTTGAAGGAAAGGGACATTGAAAGGCGCTTGATCATGTGCGAAATGTTGCTTCAACGACAAGAAAGAAAGAGTTTTTTGCATCGGATCATCACTGGCGATGAAAACTGGATTCACTACAACAATCCTAAACGCAAACTAGCATGGGTGAAGCCAGATGAACCAGGTCCATTAACGCCAAAGCGCAATATTCACGAGTCAAAGGTCATGCTCTGTATTTGGTGGGATATGCGGGGTGTAGTCTACTATGAGCTGCTGAAACCGTCCGAAACTATCAGTTCCCAACGTTACCGACTTCAACTAATGTGTTTGAAACAAGCTATTCAAGAAAAACGGCCGGAATGGCACGATAGACACGAGAAGCTGATTTTGCAGCACGACAACGCTAGGCCATATGTTGGTCAACCCGTCTGGACATATCTAGAAGGGGTGAAATGGGAGGTCCTACCCCACCCGCCGTATTCACCAGACATTGCCCCTTCAGACTATCATTTGTTCCGGTCGATGCAGGCTGCGTTCCGAAATTCACTGCCAGTACTGAAAATACATAGTTTGTATCACGTATACTATAGAATTTCAGTGCTGGCAATGAATATCGGAACGTAGCCGCAGTCGGCACTTACTGGAGAGCGCTTCACCTCATATGACAGCATACAAAAATGGGTCGATGACTGGATCGCCTCGGAAAAAATAGAATTCTTCACTCGAGGAATTTGTTTATTGCGCGAAAGATAGGCGAAGGTTGTCGCTTCAGATGGAAAATATTTTGAATAAAATCATTTAATATTTTCATATTCAAGTTATGTTTTTTGTCTACATAAAAAACGATTAAAACTTATTCCCACACCCAATAATTGGTTTATTCTTCTATGCGTTATGTATTATGTGTTATGCAAAAGCCTGTGCTCTTGCTCTTAGAATGAGACAACTATATTTTTCTCACTTTAACTTATTGCACTCTTACTTATTGTTTGAACTTATTGCCAGTTCAGTAATGCAGCTAGAAAGAACAGACCAAATGGTTGCGTTTCGATATTCACTGCCAGTACTGAAAATACATAGTTTATGTCACATATACTATAGATTTTCAGTGAATATCAGGGGAAGCACCCAATTCGGCATAGCATGATTGCACACAACCAACCGATGCAAAGTATTATCTTGTGAATTACTAGATCCAACCAATCATTTACTTTGTGTCCAATCGTGCTGTGTCGAATAGATACGCACCCGAATATCGGAACGCAGCCAAATTCTCCTATTAAACTAGCAGAGAGAAGAAGGAGAGAGGTCACGGGCCGCTTTTAGCCGAGCCAAGTGCGAAGCGCTCTGTACAACCGTGCACATGAACTAACGATGCTAGTATCCACGATTCTTTATTGATTTCCCCCACCACACACGCACACATAGCCGGCTCGGTCTATTCGTGTGACACGGATGAGCATCGATGTCCTTGTCGCACCACCGATGAGCATACGCGTGGCGCGGAGGAAGCACGAGGCAACTCAGCGGCAGATCTTATCGCCAAACTAGGCTCTCTCTCGTCTTGCCCCTTTGCCTCCTCATTTTTCACGCATTATCCGCAATTCGGAAAGAAATATTTCGAGATCGCGCGAACAATTTCTAGCAATGGCAGCATTCAGCAGACTCAACAGTTGGACAACATTACTAGATTTTCCATTGAATCTCGCTCCTGATTGGTAAATACTTCTGAGTCTATGAAGAATCTAAAAGAATGCTTCAATCACAGACAATTATCACTAAGCGCTCTCTAATCACTTTGTTCTACTGAACGCGGCCAATGCACTCTATGACTCCTCTCCTTCTTCTCTCTGGAACTAGACAGACGTATTCTGAAACTCACACAAATAATTACTGATTATCTTTCTTTCCGTAAGTGCATCGGGGAAAGTTTGGAACATTTTTTTCTGATGCACTTCGGAACGCGACTAGTAATTCAGAAGAATTTGTGTTTGTACAGTTCGTAGAGAGTACAAACATAAAGAACAGACCTTAATTATATATAAATAGTTAGCGTGGTCGCTCTGTCTTTTCTTTGATGATAAAGATGCAGAAAAGTGCGCCAAATATTTTAATAACAGGTACGCAATAATATTATCATTTTATTATATGATTTTATTTGTGCATTGTTTTACGTAAATTCTGAATATTTATTTAAGATAATGTGTTTTCCAGGTACACCTGGTGTGGGCAAAAGTCTAATGGCTCGTATGTTATCAGACATAAGTGGATTAACATGGATAGACATCAATAAATTAGCTATAGAAAATGGATGCTTGAAGGAATACGACGAGATGTATCAATGTAGAGTGTTAGATGAAGACGAAGTAAGAATTTTTTGCCAACATATATATAAAAATATCTGGCTACTGAGTATACATTCTTACAATTTTTTAGTTGCTAGATGGAATGGAGAATTTTATGAGCGAAGGAGGAAATATCGTAGATTATCATGGTGCTGAATTGTTCCCTGAAAGATGGTTTGATATTGTATTTGTACTCAGAACAGACAATACCATCTTATATGACCGCCTTAAAGAAAGGGGTTACAGTGGCAAGAAATTGGAAGATAATATAGATTGTGAAATTTTTCAAACCATTCTCGAGGAGGCAAAGGCATCTTATAGGGAAGAAATAGTACATGAATTAGTAAACAATAACAAGGATCAGTTAGTAGAAAATATACATAGAGTATGTCAGTGGTTACAACAATGGAAAATAGATAATGCACAAACATGAAGAGTTGAATATTTATGTGTTAACATTTATCATGTACCTCTATTGTTTTGTACTTTCCTGCTATCATTAATTAGTAAAGTTCAATATGTATATACATATTATTATATGGGAAATGGATGTGTTGACTTGGTATTTACTCATTTCTCATAGTTAACAAATATATATAATTGTACATATATACAATCTAGGATATATTTTATGGATAAATATGCACATATATATTATACATGTAATATACAGTAACATTTTTATTTCTTGAAAAATCCTTAATGTCTTGAAAATATTTTATAATGGTTAACATTCGTATTTTTTGTAATATATTTATTCTATTATACCTAAGTCATGCTTCAACTTCTTTAACCTATTATTTATGCTGTCATAATATTTCATTCTTGTTAACATTTCTGTTGCTGCTTCAATATCTTCTTTGTGAAATGCTTCTGCTACTTGTCTGATAAAGATATTAAACATAGACTATCAACTAATATAACGTCATAGATTCAAATTAATGAAAATTGAAATTACCTTGACAGAGTATCGAGTTCTTCTTTAGATTTTTTAGCTAATTCTAAAATTTTGTTTTTATCTTCTATTGCACTTTCTATTTCCTCATTACGTTCCATAATCTCCATGAGAAATTCTGGATTCAAGCTGGTGGTTTCTTCTGGTATAGATACACCTTTTAATTGTAACATATATAATCCCCTTTTTAATGGATGTGCCAATGTACTATAAGCTTTATTTACTAGAGATGATAAATTCTCTGAGATTTGCTTTTCCTTCTATTGACAATTAAAAAGAATTTTATTTACAGATGCAAAAAGCAAGACTTATAGATAATCAAATCATAAAATTGAGTAGAAAATTTTAAGTTTCAAACAACATATAAACTTCTGAGCCAATACTTGCCTCAGATTTATTACCAAATTTATCAGGATGTAGCATTTTTTGCAACTCCCTATATTTTTTATGAATGTCTTCATTCACCACATTATAATCTTTCTTGATTCCCATGATGTCAAAATAACTCAAATTCTGTGGCAATTCCTGTAATACTTTGCACTTTGAACAAAACAACTCTGATTTATACATGTAGTCACAATTCCAACATTTTGGCGGGCTGTCACTGCAGAATCGCAAACCTCCAATTAAAGATATTGTAGATTGTGCTATAGTTTTTGATGTATGATACGAGTACAGTTTACACTGTTGTTTGACTGGATTTAGTACTACATTGGATTTCTTTATGATTTTTGTCAAGAACATTTTGTCAGTAGAATCTTCATAACCTATAACAAAATATCTTCTGTAAATGCACAATATAGTTTAAAAAAATGTTATTTCACGCTATTATTTATAAAAAAAAACTTTATTTTCCAAATAAAGAAATCGATAAAATATAATAAATATTTCTCTTGCAAATACGTATCAATTCCAATTACTTGAGTTATTCTTCTTGAGTTATTAATGTTATATGTACTAATAGACATAAATTCTATCTAGTGACAGGTGATGCAATACACTAATACTTTTTTTCTAATAAGATTTGTAATCCATGAGATTTGTATCTAATAGGAAAATGTTTTTTTATTAATTTTCAAAAGAGACAAGTTTTTTTATTGCATACCGTATGCAGTTTGAAGTTCGTCGAAGTAAAAGTATTGTAACTTTTCTATTATTGACAAAAGAAGTTTCCTCGTTCGGTAGGCCCTGTTCAGTTCAACGCAACCTCTCAACCTTCAAGCGGAAGCGTCGCTCTACACATAACTTTACTTTGACCAATACTCTCGCACCCATCACGAAAAGATCAGCCGAGGGGCTTCCTTTCCTGTTCGCGAACGGCACGAGGCTAATAGCAATTATGTCTACGGCACTTTCTGCCACGGGTCCAGGGACCTTCCTCAGAGCATGTGTGTAAGGAGTCATTAAAAGACCCTGTTTGGAGCTCCGTAGTGTCACCCGAGGGAACTTCGTCCACATCTTCAAAAGAACAATATATATGCGAAACATGTTCAAATAAGTATTATCGAGAAACTACAGATTAAATTCTTGACAGAATAGTTTGGACGTCAAATAGTGCCATCTAGTAGTCATTGCGCAAACATTTTTAGTTGATATAATCGTGGTCTACAAAAACTAAATAAATGAATAAGACATTACATATGGGATATACGTACAAGTATATTTCAAATAATACAACAAGCTATCCTGAACGTATCTAAAATATCTGGAGAATACTTAAGAACATCCTAATCAATCGAGATCGTAGCATGATTCAATGGTAAGTCAGATTTCTATGCTCAAGTAGTACGAATCAACGGCAGACAGGAGCCTTTTTATTTTTAAGTGGTATGATTTAGCGACGAGTAAGATATACTTTTGTTTTCAACTTTGCAATAGATTAAAAATCGATTTACCTGTTGCAATCAATTAGATATAAATAAAATAAAATTCACACTTTTCATTATATAGACGGATAAGAAATGAGGAAGGCGAGAGTAGTTAGTGAGACTTCCATCTCTTCAATGCACATACACGTACGCATACATGATGCAAGTGCAGTGAATTCGATGCGCTTTAGTGCGTAACGTTGGAGCAATGGCCAGTCCGAGCGATATCTTTGTTGGTTGACAGTTGACACGTGCTGGGATGCGAACTATCGGGTGTTCATTTGCAAGTTATTATCCGCTGCGATAATTGCAATCTCATGACTTCCGTTCTGATAAAACGTTATCAGAAAGCTTACCGGAGCGCGATGATAACGACTGCATAGGTGAGTTTTTGGTTACCTGATGGACACACAACAGATGGTCTGCGAGGATCATCATCTTTGTTAAATTTACGTTATTGTATTTTGAGCGGATGAATAAGAAGTCGAATTATGATTGCAAATGCGAATCGTAATTAAATCGCTCATGTTTAACGTGTTTTGCAGGATTTGACAGAGTGCAAACGATCAAGCGCGAGTCCAAAAGCCCTTTTTCTTTAGAGGAGTAAGATGGGAGATCAACAGCAGCAGCAGTTGAATAACTTGATCAAATGGTTAGACACATTCGACCTTCAGGCGCCACACAACTCAGCAGAGGATATAAGCGATGGAGTCGCTTTAGCAGAAGCCTTGGCTCAAATCGCACCAGAATGGTTCACAGTAGTATGGAAAGCAAAGATCAAGACTGACGTAGCTACCAATTGGCGTCTCAGAGTGAGCAACATGAAGAAAATTGTAGAGGCTGTGATGGAATACTATGTGGAGTGCTTGAACCAGCAATTATCTGGTTATATCAAGCCAGATGCAACCAAAATTGGCGAGCATTGTGACAGTGATGAGTTGCGTCGTCTGCTGCAGCTGATTCTGGGCTGTGCTGTCAATTGTGACCAGAAGCAGCAATATATTACTAGGATAATGAGTATGGAGGAGACTGTGCAACAGGCGATAATGCAAAGCATTCAGGAGCTAGAGAGCAGTGTTCATGGGCCCAGGCTGAGCTTAGGTACTAGTCTAAATTTCGAACCTATGGATATGGCTGATGGTATTCAGCAGAGACTGTATGCTGAGCTACAGACAGCAGTGGATATGAAAGATCAGCTAGCACAGAGATGTCACGAACTTGACCAACAATTGTCTCTGCTGCAAGAGGAGAAAGCTGCATTGATTGTGGAAAACAAGAAGCTCCAAGAGCGACTGGATGAATTTGAAAACCCAGAAGAATCAGGCTCTATCTTGAAGTACTCTGGTCTGCGAAAACAGGCAGAAGCACTCAAAGACGAGCTATTCAAGGTGGAAACCTCTAGAGATGATTACAGATTGAAGGTGGAATTGCTGGAAAAAGAGGTTTTGGAGTTACAATTGAGGCAAGAGGACCTGCAGAAGGCAGCTGATGAAGCCAATCACTTGAAGGATGAGGTGGATGCTTTAAGAGAGACTGTGGACAAGGTGGCCAAGTACGAACTCACTATAGAATCGTACAAAAAGAAGATGGAGGATATGGGCGACCTCAAAAGGCAAATGAAGATACTAGAAGACAAAAATCTCGAGTATTTGCAGGTCAAGCTGGACTACGAAGAGGAATCAAAGCGCACAACAATGTTGCGGAACCATTTGGAAATTTGCAAGCAGCAGCTTACAGAGACTCAGCACAAGTTGGACGAGATGAGCGGTAAATACGACCGATTGGTGTGCGAGGACAAGAAGAAGGAGGCGAGGATGAACACTCTACAACGAGAGAGAGATCGATTAGTCATCGAGAGAGACGCACTGCGGGAAACGAACGAAGAGCTCAAATGCGCGCAGCTGCAGGCCGCTGAAAACATGGCAAAACCGAGCACCGTCGACAGCAATAGCGTTGCCGGCACGGAAATGATTCCGCTCGAGGTAAAAGAGAAACTGCTGTGTTTACAGCTGGAGAACAAAATGCTGAAGGCAAGGCAGAAGGGCAACGAGGAGAAGCTGCCGAGCGTGCAGACGTTGCTCGACGAGTCGGAAGAGCGTCTGAACACGTTGCGAGAGCAGAATCGCAAAGCGAATCAGAAGATAATGGAAATGGAGGCCAAGTTGGAGGAGGTCACGATGCAGTCTTCTAATGCCGACGGCAAGAGCGACAGCGGAGGTCTCGGTCAGAAGGCCGTGCAGCTGCAAGACGAGTTGCGAAAGGCGCAGGCGGAGAAGGAACGACTGACGCTGCAGCTCGAGGAGCGCGAGGCCACTCTGCAGGTGCAGAAGCAGAAGACCGCGACTCTTCAAGAAAAGCTGACGCGGAAGGAGTATGAGGACGCCGCTCGTGAGGAGCATTACAAGAAAAATGTTGAGAAGGCCAAGAGCGTCATCAAGAGTCTGGAGTCCTCCAAACACTCCCCAACCGAGCTCGTGCTACGTAACCAGTTGCTGGAGCAGCGCAAGGCAATCGAGGAGATGGAGCGCACCGTAAAAGAAAGCAGGTTGCTGCGCGAGATGGAGGAGAAGCTGATGGTGACCGCCTTTTACAAATTAGGTCTGTCCGCCCAGAGAGACGCGATGGACCAACGGCTGGCAACGCTCAGCTCCGGACAGGGTCATTCTTTCTTAGCCAGGCAGAGGCAGCCTTCGGCGAGACGTCATTCGCCTTACAATTCGAAATAAGGAGATCGTGATCGAATAGGTTTCACACGCTTAAGTATTATAAGACGAAATAGTAAACGATTGTTCGTAACATGAGATGGCGTAATGAAATGCGGACATAATAGCTGTTCATTTAACATTCACCTTAAAAGCATTAATTAGCGGTGCTTGTTAGTATTCAGGCAATATAGTAATAACGTACATTATGCTCCAGTTACACTTGCTCCGACTGATTCAACTTTTTTCTGATAGAAATACGATTGAACGGTGCAAACCAAAAGTTATCTTTGTCTTTTAATGGGATTAATAATTAAAATTTTTTTACGAAGACTACGGACAAAGCCGTGCGAGTCGAATCATATGAAAGCCATTCATTTCTACATAAAATTTTTTAGGTATACATTCAGTTTTTATCTCCCTGTGCATAATATATTGACTACGTAGTTTTTACGTTGGATGCTCCGCCAAGCCACAATCTTCTAATTATTAGATACTTGTCAACGTACGTTCCTTTGTTGTACCTTTAATGAATATTTAAACGAAAGTAATGCGAAAAAAGGTCTCTTTAATAGTTAGAAAATTTTAACATATTTTGACATTGTATTTATATCTCGCAAATGTATTATATTTATCTAATATTCATATCGGGCTCAAAAAAGGAAGGATACATATTAAGCGGATTGTAAATAAGAAAATAATTATATAGATCGAAGTATAAATCGGAATGTGCTAGATATTACGCGCAGAATGTTGGATATCCTGAAATATCTATAAACAAATCTGATTCCATCCATGATTATTTTAATTGTGCTGACGATAAACTACCATCGATTCTAAAGTACTGTATACAATGTTGATACTTAATTTGACAGTGACCAACGTTAAATATATGTCCATAAAAATTGTCTGCCTTGTACAATAATACCTATTGCAACAATCTGTTGTAAATAATGTACATGTTGCTATATACATATTTTGAATCTAGAGAGAGAAATATATATAAATATAATATAAAAAGTTTAATCATACATATGTTCATATATTTATAGCCCCATACTATATAATGTTACGCTCATTATTTATTTGATACATCATTATGTTCTTATTGTTTCTATTTTACAATTTTATCAATTATTTAATACAGAGAAAATAATTTTTAGTATCAGTGAAGAGTAATTGAAAGATTAGTATGGAATGTGTATGGAATAACGAATAAACTTGTAAATGCACAATAATATATCATTATAGCAGATCACGGAAACAAATTTCACTTATATCCACAGTTGTGCTTAGGACGCTTCGAGAAACAAATATCTATTGTATCCATTGTAACAATGTTAATATTCTTAGCTACCATAACCTTAGCTACTAATATCATAACTGTTACAATATATAAATTAATTTTTTTTATTGGCAATATTATTCAACCACTTATGTACATTATCCCTTTCAGTTATCCAATTTATTCGTAAGAAAGGCCTACTTTACATGTCATGTTCGTACTCTTATCATGTTGGAAAAAATATGAGAAAAAATTGTTCAAACTAAAAATGTTTGCAAATTATTACGTTACTCAAATATCTTTCGAAATTTCGGATTTCATTTCTTGTTTTTATATATTTAATTATTTTTACATTTTACATATATTATGTGCTTATTTTTTTATATCTCGTGTAGATGGAAGTATTATTTATAATTATTTCCCTGAGCTCACAATTCTATAAACATGTCAAAATAGAAGATATTTTTATAAATTTTAAACATTAATTTCTTTTTCACAATTGACTTCATGTCTAATCGTCTGACTAGTTTTTACATGATTATACATTTATATATATATATATATATATATATATCATTTTAATAATTTTTCGCAGTGTACACACTAATAAGTTGATAAATTATATATCTAGGAATTTTATGTGATAGAGTTTATGTCTATAAAAATTGAGAGAACAATAAATTATATTATTCTGACAAATTAATTTGAAGTAACATGTGTATGTATCACACACATACACATATATATATGCACACCTACCAGTTCCTCAGCATGTTTGATTGATAATTGTACTCACAGGAATATGTAGCGCTCTTCCAAAGGTCTTTTTTTTTATGATTGAACTGCTGATAGGTACATATTTTTAATCATAACTTGACGTTCGTGATACAACTTATTTACATATGTAAACGCTCTGTAGTTATGCGTGATTGAATTTGAATTTTGTATTCTTGTAACTCTTTGCAAATCAGAGTAACACCTCTGATAATAGAAAATTGCACTAAGAAAATCCCATATGGTGAACTCGGGCCACAATACATTAGCAAAGTAGACACAAGTATCGGAGATCTAAAATGATTTAGATAAAAATACACTTTAGGTATATAGTTAGTCTGTTTCTATAGTTATGTAGTCTGTTTCTATAAGTTGTAAAGAGAAAACACTCAAAGTAGAAAATATATTTTCTTACTTGCCACATGAGGAAGTCACTGAGTCTGACTTCTCCTGAGGTGCGAATCAATAAATCAGGATCTGGAGAATTGTAAGTATATAAACAGTTAGAAATTAGGTCTTCATTGATGTCTTCCGGTACAATTTCATTATGTTTTACACCTTTAACTATATCCTTAATTGCACAGGTAATTTCATCTCTTGCTGCATATATATGAAATATTAGTAGAGTGTTTTATCAGTTGGTTATGAGGAAATTTATATGCAATAAATGCAATAAATGAAATGATTACTTACATGTATAAGCAAAAGCAACATTTAAAAATGCTTTATTATTATCTTTAGTGATCGTCATAACTTTAGCGATTAATTTACATATGTCTTCTGGAATTAATGACAAATTGCCAATTATACGAACGCATACCCCATGCTCCATCAATTTATCCCTGCAAATATTATCCTTGAAAATATATGGATATATTGTAATATGTTTGATTAAAAATGATAAACATACTTTTCTTCTAAGAGACGCTCAAATTTTTGTTTGGCAAGCTCCATAAGTGCATCAACTTCCTCTTTGTTACGTTTAAAGTTCTCTATGCTGAAAGCATACACCGTCACCTCTGTAATACCAAGATCCATGCACCAACTCAACGTCTCTGCTAACTTGTCAAACCTGTTGTAAGACAAAAGAAAACATAAGATTAATAAGAGATTAAACTCATAAGTGTTATTTGAAAGTTTGTCAAAAATACATACCCCTTTGTGTGTCCCTCTACTTTTGCCACATGTTTCTTATTTGCATAACGTCTATTGCCATCCATTATAAACGCTACATGCTTGGGCACATGGCCAGTTCTCATAATCTTCAGAGCCAAAAATTGAAACCAATTCAAAGTGTGCTTCTTTATCCACGACATTATATTTTCGAATAATTTAACGAATTTATGAAAACATACACTGTCTCACTGGTTCGTTCTCAACCGTTAGACCCGTCGTAAACTATCCGACAATTATCTATCGGCGCGTGTTCGAGTATTTGCAGACAATTCCTCAAAGCAGACGATAGCGTGACGAATAACATACAACTGATTAGTCATCGTCTAACCTTCATGCCACAGGTATCATAAAAACCTTGTTTTGTGATACATTGCTAACGCGTGCATTCTAATTATCGGTCTTATCTATATATATATTATGCACGCTGCATTTGGAAGGACATACATTATATGAGAAGTTATCATCGAGCGAAAGACAACGTTGTCCTTCTCAGCGACCCGATCACAATCAGATGCTTTTTAATAAAACGCCAAGTTCATCTCTGACACTCGTGCTCGAAGATTTCTCTCTTTCCCTCTCTCACACACTCTCTCTCTCTCTCTCTCTCTCTCTCTATCTTTCTATCTCTCCACTATCGCGTTATCGGGGACGTGTCGGATTTTGCTCACGCCACGACTTTCGACAATCATTTTCATTTTTCTTTATTGCCGTTGATCGGGATCGTCAGTAAACACGCCGATGATGAATCTTCGGCGACGATTTTCCGGCGATCGGCGACATGTTCGCTACGACGGCGGATCTTCGAAAGGCTAAGCGCGGAACGTCAGTGCGTCGATTGCGCGACGTTCGTGGATGAGCGTGTGGGTCATACGTCGAGCGCCTAGCGGCGCCTACGATGCCGACGCGGGCGGCGGGCGTGGTCGCCATATTGGCGTGTGCCGCGCCACACGCGAGGGGAGACGAATTGTCACGTCGTATTATCGAGAAGATAGAAACTAGCGAGATGAAAATAGAAGCAGAATTAGAATGGCATCGCGCGGATGGCGTATTTATAATACGGCTTTGCGAAATGATGCGAAAATCCGTGTGTGCGACGCACAACTACACAACGCATTGGCGTCCGTGTTTCCCGGAGCACAACGGAGCAGCTGTGTCCGCAACGCGCAATTATACGCATGCTTCTCGCTTCGAGATCCTTTTCCTGTTTTTCTCGCCTTTTCGCACGTTGATGCGCGATCACGACAAACGGAGAAATAATCTCGATGCGCTCGAGTCTCGTTCGTACGCGAATCCCGACGCGAACGTGCGTCGACGAACGAGAGCGACGCTTGTTTGACGAAACGAGAGAAAGCGTTGCGGCACGTTGCTTCGAACACGCTTTTTCGGCCCCACGTGGTCGCGAACGTGAACTTTCGAGATCTTGCATCGTGATCTCACATCGGTCGTGTTCACGTCGCGATGACGATACATATTGAAGGTTCACGGTTGCGTGCGTTATATTATTGGTGAGAGGATTCCGTCAGCTGTAATTTTAATACATAATTTTGTTATTATTCTTACGGGCTTGTGAGTGACCTTGTTGGTCACACCGTGAGACAAGCGTTCCCGAACATTTTCGCCGACAACTTCGAAATTTCCTCGCACGACGTTACCACGTTGTTGAAATATTCTCGATAAATTTCCGTACGACATTCGCACATCCATCCATGCACGTTGCGTTTCTGCAATTCCTGGTCCTACCAAACGAGCTAGGACGACATTAATTGTATCTTAATCGAGTTCGCGCAAATTCAACTTCTGTCATGAGACGCTTTCAAGCATGCCGCGTGCAATGGCGGATTCATCGTTTCACCAATGCGTGCCCGACAACTCGGCCAATCGTCGTATCTTGCCGTGATGAGACCGGAAAATGCGGGATTTCTCGTAGAAATTCACCGGCAGTCGCAGCGAGCGCGACCGGTGATCTCGTGCCGCTGATATAATCCCAAATTTCCCACGGGAAATCGCGAAATCCTGAGGCGACTGGGAATGAGGGCGCGGGGCACCATACGGCACTGCGTACGCACCTGACCGGAGTAGGGCTGTGTTACGCGGCCATTGAGGGGACTACTTTGCGTCGAGAAGCGTGTGCGTGCGTATTGCGGTTAAGGCAACCAGCTCGCTTCGGCTCGTGAGAGAAAAGCAAGTCCGTGGTGGTTAACGCGGCGCTATGAGCCGCGAGGCTGATGTTTGCTGTAGCCTGTGAGTGAACGAAGAATCGATCGGGATGGAGCTGAGCGTGTCCAGGAACGAGTCCGGGATCGTACCAGGTAACGTAGCGTTGCGCGGGCGCAACGTACGCCGTGTGTTGCGGTGCCATGCCGTGCATCCGTAAATGCGTAAGCGTTCTCTGTTGCAGAGCTGTACTTCCTCATCGCCAAGTTCCTGGCCGCGGGTCCGTGTCCAGAGGCGGCGGCGGTAAGTACGACGCGCGTGTGACTGTGCTCGGCGCGGCGTTACGCGGCACGAGGTACTCTCACGGTGCACGCTTTGTTTCAGGCGCTGAAGCGGGAATTGGAGCGTGCCGAGGTAAGCCGATCGGCTCGGTCGAACGTTACTAGCGGACCCGACACTGCGTACTGAGCGGCGGGCCACATGGCTAGCACGTGGTTCTGCTTGTCAAAACATTAGAATCTCAAGGTCGCTGACCTTGGTTGCACCGAGAGAGAGAAGCATCGGCCACTCTCACGTGTGCATCGGTAGTTGCCGATCGTTCGACCTTTACCTTCCTGCGCCTTGAACGATCGATCGGATTTAACTTCGCGGTCGATCGATCCGCGTATGGATTTTAGATCGCGTCTTTTGTTCGCAGGTACTGCCGCTTCGACTCGACTGGGAAGGCCATGTACACAGTCAGTCTTTCGAGGAGCTGGTGAGTTGTGCATGCACGACATGGCGCGATCGGCACGCCTGACGACGATCAGCGCGTCGTGACGCGACACGAGCTTTCCCCGATGCGGGTATTCGGTCGCATCGCCTCGCCTCGCGTCGCAAGGTGGTTCGATGAAATAATACCGGGGCGCATCGAGTACCCCTCTTGATTCGCGGAGGGTGCGCTACCCCCTTTTCCACTCCACCGTTCGCCTTCCTCCACCTCCTCGTCATTCTTCCTATCGCTCTTTCTCTCCCTCCCTCCACTTTTCTCTCTTTCTCTCACACAGAACACCGTTCGCTGCTCGCCCCACCACCACGTTTGCCCGACCAATCGCCACGCTTTCTGGCCATTTTGCTTGAGCTGATCAATGAATATAGATGCCGTGGCTTATTTATAGAAACTGGTCTCGTGCGTAACGAGTGCTTCATGGCGATTGGTTGGCGTGACGCGCCTGCGCACCTATTAGCCGGACGCGGGAACTACTTGATTGTTCGTTTTGAATTTTTTGCGCCAAACTGTACAGAAGAAACAAAGCCCGGAATTTGAATCATTTAGACCGGACAGTGGAGAATATTTTCGAGTAATTTGTTGTATTCTTGTAAAAAATGAAGTAGAATATTGGGAGAAGTCGAGGTGCGTTCTTTACGATGTATGCAGCAGTTTGATTCTTGAATTGTGTTCTTTGACATAGTAAAAAGTTGCAATAAACGAGATATAAATGTTAAAGGCAAGTTGCATGATTTCTTTTTCAAATGTTATATTTTGCTTAATCTACTTAGCACAGCATAAGATTTTGTAAATGCTTCATTTTGTCTGAATGTTGCTCTCCTCAGTTTTTGTGAATAGCCAGTTATCATGTGATGATAATTTTTATAGGAGAGAAAATACCCTCATATTGGATCACGCCATTTGTTGCAAATATGTGCCAGAATTGGACCAGTGTTAGAGAAAGATGTGCCGCCATGTGTGCCTGGAGCGATATCTCTTCTAGGAGCAGGCAGGCAATCTTTATTGCGTACTCATGAAGGTATGAAACTATCTAATGCAAATCTGTGCATACTTAAAAAATTAACCTCTTCTAATTATTTCACAAAATGATATATACTGTGTTAGTGATAAACTGAAATTTTTATAATTGAAAATTCTAAAGAAATAAGTGTTATATTTCTTTCCCACTTGGGATAAGTTCATAATTGTTACAACCTATTTTTATTTATGCAAGTAGATATTTGGGAGTCGGACAATATAATGAAAGTAAAAATTTTTATAGACCTTACAAGATATACACGCAGCATTGTCGATTATTCTGGAAGATTAGGCGCAAAACCCTTCCTGGAGCGTCCTGGTAGCTTGTCAGTGCCTAACATAGGTGAGAGATCAAGAGTGTTATATGATTGTGTTGAGAAGTGTATTGTATCGTGTGCATCACTCCTCTTGTATTTTTCTTTTCCACGTGTATAAAACGTCAATTTTGATAATTTTGTCGTGTTATATGTTTTTGCCCAATAGTACGTGTACTTCAGGGACGAGAGAATTCTGGCCCCTTAAGTCGAAGGGAGGCAATACCGACCAAGTTCTACAGCAAGATGCAACTGTATCGCCATACATTGGGCCATTTATCCGCCGTGTATTGCGTGTTGTTCGATCGCACTGGCAAATATATCATAACTGGGGCGGACGATTTGCTCGTCAAAGTGTGGAGTTCCATCGATGGCCGTTTACTTTCCACTTTTCGGGGCGCGTCCGCGGAAATTATGGACATCGCGGTGAATTTCGACAACACCCTTCTGGCGGCCGGAAGCTTAGATCGAATATTACGCGTTTGGTGTTTCCAAACGATGTCGCCTGTGAGTGTATTAGATATGCACATATTCATAAACGATAATTATTTTTACATATCTGTTAATTTTCTTCTTTTATCAAGGTGGCAGTTCTATCCGGACATTCAGGCATGATAACGTCCGTCAATTTTTGCCCGATAGTATGTAACGATGTATACTATTTGGTCTCCACTAGCACCGATGGATCTGTAGCTTTTTGGTCCCACACACAACAACCAAACGAAAGAGCGCTATTTCAGTAAGTTTGATTGATCGTCTCTAAAATAATACAGCGGTAGATATTTTTCATGTATTTATTTCATGTAAATTTTCAGTATATTGGTATCTTGTATGAAGATCTTGTGTATATAGAACAATCGCAAGAATGTGAATTTGTTGCAGATCGAAGCCCATCCAGTATCACGAGAAAATGCGACCCGGGCAAGCGCAAATGATTTGTGCTTCCTTCAGCCCTGGCGGTGCGTTCATGGCAGCCGGATCTGCAGATCATAACGTGAGGGTTTACGCGATGTTAGGCGACGAAGGACCGCGCAGGGTCCTCGAGATCGAGGCGCATTCCGATACTGTCGATAGTATCCAATGGGCGCACAGTGGTTTGAGGTTTATCTCCGGTTCCAAAGACGGTACCGCCAACGTGTGGCATTTCGAGCAACAGCAATGGTTGCATAAACAGCTACTTATGACAACCAAATTACCTGGGTACGTCATTTTCTGTAACGCTCAATGTCCGCGAAAATAAAATTCTTACTTTTATTATTTGTATAAGAATTTTATCAAGTTTTTTCTTTGTACAACTCGCGATGTAGTTGTCGGAAAATGTTTCCTTTCTGTGTTGCAGGGAACCGGAAACTGATGATGACACAAATAAGAAAGCGAAAGTGACCATGGTTAGTTGGGACGTGAGCGACGAATTCGTCATTACGGCAGTGAACGACAGCTCGTTAAAAGTGTGGAATGCGAAGTCGGGTGAATTGATAAAGGTACTGCGCGGACACAAGGACGAAGTGTTCGTGTTGGAGTCTCACCCGATCGATCCTCGCGTGATACTTAGCGCTGGCCACGACGGGCAGCTCATTATTTGGGACGTATTAAATACGGAACCAATGGCGTGTTTCCAAAATTTCATCGAGGGCCAGGGTAATGGTGCTGTTTTCGATGCGAAATGGTCACCTGATGGTACAATGCTTGCAGCTACAGATTCTCATGGACACCTTCTGATGTATGGATTTGGATCTGGAGTTGAGAGACTGAAAATTGTAAGTTCGTATTTATTGTTTTATTTATTTATTCGTATATCTAAGACAAGAAGTTGATACATATTTCTTCAGATCCCGGTTAAAGATTTTAGGAAATTTGAATAAATTTAAAAATCTAGGCATTCTCTAGATTCAGCAATAAGTTGTATTCTGGTTACTGTTGTTGATTACTGAAATATCAGTTAATCAATATAATTAACAACATGATTTTTAAGTCTTTACAAATTCTAAGACTTTCTAATTAGACTTAAAAAATTCAAGAAATATGTAAACATTGTTTCTTTTCTTCCTAAAATATAAATATATATAATTTTTCATGTACAACTATCTTTTCCCGCCTCAGTGCTTATTTTTTCTTTCTTTTTTTTTTCTTTTTTTAATTATTCTCAGATACCGAAGGAGTTGTTCTTCCACACTGATTATCGACCCCTGATAAGAGACAGCAATAATTATGTTCTCGATGAGCAAACCCAAACAGCGCCGCATCTAATGCCACCGCCGTTTTTGGTCGATGTAGATGGAAATCCTTATCCTCCAGCGTTGCAGAGATTAGTACCAGGAAGAGAAAATTGCAGAGGCGAACAGTTGGTACCAAATATTGCAGTTGGTGCTGGCGGTAAGAGAATGATTTACACGCATATATAAGATGCCTTTATATATTATATATAACAAAATATTTTAATATTATATTTATACATAATTTACAAATAATATAAATCTCATGCTTAAAGCTTACTTTGCACTGATCGGTTTTTATTATACAACGATGTATAAATTTATGTCCAATAGGAGTTCAAGAAGTTATAGAAGGTCTTCCAGAGCAAGAACCGAGATCGAACATTGATCGACTGATCGAGGCTCTCGCCCAAAGACAAAACATCGATGCGGATGGAGAAGTCGCCGCCGAAGATAGGGAGAATAACGTTGCAGAACAACCAGTTCGCCAAATAGCCAGCCCTCGTGCTAGTAGACCTGGCCTGAGGAGAGTAGGTGACGTTGAAGGCGTGAGGCAAAGTAGCGGCAACTGGCAAAGGGATAGCACCACGCCGTGGAATAAACCTATTCTCGCGCGTCCTATGAACACAGCCGTTAGAGAGACTCAAATTAAAGCAGTGTAAGTATCAAACGCAATTCTCTCACAACGCTACGAGATGAACGATACATGTTACCCGAGTAAATTGATTTTACCAACGGGAATCGCAAGAAGTTTTTTAAAATAGATTGTTTTTTCACGATATCTTTCTAAACATATTATTGATCATACGTTATAATAATATGATGCTAATATCAATGCCGAAAGAATTATCTATTTCACATATTGATCGCATTTTCGTGTATTGTGAAGTCGTGCGATGGCGGATATGGAATTAGATAACTGGCGGCGAGAGATGCGACGAAGACCTCAGTCCACATCGAGCACTGCCGCTAATCAAGGCAATATAGGAAGTAGACTAGTCAACCGCAAACGCAATAGAACCACTAGACATGGCTATAGGACTAGAGCAACGCGCGGTGAGGAACAAGAGGACGAAGAATTTGAGGTATTTTACACAGAAAAGACATTTAATAAGTCAATTCGTGACGTTAACATCTCTAACTGTTCTATCTCTAATTGTAATGGGCAGTAAGAAAAACTACAAAAATTATCTTTAGGATGCGATTGAGTAAGAACGTCGCATAAATTTTTTAATTTCCACAGAATCCTGATAATGTTGGCACGTCCGCGAGCTCGGCCAGCAGCAACAGCAACGATTCCACTGCTCATGAGGAAGATCTGTGTTCGGATAGCACAACTACAGATTCTAGTACTGAATATTCGGATTGGATCGCAGATCACGGACTGAATTTAGAACCACCTAAACGTAGCAAGCGCAAGCCTGTGAAGAAAAGATCTCTCACACCGCCGAGTGATACGGACAGGAGACGCAGTAGGCGTCCTAAGAAAAAGGTAAGTTCGCGATAGCTTATATTGATCTGTAATTGATCTGATTTGGAGCAATTTTTCTTATCATTTTCTGCGTTCAACAGGAAATACCAGTAGTTAATGGTCGCGAAGTTCCTGAAGCCTACCGACCCTCGGAGTGGCTTACCGAAGTTATACCCAGAAAAGCCCCTTATTATCCGCAAATGGGCGATGAAATAGTATATTTCAGACAAGGTCATAAATTGTACCTCGATGCAATTAGAAATAAGAAAGTTTACGAGCTTAGTCCCCGCTGCGAGCCGTGGACCAAAATGAACATAAGGGTATGTACATTTTAATTGAAGATTTGTTTCTAATTATGTGAGATGGAAAAAGAGGGAAAAATTATTTTGAAAACATACAAATATTATTAATTATACATATGATTATAATTGTATTTACATATAATATATACATTTTATATACATATACATACAACAGACGTATAATATTGTATGTGTATGAAATTATGCATTCTAGGCACAAGAGTTCGTCAAAGTCGTCGGAATTAAGTACGAAATACGACCGCCTCGTTTGTGTTGTTTAAAATTAGCATTGATGGACGAGGACGGTCGGATGACCGGCGAAAACTTCACTATCAAGTACCACGACATGGCTGACGTATTAGATTTCTTAGTATTACGTCAGACCTTCGACACCGCATTAGTACGGAGCTGGTCGGAGGGGGACAAATTCCGCTGCATGATCGATGACGGCTGGTGGATGGGCCAAATCATATCGATGGAGCCATTAGATGAAGATTTCCCGGATTCATTCTTCATGTGCTTCCACGTCAGGTGGGATAACGGCGAACACGAACAAATGAGTCCATGGGATCTCGAGCCTGTTGATGAAGATAGTAAGCTCATTATATAGTTGAAAATAGTAATTTTCCTTTAGAAAGCGTTTAACGCTAGAGCCATCAACGATTAATGCGACCGGAGTATCGAAATGACAAGTTTTGGAAAAATTAAATGTTCATTAAAGATATAAAATGCATCGTTACATAAGAAGGTTAAATAATTTTTATAACAAATTACAAATTGATCATTTTGGATCGTTTGGTAGTTTTTATATTAACTGCTTGAAGGAAATGATTGAAGGAACGAATAATACTTTTGCTACCTAAAGTTCTTGAAATTAACTTCATTTTATTTATAATTAGCTCTGCATACTAATTACTTGTTTAGGGCTTCCCGCAGAGATCGGTGGTGCGGTTTCAGTTTTACCGGAGGAGATACGAGCAATACTGTACCAGCCACACGCCGAGGAATGGCCAATGGGTGACCGAGAAGCAACATGTCGCCGTATTATACGAGGCCTCGATCAAGTGATGAGTCTTGCGATCGCCGAACCGTTCGTCGCACCGGTGGATCTCAATACTTATCCGACCTATGCGTACATCGTAGAATATCCGATCGATTTGTCGACCATCAAGGCCCGTTTTGAAAATCATTTCTACAGAAGAATCACATCGGCGCAATTTGATGTGAGGTACTTGGCAACAAATGCCGAGCAATTCAACGAGCCTCATAGCACGATAGTGAAGCAGGCGAGAATAGTCACGGATTTGTGTCTACGCATAATAAAGTAAGTAAGATACGACATTCTTTTTCATTTTGCGAAATTTATATTTATATAAATTTATAAGCCTTTTTTGCTTGCTCTAACTGATATTTGATTTTTTTCAATTCTCTAGTGCATTTTGATCTCTTACTAATGAAACAGTTGTAGACATAATCTGTTTAACACGCGTAGGGAAACCACCCAATTGGACGTTCCCGCAGTGTACCATCAATTGCTTGATACATACCATTCCTCCGAGTCGGAAGTAGATGTAGATGATTCTAGGAACAAACCATCGACGAGCAAACAAAGATCATCTACGTCGAGTCGTAATTTACGCTCACAAGACATCTCGAGAGACTGGAAACTAGCATGCCGTCAATTATTAGAGAGCTTGTGGCAGTGTGAAGACTCGATTCCATTCCGGTGAGTCCTCAGTTTTCAATACTGTCGTGTCTTATCCTAAGAAATATTAATACTGAAGATTCTCGTCTTCTTTGCAGAGAACCCGTTGACAGGCTGGAGCATCCGGATTACCACCAGATAATTGACACACCGATGGATCTCCGTACTGTCAAAGAGGACTTGTTGGGTGGCAATTATGATACACCAGTACAATTCGCCAAAGATATGAAACTAATATTCACGAATAGTAGAAATTATAACACCAACAAGCGTTCAAGGGTAAGTTGAGATGGATGTTTCTCGTTTAGTAACATTCATCGTACAGAATAAATATATGATTCTGAGAAAGAAAGGGAGATAGAGGAAGAAATTAATATCAAACGAATTAATGAAAATTATATGTTGATTTTTGTGCGAAGTTAAGTTCAATAACAAGGACAAAGTTTATAAATATTATGAGTACTGAGAAAACAAACAAATTTTTGTCTTCAAACTATGTCTGAATCTTTTCTTCAAGCATTGCATAAAAATCAATGTTTTTTTGTCTTTACTACAATATATATATTATCTTTGTTGTTTTTATTTTTGTCTTTATTGCTATTAATTTTACACGAATGGAAAGCAGCCGGTCTAACGTTGATTTCATTTGTAATCATTCTCACAACATTGGCTCAATTATCTCGTTATTCAGATATATTCGATGACAATAAGACTGTCGGCTATGTTCGAAGAGCACATGCGAAGGATACTTTCAACTTGGAAAACAGCAAGGAAACGTAATAACAACAACGTGAAAACGAACACAAAAGGAAAGGGTAAACAAAAGAAGAAACACAATCTAACTAACGGCACAGGTAAGCATCGATATAAGAATATCTAGACGAAGCATGTATTGTTAATTTAGATAAAGGGAAAATTCTAATTTAGAATGTTTTAATTTAGTTTTAATATACAATACTTTAAGTCACTCGATTTAATTCACCATCATTCGGTTTACATATGTTTATCGTAACTTCTCCCTTACCACTGTTTTTTCCCTTGTGGAATGCTTTTTCCAAAGATATTTTTATGTCGATGGAGATAAAAGCTTACGATTGCATTGCGTAAATGCAATGTTGAGAAGTAATGCGTTACTTTAATAACGCATTGTCATTATTATTGTACAATTGTACATTATTATTCTGTGTGTAGAACCACCCAAGTCGAAGTCCGCCCATAGCGACGACGACGACGACGATGACGATGCAAATAGCGAAGACGACGACGATGAGTCGGGTAAAGAACCGAAGAAAAATTCTAACCTATCTGTACCCGGTACGCGTGTTTTCGAAATTATCATTCTGTATACGTTCATCATAAAAGAACAGGCAGAAATTTGTTAATCGTTGAGGATGCGTTCAATACAAATATTCACTGTAAAGAAGAAAAATTACTTACAAACGTAAAATCAGAATGATATCGCTATTTTGGGGAATTAAGAAATTCATAATGAATAAATTGAGATTATCATTATTTCTATCATCCTAGATTAGTCCTGAATTATATCACTGAAATAATAAAAAAAATAATTTCAAGTTTATTAATTTTTTCCGGCTGTTTTCAGGACCATCTCGATTGGCGAACGGTGATACAAAGAGGTCCACTTCCGGCTCGTCCCGGCCGATGTTAAAGTTGCGAATCTCCCGGTCGAGCACGAAGAAAAGGAGGAACAATGATAGTGACGTTAGTGAATCCGAGGCATCAGACACTGACAGCAGTGACAGTGCGCCTGTCCGAAGAACTAGAGCGAGGACAGCGTTACCTAGTGTTAGTGCCGATACCGATTCCGGGGACAATTACACGCCCGGTGGTCGTAGCAAACAAGTTCGAAAGAATCGCGGTAAAAACAACAAGAATAGTAGGTATGCCAAGTCCAAAGCAAAGTCGAACGTTATCGTTGAAGACGATGAAGACGACGATGACGACGCAAACGAGGACAACGAAGAGGAAGAGGAGGAAGAGGACGATGAGGAGGAGCGTTTCGTCGCGCCGGAGTCCACGGAAGAGAGCGAGGATGAGAAGTTTGTGAGGAGGGACACGAGATCGCGAAAGTTGGCGACTAGAAACGAGGAGAGTCAGAAATACGTCGCTAATAACGGTAAGAGCAATAACAACAGCGACAGCGAGAGCGAGGACGACAACGAGGAAGAGGAAGAACAGGACGAACAGTCGCAACACGAGACCAATAATCAAGATTCGGACAGTGACGATTCGTACAAAGCGTTTAAACCGACACCGCGTGCCTCCCGACGAAGACGTCACCCCGTAAATTCGCGATTGAATGTGCAACATACTCGACGGCGAGGCCTAAAGCGACCTCGTTATAACGAGGAAAGTGATGATAGTATCACGACACCTGTGAGAAATCGTCGTAAGATCAAGCGCCGCTCGTATGCCGAGGACAGTGACGAGGAGAGTCCGCCGACGGCAGAGCCTGAGCCCGAACCTCAGCCTGGCATTAGCATAAGCAGTAGAGGTCGTGTGCGCAAAATGACGCCACGTGCTCGTGCTTATCTTTTAGAAGCACCCTAACAGCATCTCCTGCGTTAGTAAAGTCGTTTGTACATATAACTCCCTCGTGGGAGTACGTGTCGCGCCGCACGTCGGAGACTCCGATTCGACGCCGCGATATTCGAAATTTCCGTCGAATCAGCCACCGTCGTGCCAGGCGCTTCTGGTTACGAAGTACTTCCATTTTTAAGAAACAGTTTGTTCTCTGAAGTGTTTTTCTTTTCTGTTACATATAACAGTGTGAGCAGCGTATATCTCGATATAGCTACACCTTTTACTTGCACACCCGACCGAACTAAAGAGGTTTGTCTATCCTAGCTGCACCTCCTGGCACTTGTTGGCTCGTTCTCTGTAATGTCCAAAATGTATATGTATATTTGTCACTTCAAATGCGAAAAATGCCAGTGGGTGCAGTTGAGACAAACGAATCTATTGGTGATACAAAGGTTCGCATATAAAATTTCATTTATTCGGGAATTGTATGATAATTGTATTATACAGTCCAATATGTCTTGTTATCCATGTCAAAAGTATGGAGATACGAACTGGTTGCCGCAAAAAAGATATTATTGTCAAAAAAGATTGATTGTACGAACACTTCCATTAATTTCGAAGTTTCAATTGACAAATGAGAAACTTTCATGCTCTGTATCTATGACAAAAATTGAAGATCAGCATGAAATAATGTTTAAAAGATTAACATAAATTAATATTATTTTGAACATATTACTTTTCGAGTCTTAATTATCATTCGTCGTACGAGAGAAGCGAGGCGAATGCGGTTGTAAAATTTATCAAATCGCTTTAGCAGGTCTTCTCTCTTTCGTAATACTGTTATGACAGTTATTCCTTGAGAGTTTATTGTACAGAATAATAATTGGGAAGTTGCTGAAAGTAAATAGCCATTATTCTATAACGAGTATATCGGGTTGAATAAGACAGTATTGTTTATAAAAGACATCTGTAATTTTATTAACACATGTGAAAGAATATTTACATTAATGACATCGTGAAAATAAACGTCATGAAAGCAGAGACAAAAAATCGGCTTGGTGCACAGCTTGATGATTCGTTTTCGAAGCATGTATACAATTTCGTAGGAAGAAATTTCGAAGATACGAATCAAGTGAGTACAGAGGTAATTTCAAACCTTTGTTGGCAAATTGAGAATAACTTAAATCATTTAACTATTATATTTTTATTATTGCGCAATTTGTAAATTAAGAACATGTTAATAGAATACGATCGTTCCAATTTGCATATAGTGGAAATGTTCTTTCATACGTTATACGTGCAATTGAAAAATTTATTTATTTATTTATTTTTTTTATTTTTTTATTGACCTATTATTTGTACCCAACCGAACTTGCTTTTTATCATATTTATTTTCACAATGTCATGGATGTGTATTTCTTTCGTATAATGTACTAATAGAAATGGTGGACACACTGTTCTAAATAATCAAAATTTCGAAATTTGGAAACTGGAACAATTTTCTGAAAAATCATAATGCCGAAATATCATGAATCCGAATACCATCATAACAATTACAGATTTGTTTTACTAGAAATCAATCATTTAACTCTGTTCACTCGTTACAAAATAATAACTATATAGTTCGAGCAATTTCGTGATGGTCACCCTGTATGTATATATATACATATATACACATATATATATATATAAATATCTTTATGTAATTTGTTAAGCACGTTCTGTATTGAAATATTACAAGACAAACGTGTCAAAGAAGACATACGATTTTATGCAGTATATTTTTCATCTTCAAAAAAATTTGGAAGTGTGCGAGCCGTTAATTTAACTACTAGCAGACAATTATGTATGGATCTGGTTCCTGTATATTTAATTAGAACCTATTATGCCGATTATTTGTTATACATACATATCCGGACATATCTACTAAATTTATAATGAGCATTTTTTATGTTAAATTAAACGACACGGCATTTGCGACAGCAATAATTTGTTATTTTTATTTTGCGAGTGGTCAGCGAGTGAACAAGAACAACATATCTTGTAATTATTTTGTTCCTTTTTCTCCCATCATTCTTTTTTCCTCCCTTTTTTGGAGCTGTCATGAGGGCACTGAATAATAGAGCAAGAAACACTCTGATCCTCGATCAAAATTATATTCAATTATATTATATTTTAATTTTGGAATTATGGAATACTCGTCATATTTAAGTACTGTAATTGGTCTACACAATGATGAACTAACTTATTTATGTTTTACTCATTTTCGTTTCCATACAGTGAGCTCGTAAACATGAGCAATATCACACAAACTGTTCCTGTTCACATTATGGTTGCGATTATGAATCTATTTAGCGAACTTTAAAAAATCTAATCAAGCTGACTATTGCAGTGCAGGTACCTCATCCATACATACAAATGATGAGATGGTTACAGATTTGCGAGCGACTTTGAGTTTTGTGTTTAAATACCTCTTAATCCTAATCTATAATGTGCTTTCTGCTTTCTGTTTCTTATTCATTATCTTTTTCTAGATTAAGACATAAGGTTTAAATAAAAAGGAGATAAAGAGAAAGAAACAGAAAGTAAAGAGCATATTGTAGACAAGGCCTTAAAGAGCAGTAGAATTTTGGGAAAAACTCGTAAATCTAGTAAGACAAATTATAAATATAGATCCTATTGAGTTATCATACTTATATGATGCACTTATATGACTCATATAGCATGTTAACAGATTTAAAAAGGATTTCGTGCAAATTAATAGAAAGTTGAAAGTCAGAAAACCGAAACAATCAATAGATCGTTTTAAACAGATTTAGTATAAGCAAAGTGAAATGAGCGAAGTCTTAAATTATGAAATCTTGAACGTGCAACACATTGAAAAATATCTTGTCTGCTTTTGTACTTATCTGCAGGATAAACTACTCGGAAGGTTCACCAAAGATACTGCGAGAAAAAACAATACATTTTCGAAAAGAATGTTTTAGACGAGATATTTGGTTTTGAAGGAAACGTTTGGTGATGACGATATTCTGATTATAAGTCGAAAGTAATTTTTTCCCTAGAGTTAAAGATTTCTTTGCGATGTTTCTCCAAATTTTTAAATGATACAGATTTGGATTCAGTGTATCGAGTTCTTTTAAAACATTTGGTCATCATGATGCTGTTGAAATAAACCGGATATTTCTCTATTCGGATACTCAAATGTACTGTCCAGATGCTTGAAACCAAACATTTTTTTCTAACGGGATGACACAAACATGTTTTTTCTTTACATAAATATAATCTCAATCCGAGTATAAAAGTATGAATGTAAGGTCAATGAAAAATATTTTGCTGGATATTTACTATTTTAGTTTGACACATATATATATATATATATATATATGAACTAAAAATACTTCGCAAGATCTATTTTTTGTTGATCTTAATTTGATATTTTTATGCGTAAAATGACATTAAAAATAAATAAGAGAAATTAATAATAAAAATAAATAACCGTATACACTCCGGTATCAGAGTTATCCGGAATTGACGTCACCATTAATCATACTTAAAAATGTCTCACATTTAGAATTTTGAGCACATTTGGATTTTTCGCCCTATATCATACGTTATTACTTGATTCTTAAGTTCGTGGTATAACGTTCGCATGTAAAAGTAAATATGTCATGAGTGTATGTAAATTGTATAACTCATTTTTTCTTCCGTTTTTCTTTTTTTCTTTTGTCACGATGTTACGTAAGGGGTAGTATAATTTATATATGATCTACATGCGCGTACATGCGCACTCGAAATAGCGACTTTTATTTCACGTAGAATTTGTATATTTGTTATGGATTTAAGGAAGACCAATGGTCACGTGAACTTTCGAAGTTTTTCATGAAGACGCGAGAGAACATTTTCCAGATTTATATATGACATGAATTTAAACTGCGTTATCTATCATGTAGTTATGCATATGCAAAGCGGTTTTTCTGTCAAAAAATTAATGAAGAAACCTGTGGAAATGACGCTCACAAATTTTGATGGTTGATCTTTGCATACGTTGTGGAGCAATTAAAAAAGAAACGTATATTTTTTATATATATTTTCTCGTACATTTAGGAATTGAAACCGAATTTCTTTCGAACAAATTTCGAGAGAAATTCGGTAAAATTGATTGTGAGGGAATACCTTTAAACTATTATTTCAATCCCTAAACATGTGAGGAAATATAAATAAAAAAGTATCTCAGTTTTAGTTGCACCGCAACACCCAAAGTCCGTTAAAATTGGCGAAGAGTACTTTCATACATACAATTTATCAAGACACATGCACAAACATTAGAAGTCTCGACTGTCTTGAGCCATTGTGATATTAGTTTAAGAGAATATCGAATATATATGAATTAATCTATAATTATAAGATTATATAATGGATATTTTTTTAATAACTTAAATAAGAGAGTCATATCACGTGTAGACTCGATGCATCCAGCCTTTGATTAACATTAATTTAACGATGTTAACATACACTTTGGTCTTACTCTATTAATCATAATGATAACTGGTATATGCTTCGTACGTTAAATATATCCGAAATAATATAATTTTATGTATATATTACCGAACACGCGTTTACACAGACAAGACTTAATACAAAAATGGTTTTATGTATAGTTTGACACTTATTGTGTTGTAAAATCAGTGTGCTCTGTTGCGTATAGTATGGTTCTTTGAAACCCACCGCCACCAATAAAAAAATTAAATTGTTTTACAAATGTCTGTATATTATTTGTGCCATTAATTTTGAAAATTACACGAGTTTGTTGAAATTTTACGAACTCGATTGGTTGAAGTTTTATTAAAAATTTTTTAATTCGCACCATTTTTCACCGGTATTGTCACGTTATAAAATATGATTGTGTCGTTTTCCAAATTAATGCTTCATTTTATACTAAGTCCTCAAATACCCAATTACTTGCGCGAGTTCGTCTATAAACTAAAAAAGACTCAAAAATATATTGCATTGATTTTGATGTCGATTTTTTCTCTCTTTCTTTACAGTACAAAAGTAGAAGCTTTATTCGTAAAATTAGTTAGTATTAATTGCATATTAGAAATCAATAGAAATTGATGAATAAATTTTCGATAGCAAATGTTGACGAGGCTGCTTTTAACAAATAAGTTACGTACAAACATCAAGGTATTTTGAGAAGTGCAGAAAGACAGTTGCAGCTTGTATGTTTATAATTGTATGAAATATTTTATTTCAATATTTCACTTATATCTATACATCTCTCTAAATTGGTAATACGAATATCAATATGAAGGAGACGATTGCACATGAAACTAATGTTTTATTTAGTTTTATTAATAACTTATAGTTTTATAAAATGGCAGCCATATTTTTGTGTGTGATTATGACATGTATATGTATATATATACATATACGTATAACATTAAGACAAAATGAACAAGAGGTCGTGATTTTTTATCAGTCGCGTAATTAGCACGGCTCTGGTCTTACGATTTCGAACGTCCTCATCGCCCATATGCAATTTTCTTATGTATTCCTATTTTCCGCCAGCTACTTTAATGGAAAACCAAAATCTTTAAATTTAAGAATGCATCTACGCAGAGATAAAGAAAATCTACTTAGAGAAGAGTCATTGTGTGTTTCCTACATTTTCTTGCGGAAAGTTATTAGAATGCTTGGAATCCAATATATGCGTATTATCATCGTGAAAGATGTATATCTCGTGTTTGAAGGCCTAGAAGCTAAAACCGCGTGGATGCACACCGCCGCTCTTTAATAAAGGAAACTTCATAACAGAAATGCATATTTCAACAATTAAACTGCGCTAAGTTCAGAATGCACTGCATAGTTATATAATATCTGTTATCTGTTAAATATCCAGAAGAAGATTTCCTAGCTGAACAGGACAAGCTTCATTCTTTGGGAGGCCCTCAGATCACTAGAATCAATCTCACTTGTAAGCCATTCTTAGATCTGTCTATATACGATCGACACGCAACTCCTACCGATCTCTATTCCACGGAATGCCATAATCTGCTCAGATGCACTCAGGCGGAAGAAGAATATTGCTTTTTAAGCCTATGGAATTCGATTTCCTTTTGCAAATATTCCTTGACGAAGGGATGCTCTAAATGGGAGTCTTTTAACTGACTCAGATAACGGTTTGCCACTTCCGGCGGTTTCCCCATATGTTGGGAAAGAACAATCATATTGATCAATGTATCTGGATTATTGCTATCCTTATCAAGAGCCTCCTGCAAGGCGGTCTCTGCTTCCTCATATTTAGCTTGTCCGATAAAGCAGGTAGCTTGTCCGTTCAGCAACATGCTCGTGCTCGAATGTTTGTCAATCATTTCCTAAAATAATTTATATCGATTATTATTAGCACATGAAAATTTTTGAGTCAATTTTATTGAAACAAATGGAACTGTGAGATGATCATTTTTTCTTAATTTATTTAGAAATTGGTGTTTTTCTCACTTGAAAAATGTAATAGGCATCTTGAAGTTTATCGCCGCCACTAGTAATGTTTAACCATGCCTGAGCAAGCTGAGTTAAGGTGGCGTCGTCGTCCTTCTCTTGCATCGCCTTGAGTTCCTTGCGAGCCAGATCCAGACGATCCATCTTAAGATATATCTGTAATGTCAGCGCCATACACTCTAAGTGGTCCACATCATGCAATATTCTCAGTGCAGCTTCCAGATTCTTTTCATGATAGTAAATAGTTGCAGCCACAATCAGGAAATTGTGATTATCTGAATTTGAATGGCTGGCTGCTTTATCTAGCTCGGCTACTATGGCTTCCCGACGATGCGGATTGGCAAAGTAGTCGGCTAAGGTCTTTAATGGCTGCAAGTCCAGTGGGGATGCATTATTGATCTCATCCAACACTACCCGAAACTTCCTCTGTGCTATATAGGCGCGATAAAGGAATACATTTCGCTCCATAGCCACTTCTGGTGAGGATGGCTGAAAAGAAAAATTAAGTAAAATAACTTAATTTATAATTGTACAGAATAGACAATAACATCTAAAAATAATTATAATAAAAATTAATAGTGTTAAAATGTTAAAGTAAACAGTGCAATGTCTCTTAAAATAACTATATATATTTGTCATAAATTCAACAGATGTAGAGAAAGCTAGTTTTATTGCAGCAGTAACTTTGTAATAAATAAAGGTTCTTTCATTATTATAATATTACTCAAAATATTTTCTGATAATTGAATAAGTATGTAAATGTTCTCTAAATATATAAACATGGAATAAGCATAACATTTTTATAATACTGGAAAATAACATTTTCTTTTTTAGATCAGAAATAATCACGTCACTATGCATACATACTATATACATATATATATATATGCACATATAAAAAACGAGTATCATATCGTATTTTATTATTTAATAATTTGATTATTTAATCTTCCATTTCTGGATTATAGGAGGCGAATTTTGTTTGATAATTATTCTTCTATAATTGCACATGATTAATTTATAAAATTTGATTAATAGCAGGAAAATGTCAGTGAAGCAACGTGTAAGAGCATCTGCTAAGAGGGTCAGATGATTGCTGCTTGTGTCAAAAATTTAAACGAAGTGTAATATAGAGCCTACAACAAATATAATTCATGAAAAATTTACCTTGATTTTTTGCGCCTCGTTGATGCATTGCTGATAATTTCCGATGTAAAAATGATTTCTCACGTCGAAAAGTTCATCGATATCCTGCTGCTGACGTGCCATCTTGTCACTTCTGGTCACTTCGGCACCGTTCTAGTTTTTTTATTTTACCTTCTTAATAAAAGTTTCTAGGAAGAACTTCTTCTTTTTCTTCAATAGATGGCTCTGTGCATACAATAGATGCTCCAACGCCACTCACACGTTCTAGGAAGAACATGTGGTGTTTGGTTGAAGATAATGGCGAATTCACACTGTATTCCGTACTAATATGAATCAAATAAGAGAATTGCAGTTCAACAGTACAGCTAAAAAGAACAAACTACACGCTATCATCAACGCTATTCATTTCGAAGGATATGTTCAAGGAGACATTTTTAGCGCTATTAAAACAGACCAATAATGTACACGTTATCATTAGTGACGCCATGATAGCGGTTGTCAAGCCCTAAACACAATGTCAGGCAACAGGCAGTAAGAATAAAAATAGACCAATCACAATAGATTATTCTTGTAATAGTCGATTGTGATTGGTCTATTTTTATTCTTATTGCCTGTTGCCTGGCATTGTGTTTAGGGCTTAAGGCCCCTTGCACAATGCCAACAAGCTAACAAGGCAACAAGCAATAAGAATAAAAATAAACCAATCACAATCTACTATTACAAGAATAATCTATTGTGATTGGTCTATTTTTATTCTTATTACCTGTTGCCTGGCATTGTGCAAAGGGCTTTAGCGTTAATAAATTGGCATATCAATCAGTCTGTCGCCTTCTAGCAGTCATACAACAAACAAACAAACAAACATTGTTAGCTCTGCGAACAATCCTTAATTCTAAATAGCGCTAATAGTGAGTATATTCTTTTTCGAAGAATTTTTTAACTAGTGTATGTAGTACGATAAATTAGAGAAAAATATATCTGTTTTACTCCAACTTATCGTACTAGTTCAAAAGTCCTTCAAAAAAGAACAGACCTTAAGTTTATCTTCAGATGCTGTACAAATTATTTCATTGGCTATGGGATATCTGAAAGCAAACTTAAGGCAGTCTTAAATATAAGACCTGATTATGAATACCGACCCTAGTGTCTCCCCGAACGCACCCTATATATATTTGACAAGTGTGGTAATCATAAGTAAAAAAACGCTAAATTGAGTATCGATAGACTAATAGCGTTTTTCATTGGGATGCACTGAGTGCGCATTAAGAACTCGTGGAGTTTAGGCGACACTACCCGAGTTTACCGACAGTGCAAGTTTTTTTGCACGCCCAATGAAACACTCATGACTTGATGAGTGCGCATAAGAACCGATTCGCCTCGGATTGAAAGAAAATATATGCATTAACGTAAACTTCACTATGGAACAATCAGAAGAATTAAGCATTTCTTTCAAAGTCAATAATGACATGCTCTCGTTAAAACTTCTATCAAGCGAAACAGAGTTATACAATAAAATAATGAGTAAGTATAGAATTATATAGGACTTGCATGATTTTGGATTTTGAGGTTATTCCCGTAGTATAAATAAATTGTCGGCAAAGACATATGTACTTATGTACATAATAGTTTTTGGATATTGTCTACTCGAAAAACTTGAATGCATATATAACCCCTTGTAAAGCTTGTAAAACACAATTCATTTGATATTCAAAAATATATACATAAAAGAATATTAACTGAATATTATTGATTCTTGTGTCAATTAATTTCAGATGACGATACCTATAGCATACAATATATAAAACTTGTGATTAAAAATGGATTGTGTGTTCTACATGGAAGCGAAAATCAGAAAATTGAAGAAATATCTCGAGTGATTGAAGATGAGTAAGTAAAATTTTTTTGAGATGTATTAATTGCAAGCTATCAAAATCTTCCGAAAAAGCACATTAAGAAGTTAAGAGCAAAGTTTATTTTATAAAATATAATTACCATTTTATTTTACAAGTTTACTTTAAAAAAATAAGTAAGTTTACTTTAGGGTAAACAGGAACTCTTCAGTTTCTTATATACATATATTAATTCCAAGCAATCTTGTTTTTCATTATTTCTTCAAAGAATCAAAGTTCTACAGAATTCAAATGTACACAACAGAAAAAAAATTAAAAAAAAGGGTAAGTCAGAGGACCTCTGCAACGAACTTTGACAAATTGTTTGGAAGGTCATTCTGAGTAAAAAATGTTATATGAACACAGGTCCTATTCTTAATATTTACATAGTTACAGAAGTTGTAAAATTTAGGTGACATGTACAGTTATGAAATGAATTTGCATTTATTTCTTCAAGTATCCTTGCGGACAGTTTACAGGAGTTGTTCAAAGTGTTTATTCTGAATCTGATTACTTTTATTACACCATCGTAGCAGTGATTGTCAAATTCTGTCGAACATTTGAGGTCTGTAAATATTAAGAATAGGATCTATATTCATATGACATTTTTTAATCAGAATGACTTTCCAAACAATCTGTCTAAGTTTGTTGCAGAGGATCCTTACTCACCCTGTATATGGCAGTGTAAAATGTCAATATATTTTGTATTACAGAGAACAATTGATATTCCACGCGAATATTCATGGTGATAATCGCAGCAATGAAGATCAGCTATCGGAGTAGAATAAAGAAAATGAAGCACTCATGTTTGAATCCTTTGAATCACAGGAATATGATCAGAATGAATCACAATCGCAGGAGTACGATAAAAAAGGAAAGAAGAGTAGCGGTAAATCTGTTTTAATAAAGCATTTACGACTATTCATAGCACTATGATAATGTACTATAAAATATGGTATTTGTTATATTCGAGCAGAAAATGAATACGATACGAAACGAAGAATGATACGTTAATAAATATAATCTAAATATGTTATTAACAAATAAAATACATACAATATATATGTATAATAGAATATATATAAATATAATATAAATGAAATAAATATAATATGAAAAATGTAATATAAAATATAAAAGATTTTTTAAAATCTTTGACTTCACAAAATTTTTACATTATTGTAATACCTACTAATAGGTTTACTGGTGCTATAATGTAGACTATTGTATTAATCATTAAACAACGTGATTTTCAGATTACTGGAGCAATTCAGGAACATCGTTTCTTCTCGATAAATATGAAACATATATGTCGGATATTGGTCCCATGAAAAAATTCAAAACTAAAAAATTGATGTGGGCGCAAATTTCAAAAGATATGCTGACGATGTTGGACGTATTAAAAACTCCTCTTCAAGTTGAAAATCGGTATAAAACCGTTCTCAAAAGGAAAAAATAAGCAGTTGAGAACAACTCTAAATCAGGCAGCTCTAGAGAGGATGTACCATTCGAAGAAGAATTGCGTAAAATTGCTCATTCGGACGATAGTATTGAGCCCGAGGTGTTGCGAAATGCAAGGAGCGTTAAATATCCTAAATTGAATACAAGAAATCTGCAATGATAGTGCCTCTACACATTCTACTGATAGCTCACCACCGAAGACAAAAAAATCGAAACCAAGTGATATTGATAAAAGGATGGAATACTGGAAAAATAAAGAAGCGGCAAAAGAAAGACGTCACCAAGAAAAGTTGAATTTAATACGGGAGTTGTTCGCCAAACAAAAGTAGTGGGAACTAAAGTAAGATGATACAGAAACAAGCAAATATTAAAAAAAACCAAAGAAAGACTAATGTAAAATCAGCCTGAACCATATGTTAATATGAAAGTTCCTAACTAAAACGCTGGATGTGATATATAATTTTAATTATTTTTTTTTCTCTTATAATTTTGTACGTTTACTAATTGTATGTCTTTGTTTTTAATATTACTGGTTTTTAATATTAGCGTATGCATATTTTGATTTTCGCACTTTACGAAAGATATAGTACTGCTCAGACTATTAAGTATGAACCAGTATAAAGTAAACTTATTGTGTTATTTAATTTTAAAACAGTGTTATTTAATTTTACAATCAAACTTTTTGAAAAAGCGTGTATGTTAAAAAATTACATGTTTATGAAATAAATAAGAGATATAATATATGAATTTTGAAAAAATAATTAATATGTACGTGTTATAAAAAAAATATGCTTTGTTTTTATATGTTTTGCTTTTTATTGGAAAGTATGTACTTATTTGCCACAGGACAAATAAACGTTTGATAATTTCATATTGTATTAATTTTTATTTCATGGAAAAAGTACATTCATCAATTGGTTTCTTTTTACTTCCCCTAATCTTCGTAATAGAGCTTCTTGTTGACCTCTGCCTTCATTATTATAATCTTCATTGTTTTCTATAACAATATCAACATCAAAGTTATCGTTGTTGTCTATGCATAAGTTATGCAAAACGCAACATGATGTAATAAATTTTGATATTTTATCAACAGTATGTAGATCTACTTCGATTAATTGTCGAAAACGACCTTTCAACAGTCCAAACGCATTCTCGATCAATACTCGAGTCGCAGACAGCATTTTATTAAATTGTTTATCCTTTGCAGACAGATTTCCGTAGTCTTTAAATGGTATAATAAGCCATTCTCTTATTGGATACGCTCCATCGCCTAGAATGTGATATTTTCCGCCTTCACATATTCCTGGCAACTCGTCGCATATATCTGATAATTTGAGTACGCGCGCATCGTGAATTTTCGACGGGATTCCTGTAAATGTATCTATAAATCTCTTTCGAGCATCACATATGCCCTGCAATGTTATCGAAGGGATGTCATGTCTATTTACATATGTCGATTTTATTTTGTGGGCTGGCGTTCGGACTTTAATGAAAGTCCCATCAATGCAGCCAAGAACTTTCGGAAATCCTGCAATCTTCAATTTTATATACATATACATTAAATAACTCATTAGAAAAACATACATAAAATACAATAAAGCTGAAACTAGTAGCAAATTCGCATAAGCACTGTTTAGAACTAAAGAATAATAGAAAAATTTTTAGCATTAAATAATTAATTAACAAGAAATTGACATTTATTAAATAATAATTAAAAACTACTGCTTTCATAATTCAGCTATGAATCGGCTGCTAGCTTTAGCTTCATTAAAATACATTAATTAAATATACATACTTGAAGGAATTCGTTTGCAGTATTTTCTTTGTCAGAAAATTTGATGACGTTTCCAGCTATATCGCATAGAAAATCCATCATTTTTTTATTTTGTCGAAAAATCGTTGTAGCGCATACTCCAAATCTTTGTGCAACATCTCTTAAGCACACTTTATTTCCTGCAAACCTATACAAAGTAATATTTTTTGAAATCTTTTTAATATTATATATATATATATATATATAATATGAGTGGTGGATGAATTAAAAACTATACATGTATATGTAAAATTTACCACAAAAAAGATAAAACGTGTGATTCAGCAGAGGACGGTTTAATACCTCCGTGGCTTGTATCACCAGAATAGAACGTCGAATTTTCGAAATTATTTATAATATCATATGCTGTTGCCCTCGAAACTGGGATTTGAACTACAACAAAAATAAAAATTACTTTCTACTTTTATTTTCACAAGCTAAATTATAACAATAAACTTACGTCGTGATCGGAATATTGATGTACTATTTGCAAAAAGTTTTTCATTTTAGGAACAATTCGCCTCGGATTTCGAAGAAAATACTCATCTTCATCACTGCTGGATGAAGATGAAAGGAAATCCGAAATTATCACATACGTTTGTTCATTCAAAACATCTCTGTTCTGCGCCGCCATGTTTTGCACTCAACCGACACCATCTCTCCGAGCTCGTGCCGAATTTGTGCACGAAAGTGCAAAAACTCGACACTACATTTTCCAATGAAACACGACGCATGATTTTAATGTGCACTGAAATTCCCAATGAACCACATCGTCCACGACTAGTGCGCATTGAGTGCGCACTCATTTTCCCAATGAAAAACGCTATAATGTTGGCTACACTGTACCCGTACAACGCGAAGTCGGTACAAAATGAACGCTGAATACATCAGTTTTATCTAAGCTCCTCTTCTATCATCTTAGCAAAATGGGTAATCAATTAGTGGGCATTGCGCCCAGCCAAATATATCCGGTAGAACACTATCTGACGGATCACAGCGACTTATTGTTCGATATAAAGTAAGTGCAATCGAATCGTTTCGCTTTGCACGTATACTCCCTGCTAGTTGTGCATCAAGACAAGCTACATGTCAAACTGTTGCTGGCATACGATAAGAAAGATATCATATGGCGAGCTATTCATGTTATTACTGATAATAATATTTTAATTATCGCTATTGAATATATACAAAACTTCACTGCTTGCTGACAATCTTCCATTATCTTATTGTTAACCATCCTTGCTTCAGCATAGTGTGATGACGGTCTCACTAATACTAGCATTGATGTTCTATTAATATTAAGACAATAACATGTTGATATGGCGACATACTTGTTGAGGAAAATATTGAGAAAATATTGTGCAATATAGAATGACTTTGAGATAGTGCCAAATAATATGAGACTAATTCATAAAATCTTTGGTCAATTGCAGTTTAGGAAGTACTAGGTTTTTCAAAGTTGCTCGGGCCCGTAGCCAGGAGGGTCTGATAGTGGTAAAAGTATTTGTAATTCATGATCCAACATTGCCATTATCAGCCTACAAGGATAAATTGGAAGAAATAAGATCCAAATTAGCCTCAGCCGTCAACTGCCTACCATTTCAGCGAATGATTGTAAGCATTATGGCAGTGAATAATTATAAATATATATTTCTTCTTTTAAGTATGCGATTAGAATTAATTGTATGCTTGTATTAGCTCACAGAAAAAGCAGGTTCAATAATGCGGGAATATGTGAAATATTCTCTTTATGATAGGATCAGCACTAGGCCATTTTTAACAAGTATAGAAAAAAAATGGGTCACTTTTCAAGTATTGTATGCTCTTCACCAGGCTCATAAGGTACATACTGCTTATTAAAATGTACTATTGTGTTGCTTATAATTTTTGAAAGTAATAATATATGCTTCTGTTTTTACAGTTTGGAGTTTGCCATGGTGATATAAAATTGGAGAACATTATGATAACCAGTTGGAACTGGGTATTACTCACAGATTTTGCTAGTTTTAAACCAACATATTTACCAGAAGATAATCCTGCGGATTTCTCATACTTCTTTGACACATCTAGGAGAAGGTAAAATTCTTTATTATTTTTATCTTTCCTATATTTTTTCTTGTATTTATTATCTCCTACACTTTTATACTAGTGTACACTTATATAATAGTGTTAATATTATCTTACTCATGTCTTTTCTTTTATATTGTACTATTATGTATATATGTATGTATTATGTTATAATGATAAGATAATGATAAAATTCTTGTTAATATTTTCAGGACATGTTATATAGCACCTGAACGATTTGTAAAAACGCTATCTTCGGAATTGAACAATACATTATTATTACCAGAACAAGAAGTAAAAACGGGTGACTTGCATCCTATGATGGATATCTTTTCCGCAGGCTGTGCTTTAACAGAATTATATAACGAAGGCCATCCACCATTTGATTTTTCACAACTTTTGGGTATGTATGTATGTATAACATTTATTTTGGTTGCTAATATAGCACTGGCTTTGGATATTAAGGAAAAAACATTCAATTACCAATATTTAACTTAGGAAAATTTAATATTCCTTAAAATTATTAACTAAAGATCTGTTGTTGAAAATAAGAGATGATTAAAAGAATATAATGGAATATAAAAAATATATAGAAAGCCAGCTCTGTAAGTATAAAAAGTTTTACTAATAAGTTAAATCTGCATTAAAATATTAAGCATACAGGAACAACGAATACTCTGTGAGTAAACACTTGGACAGTATAGATGACTCAGGAATACGAGATCTTCTTAGTTCAATGCTGGAAAGAAATCCAACAAACAGGAAGAGTGCGGAGCTTTACTTGTCTCAAGCTCGCGGTATCATATTCCCGGAATACTTTTACTCCTTTCTGCAGTCCTACATGCTCATCTTCTCCGCCGCACCCATTTTATCGCCGGATGAAAAGATAAATAGATTAAAAAAAGATATTGGTAATATTATTAGTATATTGCGGGCAGAGGAGAACGAACGGATGAAAACAAGTATGACAAAAGCCGCGGAAACCATAAAAGCCGGTCAGTGTGAGAGTAATGTGGAATCGATAAGAGACGATTCCGGTCACAGTGAGGAAAATACGATGGTGGAGGTTGATAGTGATCAAAGCTTTGATAAGAATGATTTAAATCAAATCGACGCGAGGAACACTGGGCAAGATATTGAAAGTGACGTTCAGGTGGAAACAGAACCAGAGTTCAAATCGTCCGAAGAGGATCGTAAACAAGTGTGCGATGCAGAATCCGAGAAACCAGTTGCCATGTTGACTGAAATTCTAGAAGGACTTGTTATCGTGACTCAACTCGTTACGTCTTGTATCAGGGGATTACATCATTCGCAATCCAAGTTGCACAGCTTGGAGATATTACTGGAACTTGCTGAAAATGTTTCCGACGAGACGATTCTCGATAGAATATTGCCTTACATCGTAAGTAATACGGCTACGAATGGGGATGCAAATTTTTCGAAATCCTTTTTAATAGTAGAAATATGTTAAAGTATTCCATTAAAAAGTATCTTAAATATTTTATTAAAGTATCGAAATATCCTATCAAATATTAAAATATACTATTCTCTATTTCCATTTAAATATGTATATTTGATCTGCGATCTTAAAGTGCAAACTATTTACGATTCTCTTCTCTTTTACACAGTTCCTTTTAGTTCACGACCCGGCGCCACGAGTGCGAGTGTCGGCAATACACACTTTAACGAAGTGTTTGCATCTTGTGAAATCAATACCACCTTCGGACGTGAATATATTCCCCGAGTACATTCTACCAGGCTTATCGCAAATAACTCAAGACGAGGCAGTTATTGTCAGAGCAGCTTACGCGGAGAATATCGCACATCTGGCACATATCGCCCTGCGTTATCTGGAGAATGCTCATTTGTCCAACTTGGGCAACAAAGAGGGACCAAAGCCCAGTTATGACAGCGAACTACAAACCTTACACGAGATGGTACGATGCTTGATTTACAAGTTGAATTTTCGATCTTCGAAACTCTATCAAGTTTTATCTCTTAATGATGCTCTATGCATTTTTATTCTTATCTCTTTCCAACCCGTCTAGGTCCAACAATCGGTGTCCATGTTATTGACAGACTCACAGAATTTAGTGAAACAGACTCTAATGGAAAACGGAATAAACAAGTTGTGCGTATTTTTCGGCAAGCAAAAGGCTAATGATATTTTGCTTAGTCATGTTATTACGTTTTTAAACGACAAGGAAGACAAGGAATTGAGGGGTTCCTTCTTTGAATGTATAGTCGGTGTCGCCGCTTACGTAGGTTGGCATAGTAGCCCTATATTATTGCCACTTCTGCAGCAAGGTTTAACCGATCCTGAGGAATTTGTAATAGCAAAGGCTATAAACGCTATGGCAACGCTCACCGAATTAGGTCTATTGCACAAATCTGCTCTCTATCAGTTACTAGGAGAAACTATGGTATTTTTGGTACGTATATATATGACACAGTATGTAACACTTGATATAACATATAAGATAACATGTGACATAGTGATGACATCAAATGAGGAATATTTTAAGTCGCATGATAAATATCGAATTGGCACGAATGATTTATATATTGCACCATCTTGCGCAGGTCCATCCAAATCTTTGGATACTTCATGCGACCGTAGGATTTATATCCGCGGCGGCGAGAACTCTGAATGTGGTGGACGTCCAATGCAAGGTTCAGACGATGATTCAGCCATATCTGAAGCACCCGCTGATCCAGATAGAGAAGGAGATCTTATTACTAGAAGCCCTTGTTTCTCCTATACCCAGAATAGTGTACGATTCGGTGGTGAGATATAATGACGTGGAGGAATTGTTCCAAGTGCTGGAACAAAGACAAGCGATTAGAACAAAAGCTGTGACAGGCATAATGCCGCAATATAACACCATGAGCACTTCGTTAAGAAATGTAAGTGACGCAATTATTAATACACATACAAATCTCAATATATCGCTATGCACGGAATGTTCAGGAGCGCCTTCTCAGAGTGATTTTCTCCAAATTGATCTGAAATTGATATAAACAAATTCCCTTGAGAGATTTTCGGTATATTCCCGCAAGTTGTAAAAGTTCTGAACACTTTGTATATTGAGTCAGCATTTCGAAAAAAAGAGGAAAGTTTCGAACAATTGTTTGTAGCTTTTCAGACGACTGAGTTCGGAGTCGATGACGGAGGCGGTTGAAGATCAGTTGTTGATGATGAGATTGCACTTGGCAAAAATCAATAAGTATCGTAACTCCGCGGACACTAAGCAGAATACTGCCAAACCCGCGGACGGAAAGCTGGAGTTGAACGCAATAAAGGATCGGATTAGACATCATATCGTCATGCTGTATCCTGATGCTAAGACCGACTTATCTTTACCACCGTTCAAGAGGTCAGATCGAAGAACGTCGGACAGCGTTGGCACGTACGCGACGATGAATCAAGAATGGCGTACGATGTTCGCAGCTCAAGACAGTAGCCAGGTATCGTCGAGAAGCAACATCGCTGAACTTTCGTCTTTCACGTCGTTCTGCCGATCAATAATAATCTCTGTCGCACGTCGCAGCATGCTATCGTTAGAATGTCGGACATGACCGGAAGCAGCGGTAGCCCTAGCCAGAGCATACACAGCGGAGACATCCATTTGTCTCCACAGCATTGCCTGCCGGATATGGCTAGTATAAATTCCTTCATGAACGATCATTCCCTTCACGAGCGATCTTATATACAATGTAAGTGAAATTAGAACGTATATTAAAATATCAATTCGTCGGAAAGTGTTTTCAGAAAATATGCAAAGGCTTTAAGGCTCTTGGCTACTCGTCGTGGTAATCTCGTTTTGTAACGTCAGAAGCAAGAAAATACACGATCAGAATTTTTATAAAATACATTGAAAAGAAATTTGCACAAATTTTGTTCAAAGAATTTTGCTTCAAGATTCATGTTTATGAAATAATATCTACAATTGATTGAGCAGATTTGAAAAAAAACATTTTTAGTTGAGCGATCAATAAATTGCCACAATACTATATGCCATATGGCAGAATCATGAGAAAAAATTGACTGAAAAGACATGTCATATTAATTTTACAATAATTTATTAATTGTCAGATCAAAGAAAAAAAGATCTACAGTTGCTATTGCTCAATCCATTGCAAGTCATTTTATAGATATACCTTTTTTATTCCAACGTATTTCTTGCAAGAATTTTTAGAATATTGCATTGTTTGATTTGGTTTCCATATTCAATATCGGATTTATTTCCGACGTTTTGTGAACATTTCAGTTCAGACATAGAAACAACCTGAAACTCATATTACTGAAGCACGTATCTTCTCGCTTTTGACGCCATCAGACTAGAGACCCACGGCGGGTAGCCAGGAGCCTTAAATGGTCGATGGTTTTGCAGATAGATGCGCACCATGTCGACTTGAAGTCCGACAATTAACATGCCGCAAGCAAGAGCAGCACGCAGCGGCATTGAGGGCGCAGCACTGGGCCAACGTTGCTTGGGAAAGCGGTAAATAAAAAGTCCATCCTTGAGTTACATCGTGTTTCGTAGCTCAAAAATATATTGTAATATGTTTCTTCCTGCATTATCCGATGATGACCAAAAGGCTCTAAGAGATTGCTGCCCAACGATTGGAGACCCCGAGGAATCCCAGTCGCGCATCTTCATGAGCACAGGGCCGCGGTGAACAGGCTGGTCTCGATAGTGGACACTTCTCTATTTGCGAGTAGCTCTTCAGATGGATGCATCAAGATCTGGGACGCTAGCAAAATGGAAGGACGGAATATTGCTAATCGTTCTAGGTATAAAGTTTTCTCCTTTCTTTCGGAACATTTATGTATTGATAATATCTTTGTCGGAAAATATGCGTCTAATTAGGTATAAACAGAATCTGAATGAGTGGAGTGTCTGAATTGTTGGTCTATTTATCGTGATACTAGCTTTTCATATTAATCGTGATTTACCGTGATATTAATTTCTTAAATTGTGTTTTGAACAGGCAAACATATATGCACAGAGGAGGCCCGCTGGTTGGTTTAACTATGTGCGACCAAGGGCAGTCTTTGGCGAGTTCGGCGAGTCAATCCGGAACGGTATTTGTAGTTCGGATCGAACCAAACTCCAGTAAAATGAGCGTGATCGGCACACGTCAGTTGGATATTCAGGTGATGACAAGTCTTTGTAATAATGAATGTTTGACACATAGTACTTTCTTTAAAAAAAAATATGTTGCGATCGATTTAACAGGAAGAAGGATGCGCCGTCGATCTTCAATATTTAGATTCCGGCTCACAGTCAGTTCTCGTGTACGCTTCGCTGTATGGGTCGTTGGTAGGTTGGGATTTACGATGTCCTGGTACAACGTGGCGTTTAGAAAATGATTTGAAACATGGGGTCATCACGTCGTTCTGCGTGAACAGTCATCAGCAGTGGTTGACGCTCGGCACAAGCTCAGGCATGCATACTTGTTGGGACCTGAGATTTCAGCTACCAATAACGAAAATCAAACATCGAAACGGTAAGTTGTTCCATCTTATCAAAGATATAGAGAATAAAGATATAAGAACCAAAATTGCAATCTATATTTATACTCGACTTATTGATATTTTATATACATATTTGTTTTTGTTTATTTATTTTATTAGATCCTAACTCACGTTAAACGTTAATAAACTTGAAATATTCGCATAGTATATTCTATAGTATATACATATAGTCGCGCAACTATGATACCTAAATATAATTTTTCTTAATATCTTTAGGGCATAGAGTGCGAAAAGTGGTCACGCATCCGACGGAACCTTCATGGATTATTTCAGCGGTGCAAGGTAACAACGAGATTTCCATATGGGATTTAGAAACCCATCATCAACAACTAGTTCTATGGGCGTCCAAAACCCCGGCGTTAACCAACAACCAAGACGGTAACAGCGTGTGTGCCCTGTATGCTGGATGCATCGACTGCTCGGGCTTCCTTTTGGCTGGCGGTACCGACATGAAGTTACGTTTTTGGGACTTGAAGATGCCCACCGCGTCTTATATCGCCTTGCCTGCCGCTAACGATGTCGTACGTCGGCTGAATTCATCGAAATATGAGTCAGTATAATCAATTAATGAATTCATGATTAAATGTTTCATCTAATAGACGTATATCCATTACTTTGTAAGAAAAGAATCCATTTCTTAGTATTTATTTATGAAAATTCTAAATTTTTTTTTTAATACATGTTATATACATAATGTTACAAATATACATTATAAATAATTTTTAAATCACATGATATTTGATATGATATGCATGATATGATATACATTTGATATGATTACACTTATTAAAAACAAATAATTTATTTATGTCAGTAGAAAACATTTTTTATTAAACTTAAAATTTTTCTTTGTTCTACAGACAACGTGTGATAGACGGGTCGAACGTTGTGGTTGAATTGTTGGTGGGCGATGATTCTACCCCATCCTTTAGTGGAGCCAGCAGGAACATGGAGGAAAGCGGCCCCGAAACCCCACCCTCCGGCCATCACGATACAATCTCCGCTGTAGCGATGACCAACACGTACATTCTGACAGGTAGCACGGATGGCCTGATACAAGTCTGGAAATGATTATATTCCTCGTTCCCGAACACGACCCCAAAGTTCCTCGCTCAGATGACTAAGGGTTTTTCAGTGCACCGTGGAGTCGGTCTTCTACAATAACGAAACGTTGTGATCCAAGTAAGAAACAATGGTTACCTCACGATTGTCCAAGCAGATTACTCAGCGATGCCTGGCGATGTCCGCGTATATTATATATAATGCAATTCATTTAAGGGATTATTATGTTATGATATATAAAAACAAGATAATGCAATATCCTAGTGAAATTAACAATTATATAGTTTTCCACAACTTCGTGCTTATCATTGTCATAATTGCCGAAGATTACGGTGGTACCATATTTGTATTACTTGAGTCAACCGCAAATCAAACGACCTCGTTCATTCAGAATTAGATTTTCAAATGTATTTTTATAGATAAATGCTGTAGAAGTAAAAGAACAATACGATTCAATTGAATTTCGGACTTTCCTTGTTATGATTCAATTATCCTGGACATTGCCAGGATAATTGCTTGCTGCTTTTTTCTTAAACTGTAACAGTGACATTATTTCAAACATCGATGTACGCACGTTACCGCCGTGCTGTACTACAACTGTGATCCTGGACTGTGTATCTATTTATATATAGTGTACGTAATATATACACGATATTATTTAAGATTATACCGGTGATTACGACTGCGCCATGGAGCGTGCATTTCTTAAGAGAACTGAGCGCAAGCTCGCATTGCTATATAATAATGTACATAGTTTATTTTTGTACGCGCTAAGGAGGAGAACTCAGAGTATTATTGATGTATTATTAGGCAGTTGTTGTAACACGGGTTTAAGACGTGTCGATCACCGGCTTTTCGCGAAATTGACGAATTAACCCGAGTAATTCTATCGAAGTAGCAAATGTGTACTTTAGCCTCGCACTCGCATCTCGCATTTAGAGTTAAAAAAGTAAGAAAAAAGCTCGTGTTGTTAACCCCGAGAGTAACATCAAGCGCCTCCCAGACATACTGGTGTAGTTCCTTCCAGTAAAAAAAAATAGTAAATTCAAATTACGCATGAAAATCCTATTAAAAACAAAATGGAAAAAGGGCAATGATTACGACTTGCAATAAGTGACTCGTATAAATTTCAGATAAATTTTTCGATAATATACCTTCGACAAAATGATGTTACTCGAGCACATAAAATGTGTGTGTTAAGGAGGGTTAAGGAATAAAGATATTTTATGATATATATGAAATTTACTCTAATACCAAAGGAACGTATCGGATATGCGTGCGATAAGTGATATAGAATAAAATTTGCTATAGAATAAACTTTTTTTCATTTTTTTTAATAAAATTCGATTAAGAGATGCGAGTGCGAACAAAGAAAAAGAAGAAGAAGAAAAACGAGACATAACCAGATTTGTGTACAAAAATATGCGAAAAAGAAACGCTGGCAGTTATTTCCTCGCTTCGTAATTTACATACAACGCGTACAGTACAGTAAGTAGTTATATGTAACCGCGAGTATTTATGTATATTAGTTTATGTATGTATCTTCGCACACAAGTATGAATCCACACACATACACACATGGAACACATATACATGCGCGCATACATACAAAAAAAACACATTGACTGAAATACTCATAATCAGTGGGCGTATACTGTCTTTAAAGCGTTGTTATAATAAATTCATATTTTTAACGCATCATGTGTGTACATATTATCGCTTATATTTGGCACGACAGGACGACCGGCCAGTCCGACTGAATTTCTTTCACCAAGGACAGACCGGTGCGGCAGGATAAGGCACGCGTCCTGGATACGCGTAAGGATCGGCGTTTATTGTCCTGCAGATCTGCTTCCAGCGTTCTTTACCATCACTTCTTCCTTGACGGTATTCCCGGTAAGAACCGCTTCCTCTGTTATACGAGGGTTGCCCGGGAAACCATAAATCCAACCAGGATGCGGAAAAGACAAAACCGACGAACAATAGTAACAGGAAAATCAGCTTCATCTTTATTTCATACGTGAAAAACTCCAATCTTCGTTCTTATAATACGTCCTTGCAATGGTGATCTGCAGAGAAGATTAGTTCTTATTCTCGTGAGTATTTTGGTATATTGTATCGAAATTTAAGAAAGTTATTTATAATTAAATCTTATATTTAAGAGCATCTTTTTTTAAGTTTATCTTCAGATGCTTTGTAGCCAGTAAAACGATTTTTGTAGATCTTCCTAGATCAGACGGACAGAATTTATATTTTTGAATTAAGCGATTCGAGTTTCTGACTTCTGTTAGAGTTCACTTATTTATTAAAACAACAAGATTCTCTTATTTCTTTACATCCCTTTACAAACTTCATTTGTTCAAACTTTATTGTTATAAGTAAACGAGACAATTATTTCTCTTGCGATTAAAGCGCCGTATCTAATAAACAAAGAACATTAGATCAATATCGTGAAATGTTAATTTCATGTGCATATCTCTTAAAAGTTCTCATTTAATATGTAATGATATTAAAAATTTTTTTAATATTTACGAATTAAAAATAGTAAAAATATTTTAAAAATATCAAGGTGCCGAAATTTTATTAAATTTCAGCACCTCTCTATCTCTTTCTCTCTCTCTCTCTCTCTCTCGGTATTTTTCATAAATATTGATAATGGTATCAATACAACTTTAGAAACTATACAATACAATATATACAAGAAAATACAATTGCGACATTGGATGTTACATTTAAATAATGTTCTATTAATGACTTTTTGCTTACTAGGTAATATCTCCGATAGAATCTCCGGTAGTGTCAAGTGGGTGCTGTGCAATTGGGAATGAAAATTTGGTTAATCACAGTCGACGCTTCGTTGATTCTTCGTGTCACGGCGCGTGACGACGCTCTAAAATAGACAAAACAGCGACAACGGGTTCACGCACCAAAAGACCATATAATGGATAAGTCGTTGCGTCACGGGTGCGTGGCTTTTTCTTATCGCGACTTTCAAATTTCACACTTTCTGAGCCGTGGGACCGAGAACGACGGCGACAACGACAATGCGAAGATGTTTTTCTTCCTCTCGAACTATTTCAGCGTCGCCTCTACCAATACCTCGTAGCCATGCGATACGAAAAAAGCGATCAGGATAGCGTAAAATCTCGCTCTCGAGCGGGGATTAAACTCGTGGACACAAAAATCGGTCTGTCACCTAATCGCGGACGATTGTAACGAGCGTTATAACAAGTAGAATGAAGCAGAATCCGACGCAGAATGAAGAGATGCTGGGATGCTTACTGCTGTTTTATATACCGTCAGCCGCTCCGCCGCTCAGAAAAATGCGTGCTTGGTGAATCGGCATCGCCTTTTGACGAGGGTTCTCCCCGCGCGCTGGATGCGTGCGTCTTCAATCGGCTCTAATGTGTGAATATGCAACAGTCCTCTGCATGACTGTTAATCATGTATCATACGCGATTACTCATCATTAACAGAGTCTAAGAGTAAATGAGACCCGATCGCTAAATGCGTATCACTTTGTACCATAAAAGTAGCCCAGATCTGATTTTGCGGAATCGGTTTTCGTTTTAACGTCGATCTTTTGTGTTAACGAATGCTTTGTCTTTTTAGATCCGCTCAGATCCTCGATCTAGAACCTTCGAATCTTCTTATTCTAGAATCCCTCCGGGTCTCGGAAAGCCAAGCACCTGCAATTCTGAACCCCATGTCATCGGTCTTCAATTCAAAAGTCAGTTATGAATGGTCTACATATATAACCGACACGATATATTGCGCGTATATAATTGAGAATTCTTGTGAATTCTTGCGTCGTCTTACAGATACTTTGCTTAACATTTCAGGTTTGTAATACGTCCACCAAGTTCCGTCTCATTTCCACGATTTGGGATTCCGCGCTGTACCGGCGCCGTCTGACGTACGAATTTGCGGAATTGCGCCTCTGAACTTGGGGAAGGCCCTTTCCCATTGTCTCTATTGATTTATATGCGACATTCGTCGCGAACGCTTACCCGCTTCGCTCGCATATTCCGCGCACGTGAGAATATCGTTCGTAAGAAATGCGAGTGGACGTACGAGAGATGCCGATTCCACTGTAATTACTCATTTGCTCGATCGCTGCATCTCATGGTGATGATAATTTTTACGTATCTCTTCGGAAAGTAGTAATGTGGGAAAGAGGATAAAGATATTCTACCGCTAAGTAATTATTTAGTTTACTTATTTTCTTTCAAATAATGATTATCCTCAACAAAGGATATTTTCTAAATAATAATCTTTCTGGAAACATATTTATCATACGTTTAAAAATATAGCTCATTAGTATTTAGATTTATTTTATTTAAGAATATTATAGTTTTATACACTCTATGTAGAAAAAGTAAGCTAAATTTTTATTTTAATTTAATATTGAAATATTAAATTTATTGGATATATAGAATATATTTTCAATAAATTTAATGCTTAATAATAATTGATATTTGCTTATAAATTGGTAAATTTGCGGATATATAAACTTGTGAAATATTTGAAAGAAGTGACATTTATTTGCAAAATATTACAGAAAAACTTTTTCCTATATATAACAAGAAGAAGGAAGTAGGAAATTACGCTCTATATAATAACAATCCCTCAAAAGCAGACCACAGGCTAACATTGCATCGCGCACGGTTCTTCGATTAGCGGCCGATGTTTAATTCATAAATCGCACTTTCGGCCGCGTTCGCGTATATATTCGCAAAGTACCGGGTCTGCATAAAATAATAATTTCACATATATCGGAATCCGCATAGCCCGTGCATTACTCGTGCATGCGTGCGTGCGTGCGTGCAATCAATCGTGAAACAGCACTGCTGAGGGGAATTTCACGAGGAGCGTTGCGAAAAAATCGCGTGACCCGCGCAATTTGATCCGCGAGTGGATCCACGACGTGTAATAGTTTCCAACACGTCGTCCGCTTCTTCCGCGCCAACGAGTTTGATTGGAAGTTGTTCCAAATTTTATATGTCAAGGACGGCTGTTGGCGCTGATATCGAAGACAAGTAGCTGGGACTTCTTATCCGCAAACTTGACACACTTCTCGCGAACCGCAAATCCGATCGCGCAAAACAACATGCGATGCTGATTCACCCTTTAACCCGTTAAGTCCCTGATACACTTCTTTTATTTTTAGATAAATCAGATAAAATGCGATTCAATGGTGGTTAGCTACGCATCAGCACCGCCTCGGTGCCGTCTTTGGTCATTGGTTCGGTTGAAAACCCGAGCACAGAATTTCGATTAAATTTACAGAAACTTGAGGAGGACGGTAGTTAATTATGATCGTGCTACATTAATTTGTCATCCCGATATGTGGTAGTTTTTTGTTGCTTTCTATATAATACTATGGATTCATTTATAATGTAGACGCACCTCAGGTAGAACAGAAAATCATGATGACATCAAAATAACGTCAAAATGATGAGGAAAACTTTTTCTCATCATGATTCAGTCATATTTTCTGATTTCAGTCATTTTGATGTCATCATGATTTTTTGTTCTACTTAGGACAAAGGAGTCATCTAAATTATTATTATTAATAAATAAAAATAAATAAAATTAATTAATCATTAATTAAAAGATAATATAAAAATATAAATAAACATTAATCAAATTATAAATTGAGTGATCAGTATTGATCTATGTCGGTGCATCTAATCCTTAGTGAAGACTTGTTACTGATAATTGTCCTCTTACTCTTTTTAGATTCCATTTTCTTCATCTTATGTAAAGTGTTCCCTGGCCTCATTCACATTGCACGCTATCTTATGTGAGATACTGATTGGAAGATAATTAGTTTTTGAATCACGTAATAACTGGGTTATACGTGAATAAATACAAGCTCGAATGTCTCCTTGAGAGAAGTCGTTGACAACGAGCTCAATTATCGAGCTGTGAACTGCAAGCGACAAGGTCGATCACTTTGAGCGATTGCACACAATCGTCCTTACACTTGACGTATTATGAATTCTTCTATAAACGGCAAGTCGTCGGGTCGCTGTAGGACCGTTTAAGGCGGCTAGATTTGCTCCACGCGATTTCCTATTACCATAATAGCCAGTTTCCAATTTACCTGGCTATTAATAGCGTTCAGCAGAGAAAGTGCGCCAGGCGGTTTTGCACAATGAAGTTTGTAATACGCGTGAATGATTTTTCACGCTTAGTCTGCGCTTCGAAATTCGGCCGCGGTCCGGCCGGATAATCATGCATAATTTTATATAATTACATGTAACCATTTTCCCCTGGGAAGTTCCCCTGATTTCTGTGCTTCCGTAGTAACGGAAAATTCAGTTATGCTAACAAAGTTGTTTTTTTCTACGCAGCGAATGCAGAAATTACTTTAATGTGAGAGCTTATGAGCTCGACAAATATTTCTTCGAAAATGAGCTGGCGAACGTTGTCTGATGTACTCAAGATCTCGTTGCTGCGAATGTGGTCGGACGCCGCTTCTCATTGGGATTTACAGACATACCGCGTTAAATCGTCTAAATATTTTGGCTACTGCAGGCTTCATCGAAACTGCTCCGTGCAACAGACTGCATCACGTGCGTCAGTTCCGCTCTGCTCTACTTGCAGAAACTTCGTTCACTTGTCTTCGTGTTTCTCGAAGCATCCTTGAATGTCAAATTGCGGCAGCGTTGACGACAAAGACAGCTGCGAGTCTTTTCGTCGACCCAGTCTCTCGATCAAGATGCAACGTAGCTTGAGGAAAATGAGAGAGAATCTCCAAAAAATTACCGGTACGTTCAAATATCCAACACAATCAGCTCTTTCGTCTTAATTTTTAGCTCTTTTCTTTTATCGATCAAATTACATGTTGCGGAAATTGAAGTAAAAAATCGAATCGGTCGAATGAACTTTTTTATACCTTTCTAGCACATAATAATTTAATATTTTCAATTTAATTTAAAAATTTTTATATTTTTAGAGATAACAAAGTATAAATACTGAGACAGTAATATAGTTCTATAGGATATAATTTGAAGCGCTGATAAGATCACATAGGCAAGATGATCGGAAGAACAAGACCGAATCATACACCCAGCGAATCATGGCATCAGGATGTTTCGATAATCTCCGACTCTCCACCAGAGTACTTAATCACCTTTTCACAGATAGCGTTCAGGAGGACGACAAGCAATCGCTATACAACTTCTCGGAGGAGCTGTCCACCCTGACCTGGCGCACAGGTTTCTCCAAGGACGAGATTCGTAAGCTGTATCGTGCTTTTAAGCAGTTCTGTCCTCGAGGTTGTGCGACGACTGGCGATTTGAAACCCGCATACGCCAAACTGTTCCCGTTGGGCGACCCAACCAGATACACGCAAATCGTCTTCCACAGTTTCGATAAGGACGGCGACGGCTTCGTCAGCTTCAGCGATCTTCTGGATGCCACAGCATCGATCGTGAACGGCACTGTCGACCAGAAGCTCTCTTGGATATTCGGGTGAGCAGTAATCGCTGTTAGTAACAGACTGTCTGATTCTAGGTTGATTTTCGAGCGCAACCTGATGAAAGATTTTTATTTCGTGTCAGTTAAGAAGTTCGGTTTAATTTTCTGTAACTTCTTCGGACACAAACTAACCACCTTATACTTTACTTTTTTCTTGCTGTTTAATGATGGTTGTGCAGAGACAAAATTTACATATATAATCATTTTCCCCGGAGTAATACTCGAAGTTAAAAAGTGACTCGAAGTTAAAAATGTTAGTTAAAAATATTAGTCGCAATAGAAATTTTACTTGACTATTAGATACTTATGAAATATTTAATCACTGATACTTATTGAAGTCAATAATCTCGAAGATCATAACATGCGAAATACTCTCTGGACCTACTTTTCATCAGATTCTACGATTTGGATGGAGACGGTTGCATCACGAAACGAGAGATGTTGGTTATAATATCCGCGATTTATGAGATGGTGCAGGACGCGCGGACTATCCGGCCCGCAGTTAACATCCAAGTGGACAAGTTCTTCAAGAAGATGGACGCAGACAGAGACGGAATAGTCACCAGGGAGGAATTCATGAGCGGTTGTAAAAATGTACGAGTAATTAGTTTCCATAGCGTTTCGCGATGCGACATCATTATCTTCGTGATAATGAATGGTAGAAACATATATACGTTTTGAAATTTCATAAATATTTTATCTTCTTACAGGATACCATTATAAACAACCAACTGAGTTTATTTAATAAGATTTGGTGACGGAATGAAAATGTTCTTAAGAGATTAACGAGCAATTTATCCACACACGCGTAAAGTCATTAAAATACTTATAAAAAACTCACCCGGTTTCTTCTCTTAAACAGTACATACATTCTCTGTCATTTATCGTGAGAATTCCTGCGCAATATGTTACAGTCACACGATATCACCGAAAATGATCAGTCTATTTCGTTAATATCACATACATACAAAGGGCTTTCAGAACAGTCTCTTTTGTAAAATATAAAACACGCAGGCGAGGAAGAACGCGAAGGCCAGTACAAGTAATGCTTTATCGGTGACTTCGCGTCTACCATATTTTCCCAAGAGCTTTCCCGATTGCACTATCACTTGCTGTTGATGCTCCAGCTCGTTTCTCGTGTTATCAACCTTATCAGAAGATGTTACTGAAACAACAGCAAAATCGGTAGAATTGTAATAATTATTCTTAAACAGACAATATATAGTGAAGCGATAATAATAAATAATAATTTATCTTATTATATATATAATTATAATTATAATAAAGAGAGAAATTACATGGTGCAGAAGTGATCCTTCGGAAGTGATCCGGCGGTAACGCTTTTTTTAAGATGATTTCCAAGATTTGAAGGTCACCTTTGTTTTTTTTAATGGAATGCTGTTTCTGAATTTATTTTTCGATAACGGTTATTAGAAGAAATACAACAACCTATAATAAAGAATGATTCAAAATCAGTTATGATACAAAAAAACATTTTAATAAATTTTATTATATTAGAACATTTTATTTAAAAAACAGCTTAGGAAAAAAACTATAAAGGATTTAGATCTTTAAAGCTAGTTTACTTAGAAAATAAATCTTTACTACTATAAGACAATTGTTTCAGTACCATGTAATTTCTGTTAAATTTTTCTATTCTCATATCTCATATGTTCAAGATATTCAACATAAGATAATAGTTACTGCTTCATCCTGCATGATAGATATCTAATAAATTCCATATTTTTATGAAATAATTAAAAAATATAGTACATACACAATGTGTCCAATGTATCAGCACTTCTCTGAGTTGTCTCAGCTAGATGCCTTGCGATGCTGAATAATTTGTCTGTAATTTGGCTAGAAGCGTCTGTCAAACTTTGCTTGTCTCGACGTTTACGAAGGGCATTTTGCCGCTCCTCTGGCAGGGAGAGCAGATTCTCCCTAGCTAATTTATCTATGACACAAGCACTAACAACATTAGCCTTGCGAAAGGCAGCCAAGGACACGTTCAATTGCTCCTTATAACTCTCAACAATGGACAACAACTCAGTCTTCTTCTTCTCATTTGGTTCGGTTTCAGCGACAGACGCTAATCGCTCTATGGAGGATTCTAACACCGCAATTTTGGTCCTACCTTCGGCATTGAGTTCATCTAACACTTCTAGCGGCCCAGTGCATTGTTGTATGTCCTTCACAGAAAATACATGATAATTTGTTATTTGGCTTATCAGAATATAATTCCTAACATATTATTTATTATTGTAAACATTGTATTGTAAACATGATCCTATTATTTATTATTGTAAAATATGTTAATTTTCTCTTCTTTCCTTCTTTTCCCGGAACTGATGTTAATCTAATGTTGAGATTGAGGTTATATTTCATATAGTTCATGAGATAGAATTACACATATATTTACTTGTATTAAAGCATTCACTTGGAGATGATTCTTCACAATATCCTGACGTATTAGTTCTACCGTGTAATTCTCGGAATCCATTTCTATGTAAATTATTTATTCCTGTGTCACTCCTCTCTATATGCTACGTGGACAACAAATCTCTGAGCAGCTAATCACAAGCGGACTTCATAGGTTGCGTTTACTCACTGTCAGTACTGAATATCCATAGTATATGTGACATAAACTGTATAGTTTTAATATCGGCAGTAGATGTTGGAACGCAATCACAGTTGTCAGTGAATGTCAATGAATCTATTGAATAGGTTTGTGCTTTTTAACTGAACTTTCTGCACTAGTGTAAAAAAGATATAAAATTTGTTTTGCAGATGACGTTAACCAATGCTATAACATTCTTTGGGCTGCGTAACAGGAGCTGAAAAAATTCAATTTAGAAATCGCGAATACATCTTACATATTAAAAAAAAAACATATTAAGTGTCGACAAAAAAATTATAAAATTCTCTTAGTTCTCCTTGAAGAAAGTACATAAACTCCTAATGAAGAAATTTAACAGCCAAAATAACACTCATTATTTTTCATTATTTTAACATAAAAGCTACTTTACACAATACATGTGGCGATACGTCTCAGTCAGAATAATGGAACTTCATTGTAATTTTTAATGGGATGTACGAGGTAGTGTTTATTATATATACATGTATATGTGTTTCACGCATAAGATTGCGCATCGTGCTATTAAACTAATCATGCATTCCGTATATTGTAACCGAATGACATGCAGTGGACATTATTGTTCACTGCGATATTACTATTCTTTTTTTTGCTTACAGAACGTATAATACGCCATTGTCACAAAAGAGAGATTACGAGATTATAATAAATTCCTAAAATTGCTCAAGTTTACAAACTTACAATGTTCAAATTAGATATATCCTATGATGGGTGTAGCACTACGAGAAAATTCATTGATATCACTTGAGATATCTGAATAAACGGTCTCGAGACGAGTTCAGACGATATCAAGAATCCATCCTCCTATATTACATAATAAAACGTGTCGTTAACGCAGACTGTTTATGACAGCGGCGGTAAACTCCGTCGTCGAACTTTGTCCGCCCAGATCCTTGGTCAGCACCTTTCCATCGTTTAATACGCGATTCAATGCTTCTCGGATCTGTTCGCCGTAGCGTTTGAGATTAACATGATTCAGTAATTTCACGGCGCACAGAAACATTGCAGTTGGATTCGCAACATTTTTACCCACTGCCTCGGAATACGTATGTCTTGCACCCTGTTAAGAAACACAGGTTTCAGTAACATGGTTTTCGTTGCGCGTTAATTGTGACATGTGTGTACTTCAAAATTACAAGTTAAGTTTGCAGGACATACAGATATTTGTTCTGATTTGATACTAACTGCATTAACTGCGATTTTTGCAAAAACAGAATCAGAGCTGTCTTGTGTCATTAGGTCGAAAGCACATATTGTTAAATATCTTACCGGTTCAAAGACTACACATTCGGCACTGTAACTGGCACCTGCGACTACTCCAGCACCGCCGACCAAACCAGATGCGAGATTATCTACGATATTACCGTACAAGTTTGGCATTACCATGACATCAAACTGATGCGGATTAGAGACCATCTGCATAGTGCAGTTGTCAACGATCATCGTTTCAAATGTAATCCTGTGTCATTGAAAAAAGATTGTATAAAAATATATAGAATATTTTCTAAAATAAGTTTTATGATATGTGTCAATACTTATCAGATGATAAAGATACTACATTTAATTACCTGGGATACATTTTGGCAATTTCTTGGCACGATTTGAGGAAAAGCCCATCACCAAGTTTCATTATATTAGCTTTGTGAACACATGTGACTTTTTTGCGGTTATTTTTTACTGCATAGTCAAAGGCGAATTTGGCGATTCTTTGGCTTTTAGTGGCGGTTACAATTTTCAGGCATTCTACTACCCCCTTCACAGATTCATGCTCCAATGCGGAATATTCTCCTTCTGTTTGTTCTCTAATGATGACACAGTCTACATTTTGATGACGTGATCTAACACCTGGCAGAGACTTTACATGTACAACATTTGAATACAGATCCAGGCTCTTGCGCAATTTCATGTTCAGAGTTTGTAGTTCTCCTGTATGAGAGTGGTCTGGTGTAGCTAAGATTCCCTGTTGTAAAAAAATATATATATTAATTATCAGTTTTTCCTAACTAAAAATTCTTTAAAGAGCATTTAGCTTGTTTCTTTTTACTTGGAAATTTATATATTTAAATTAGTATACTATTATAACATTATTTTCAAAAACTGATCCTTCTTATTGAAAAAAATAAAAATTTTTTCTTTGTTTTTTGAGATATCTAAGAGAAATAATAATCTGTACAAATAATTAAAGTTTGTAATCTAATTTAATCTAATTGATAAACTGACCTTTAAACAAACTCGATTCCTAGCAATACTATTTGAAACTTGATCCAAAGGAGCACTGAGAGTTGGATTTACTTCAGACAGGAAATAAGGCTCAAAATCAACTGGGACATCTGCAGCTTTGAAAACATTCTGAACTGCAACCACCAGTTCCGGTCCAACACCATCTCCAGGTATCAAGGTGCATTTTAACTTTCCTTCTTGTTCGACTGTCTGAAAAAGGTAGCTATCACATGTATGTAACTATCGATTAGAGAGCAATATTTACTGATTCTTGTTGCCGTGTTGCTCCCACATACAAGGTCCTGACTGTGCTCTTTTGAGTAGTCTATGAACACAAAGTAAATTGAACTATGTAAACATATTTCTTACAAAATATTCTGAATTTTTTAAATTCTGAATATGCAGTACTTTTAACTATTAGTTAATATAGCATAGAAATAGAAATTTATCATTCTGTATAGAAATGTTATGCAAAGAATTTATTGATATAAAAGTATTTTTGATGTATATTTAGTCTACTTCTAAAATTTTCCATATAGTGACTTTCACTCAATGTGTTTTTTTTTAATACTAATAATAATATATTTTATATCATCGTATATAGTTTAACAAAATGTGCGCAATGTTATAAATATTTGATAATAATAATATTTATAACCTAGGACGAAAAATAAAAAATTATAAGTGTTTATCTATACATTACATATATTATTACCCATTTAACAGTGTTAATCAATAACAGTCCTACTTTGTTGTTCGTCTCAAATGTAAATATACGCATATAAGTTCTATTTTTCGTATTTCTTATCGACGACCAGATACTTCTTGCATAACATACAGATAATCCCTTTCTTTCTGCCGAACAATAAAATTGCTAAGCTTGTGTTCACTGTGACTGATATATCGATTCATATTTTGGCGATCACAAATTAAATGCATATTACATTGACGTTGGTGTGTCTCTGGTGAAAATAATAGCTAATGCGCATTAATTTCGGGTAAAAGTACTTTTATATGTAAGCTCATTGCTCCCTCACTTTGCTAGCAACCACCGAAAAACGTCGCGAATATTTATTCGCAGAGACAGAAGGTCAAAAGAGTGATAGCTTTTCCTCTACTTTGCGCATTCCACCGGCAAACGTTCGCAAACCTTGGCAAAATTTCGCGATTACGAGAGAAATTTTGTATTACCTGGGAGAGTGTTTTGCAGATGTTTCTCGCGAATAAAGCCATTTTGTATGAGAGCAGTGTAATTATTGGTGGTTATCTCATTCGCACTTGCGCAGCAGAAAGGTGATCTCTGATCAGTGCTTCCTGAATTGTATATTGCTCTATATAGTCTATACCACTGACGAGATACTGTAAAGATTGTTAGCCTTATGGGATTTAGCGTACCAGAGAAATTTCGCTGTGCATTAGCGCCCTCTTAGGAATATCGTGGTTGGAATATGAAACATTTGAATTAATGCGATAAGTTAGAGTAAAATATATTTTCTCTTCACTATAACTTATTACATTAGTTCAGAAATTCTTCGAAGGAGAACAGACCCAATGCCTATGCACAAAACAGAGTGCATCCTTTTCTACCTCTACCCTCACTTCTCAAACAGAGAAGTGCAATCTAAATATACCATGTCTATTTTACATTATATTATGTATCTTTCACGTACGTATCAATAAAAAAGAAAGTTTCAAAAATTGTCTTTTTTATATTTTTTATATTTTCCCACATATTCTTCCTCAACGGTTCTTCTTAAAACGACAGAGCAAACTCGTCAGTTGGTGACGTTTGGTTTTGATATTTTCCTCTATCTTAATCGTGTTTACTTTTCGTTATACTTTATAGACGAATAAAGGCTTTTCATTGTATTATTTGATATATTACCATTGTAATTTTATATTTAATACAAAAGTTAACGACGTTCGTAGCCTATGACTGTTGTAACCATTCCGTGAGAGGGCTTCTCGAAAATTTGTTCGTTGGAAAGCATGTCGACTGTGGCTGCGTTCCGATATTTACTGTCAGTACTGAAAATACATAGTTTGTGTCACGTATACTATAGAATTTCAGTGCTGGTGAATATCGGAACGTAGTCTATATATATCGTACGGGACAAATTTTACAATATGATAATATTGGAAGTATTTCCAGTCGTTCGAGCGAATAGGTCGAACAGATTATTGGTACGTAGAATTCGGTTTCATGAATTAATTCATAATTGTGATATATCTGAGTGTCCCGAACGTTTTTGAACGTTTTGAATTCAATTGTTCTTCATGAGTGAATCGTAATGATCGTGATCAAACACGCACCCGTGCGACATTTATAACATATATTAGATACAAACATGTTAATAAGATGGTTATACGATTTGTCATGTATTTTTCGGCATGCATCACAGCATAAGTCACATCGCTAGTATGTATTTACATGCGAGCACGCACGTTCCTACGAGTGCTATATCAAGACAAAATTTTGTCGTTTTTAATAATGAACAACGATTACGTAACATTTTATCAAGCACATGTACGAGCCAGAGATACTTTAGAATAACATTTCTTCCACAACTTCATTTAGACGTTTCGTCAAACGTTAGAGTCCATGGTAAAATATAAAAAAGAAAAATACTTATATAATTGATGTACACTTGCTTCTTGATTTTTTCACGAGCATTTTTTACGTGCTGATTAAACGTTTCTAGTACCAAAGCACGTGGTATTAGCAAATTGCACAATGCAACAACAGTTACAATCAGAGCCCAAAGACATGACGGTATGGAATCCGTTTAATATTTTCCATCCTGAACATTGTGATTATGCTGTTCTTGTGTTGAATCAACCTATATTATTGAAGCCACAGCAAATGCTTCCTATTTGGGAGAAAGGTAAGATAATAATCTGAAAATATGTTACATATGCCCATATTTCTTACTCTTATTTTGATATCCCAATATTAGATACTTTGATAACTAAAATAATAAAGCCTTGTTTGTTTAGAGAAAATAGAGTATGTGGAGTATTTTCTATTAATATTTAATATTTTCTAAGTCTTATCTTCCCTCTGTATTAATATCTCCATTGTTTATTTTTCCAATAATATATTATCTTTAATAACAAAACTATAGATATATGCTTTTGTTTAAAATTAGCTAAAATCACCGTGAATGTAGATGGTGGAATACATAGATGGCTGGAGTACTTGAAAGAAATAGAGATAGATGTATTAAATAATGAATATAGAAAATATGTACCTGATCTTATTACGGGAGATATGGATAGTTGTTCAGAGACTGTGGTTGAGAAGTTAAGGAGTATGGGTTCTACTGTTGTTAGAACACCTGACCAGAATTATACAGACTTCACTAAAGCATTGGTGCAAATTGAACAGTATGCCAGATTGAAAAATATAAATGTAATAGTTTCATAAAGTTCTATTTTTTTAGAATCAATATTAAAATTAGATATTGCTTCTTGATATTAAAATATAATATGTGTGATAAGAAACAATATTGTTTCCAGTTGAAAGAAATATATGCATTTGTGGAAACAACAGGAAGATTTGATCATATCATTGGAAACACAAATACATTATACAAGAGTGAAAAGCTTGTGGGAAATATAAAGGTAATATATCATACATTTGTATATTTTTGTATTTGATATTTGTCAAAATCAATTGCAATTAGAAATTAAATTTTTTTTTATCAGTGTGCTCTTTTATAATCAACATTGGATGCCTTTATCATTTTTGTCTTATAGGTAATACAGGTAGCAGCTAATTCTCTTACATGGATATTAAGATGTGGTTTGCACAAGATAAATATACCAGAGGAATTGGTACAGTGCAAATCTTGGTGCAGTTTAATGCCTCTCGGACATCCAGTCAAGCATATTTCAACGACTGGCTTGAAATGGAACTTAAGTATGTTTCATATATTTATCTCATTTTTAATTTGTTCATTAATAATATATCTTCCATTATTTTATTAATAATTTGTTATATATAACATGATATATCTTTCTGATTGTTTCTTTTTGTATTTTAGATAATGCACCCTTGATATTTGGTAAAAAAATAAGCACGTCAAATACATATGATAGTTGTGAGGTGATGGTCGATACAGACACTCCTGTAACTTGGTCTATGGGTATCGAGCCACTTATGGAGATTGTAAACAATCATAGAGCATCATAACATTGTCTTCAAGGTAGATAATGCACAAGAGCTTTGTAATAGCTGTATCTCTATACTTATATACTTATTTACTTATGTATTAGTATATACATTCCTGTGCGGATAATATTTTGTGAAAAAGATTATATAAAATTATTTATTGTTTACAATTAGCGAAAGGTTATACTATAGAAAAAAATTTTTAATGTCAGGTTATTACTTTCTCTACAATGCCAAATCTACTGATAATGGTACCTAATTTGAAAAGATAAGACTGTATATAAGATCTGATATTAAACTAAGATATTTAGTTGAAACTGATTTGGAAAATTTCATTTATTTCCATCTATACAGTTCCCTATTGGTATGCAAGTTCCATATTGGTAACAATGCAAGTTTTTGTAAAAATATGATTCATTCTGTTAGGTTAACCATTTTCTTTTATTTCGTAGAAATGTGAGCCTAAGTTTCTTGAGCCTTCGTAGATTGAGAATGTTGCAACGTTTTTTATCTGTTTTAGAAGATAATGTTTATCAGTTTTGATCATTTTTGAATATTAATTAAATAGTCATTTATTATGCTATTAGTATATCGTTACTGTTTGTCATAAGTGAAATCAAAAGAACATATGCAATTCAGATACATCCTGTATAATTATTTCACAGAATATTATACTGCTACAACAAAGAATACATAAACACACACGCACACACACACACACACACACATATACGCACGTAATACACTCGTTTGCATAGCGGTTTTTACCCTTTTTTTTTTTATAAAATTAGGAGCGTATCAAATACAATTGTAAGTTACTGCTCACGTGTTTGCATGGTAACTCTAAGTACTGACCTTTATACACAGTATATATCTAGCATATTGTAAAAGATAAAAAATAATTCATTACTGTTAATATTTTTCAAAAAATATATTACGATTTCCACTGCTTCTTTTATTAAATTTTAAAGATTTTTGTTCAAGATATGAGATCTGTCCCAAAAGTATCCGACCTTTGCCTGTATCATGAGAAAAAGCTATTCTGGATATGAGCAACGTCGCTTTCAAAGTAGTTTCCTTCCGAAGCAATGACCTTCTGCCAATGATGTACCCACTTGCGAAAGCAGTCCTGGAAGTCGTTTTTTCTGATAGTCAATAGCTCCCTCGTCGCATTTCGCTTTATTTCCTCAACATTGTCAAATCTTTTGCTCTTCAACCAAAAGTCACACGGGGCTATATCTGGATTGTACGGAGGTTGACGAAGTTGGACAATGCCGTGTTTAGTCAAAAACTCCTGAATCAGATGAGATGAACGAGCAGGTGCGTTTCATGCGGTCATTGTGAAATAGGACGCTCGGAGTTTTCGACGTTTACACCACTGCGTATCATTGCCGACTGAACAGCTGTTGGGTCGTGCCGCTTGGTGGGAGTACTCTTAAAGGTCCACTCTAAGTACTGAATATCTGTTTTCCACAATAGGATGTCCTAGGACAAAGATATACGCAGAGGTCGGATACTTTAGGGATAGATTTATATAGTAAAGTTACGATAAAAGTACATTTTTTAGCGTTACACTGAAGATTAAATATATATATTATTAATAAATATTTTTCTTTATAGTGTGAGCACGTGAAACACGCATGGAACATTTCGAGATAAGTTCAAATCAGGAATTTTTTCCTTTTCACAAGATGATTTATGTGATAAAAGAACAGAAATCTATGTTTGAAATCTCTCTTGAAAATTTTCTTTGGAAAGATTTTCTCGTATCAATGCATGGGAAAGATAAGGATGGGCCTAATAGGCAGGTTGTAAATTGACTATCCCTAAAAATTCAACCAATGAGATTAGACCTTCCACTTTCTTGTGACAACGGTGGATGCTTGTGCGTAGAGGGACGGGAGGGGAGGAAGATTACTGTAGGCGCTAACCAGGGTCAATTTTCAACAGAAACATTTCTGATTCCGTAGTGGACACATCTAGTGCGCTAGTATTTAGTAGTATCGCTTGTGAGTTAGTTCGAGATCAAGAGTTTAGCTGAAGTACGTGGTGTTACTTAGAATTGCATAATGGAAGGAGAAACAATTGAGAGTCCTCCGCAACTCTGGTTCCCGACGGAGCTGTTTAATCCTTTTTATCGCAACTACGCGGTCCTTATAACGTACCAGGATATACCATGGACTCATCAATATATACTTCCAATTTGGGAGAAAGGTAAGCTGACTTGTGCCGAATTGTGCTATATCTTTTTACAATATTTTTCATTTATTTTTCAATTACACGCAGTAAAAAATCCATTTTAACGTCTACATTTATATCAAGGAAAAATTAATTGAAAAGTCATATATAATCGTCTTTTTTTCTACAAATTTAGCGTTACTGACCGTTACTATAAATGATGGGACGAAGAAATGGGTGCAGTATCTCGAAGACGAAGGGATAGATGTATTCAGCAGCGAAAATAATAAATACGTCCCTCAAATTATCATTACGAACACGAGAAATAGAGTTGATGAAATTAGATTAGAGTTTGAAGAGGAGAATCTGATCGAGAAGCTAGCAAAACTAGGCTCTTTTGTAATTTATATGCCTAATCAGGATTCCATGAGTTTCGTTACAGTCATAGACGAAATCAGACAAAATAATAAATTCAGCAGTATGATGGTAATATATTTTACTCATTTGAATGATTAGTTATTAAAATTGAAATATCGTACGCAACATACCATACAAATCTGTTTGCTTTAATTCTGTTTACAGTTGAAAGAAATTTATATTTTTGGTGATCCGGCGGATACTAACGATCATGGGCGCATTACCGAAACATTAGTTAAATGCAACGATATCATGGAACAGGTAACATATCATGCATTCGTACATTTTTTGACATTCGATATTTGATAAAATTAATTATAATTAAATATTAAACTTTTTACTTGGGGAATAGAGACCTTTTAACTATGTTAAGATGTTCTCATGAAATTCTTTTCTTTTCCACAGGTTATAATAATTACAAGAAAACATTATGTCTGGTTGTTAAGTCCTGGTTCGCACAAGATATATATACCATACTATCTGATTTCTCAAGACTGCGAGTGCGTGTTGTCAGTAATCACCAATCCGACCGGTCACGTTACAATAAATGGTCTGCAGGATGAGTTAGGTATATTCCGCATTTTTAATTTATCTAACCTTTAATTTATTTAATAATATATCTTTCACAGAAAAGATATAATATGATCAATTTTCTTTAGATCCATCCGATGACTTATTAATGACAACGATCACAAAATGCGAAGTTAAAATATGCACGGAGACGCCGATGGTGTTCCATTTAGTCATCTCCCCTGATATAGTGAACATGTCTCTATACGAAGAAGTAGACAGATAAAGATATTCTTGTGGAAAACAGTTCCGGCAAAGGAGAAGCGTCCATTGTGGGTAAGACGGAACTGAACGGGGGGAGGTTTTAGTGGGTAGGCAGAATTATTCCTGGAGTCCCACACTCCCCGGGTGGACGGCCGCTCGGGGGTGCGTAACTGCATTTCCTCCTCCCTCGTAAAAAAAAAAAAAAAAAAAAAAAAAACATGCAATTACAATGTATACGGGGTGATTCAGAATAACTTCTTGTCCTTGAAATGACTTGCATCTGACTGTGAGTTGTACTGTCCTTGTCAACTTGTACCCGACCCGACAGTAACGGCAAACTACTTACTTTTATGATTCAGAAATTAAGCTTCAGATAACATTTTGTAGGAGGAAAAATCATTTTAGAATTCGTTTAAGAATATGTGATTTCAAGGACAGAAAATTGTTCTCTTAATTACCCGATATAGAAATTACGCGACGCGCAATTAGTAATAGATAAGTACTAGACAATGTATATAGTAATTAGTGCTTCTTAGGGCGCGGAAGTTGCAATATTTTCGCTGAGGAACTGTGGTTCTTCCCTCCTCTCCGGTACGCAACGGGGGGATGAAAGGTGGATCACAGAATGAGATCCTGTAGAGCGGCGAATAGAACGGCCCCTCACCTATTGATTAGTAAGTGACGGAAGTCCGCGCGACCTAAAGACGGAAACTTCCGAAGTTGGAGCCTACTAAACTTTCTTGGCCGGAAGTGACTCTGTGAGAGCGCAGTCGGATGTGAGTGGAGAGTTATTAGGGGTCATTAGGGGTTCGGGATGTCCATGAGGATTTTTTCATATAAAAAAAACTTGGGTTAAAGGACCATAGCCGAACAATTAGAAACTTACATCCGGCACTGTGACGGCACCGGAACGGGGTAAGAGGGTGATATGGCACGTTGAGAGGAAGAAGTGGAGAGAATAGACAGACCTATCCGGGCAGATCTCTGAAGGACTTTTCTTATATAGGACTTTCTTTTAATAATGCTAACTTTTAATAATGCTAGTTCCGAGTTCCTTCACTTCATATGAGCGACAGATAGCTACCGTCGTTTTAGCTAGTGAGAGTTCGGCAATATCTCGTATTCTCTTATTCCAGGGGATCAGATAGTTCATGAGGATTTTCTTAGGTTAAAAAGAAATTAATGCCAAATTATATATGTATATGACTGAAAAGTACAGTAGGATTTTTATTTAAAAATAGTAAAGATTTGCAAAAATTATTTATTTCTGTCCATGCAACTTACTACTAGCGTACATCAAAATGCGAGTACTTACGAGGATGCGAATAAAGTTTAAACTCTGTTATCGGTCGATATTAATTTGACTTAATTCGTAAGAATAATATCGAGAACTCGCGGAAACATTTCGAGAACCGATCTAGTTTATTCACCTTGTCCATCCGCATTCGCGGATGATGCTCGACGCTCGAGCGTTGCCGGCGAAGAATCGGAGCATGCACTTCGCAGCACTGCGATCAGCTGTGACGGTGTTTACATTCGTCGTCGCTCGACGACGGGGAACCACCGGGTGGTGGGGTCGCGGCCACCGTCCAGTGTCTGTCGACCCGTTGTGTCGCGCGGTGTAATTCTCGAGTGGATGAGCGAGCGCGCGTTTATCGTGCTTTTATCGTCAGCGGCACGCGCGAAGCGTGTCGCGTTGCCGTGAGGTTTAGAACCTTTGCTCTTTCGTCGATAAATGCGTCGTCGACGCGTGTCTTCGTCATCCGTTCAGAAACTGATGTAAGACGGCCAGACGCGGAAGGAATCGCGTTCACAAGCGGCTTTTCTTGGGGGAGCATGACACGTGGCAAAATATTTGCGCTGTGGAAATATTGGATGGACGGAGTAAATTCATGAGCGAATGCTCATGAATACGATAAATTGGTAAATAAATTATAGATAGAAAGTAGAACAGAAAGATACGTTCATGTCACCGTTGTCTTCCGTCGACGCTCGTACCAATATTTCGGAGCTGCGAACATGTGGAATTGGCGTTCGAATTTAATCGACTTGAATGTTTCTTTATCCCTTTCATGACTTTCATGACTTGCGCAGATTTTTCGAAGCTTCTCGTTACGATCATTATCGTCGCTTGACAAGCACGACGCACGCACAGCGGCTGTCCCGGTGCGTGTCGCTCGCGCATCAGCCTCGCACGTGTTCGCTACCCCTAAGCGGGGTTGCTGGAAACCACGATGAATCAGACAGAAGATCGTATTCCAATGTACTAAAAATAATTGTTATCACCGTTATGACCTCGCTGGCGAAGTCGCTGGTCGCGTCAAATTGAACGTGCTACGTTTGATTCTTCGTGTGAGACCCGCTGCATCGAAAGATCGGAATAATCGATCGATTTGAGCGTTGACGCTTCCCGCGACGGATAATTCTGTGATCTTCATCTGTGCGTCGCGCTCGTTGCGCGGACATCCCGCGTGACTGTGTAGGTAGGATACTATAGATATTATTATACTATTATTACACGTGCTATTATTAAATAAGAGACGAAAGAATTTAGGGCAAAGTTGATAATGAGATGAACGATGATACGGGAGAAAAAAAGGAGCAGCGTCAGTCTAGCGACGACGGAATGCGCGGGTCTTCGTGAATGAGAAGCGTTCCGCATAGTAAAAATCAGCGATCGAAATAAAGCCTCTGAAAGCACCAGATGACGGAAATTCGAAATAACACGAGGACGCGGTCTCGTGAGACGAACTTCTCTCTCTCTCTCTCTCTCTCTCTCTCTCTCTCTCTATCTCTCTCAAACTCGGAGTTTCAAAATAATCAGTCGCACGAAGTCCACTTGGATTTCATTCGGGCGTCTCACGAAATGCTCAGGCGCATTTTTCGGTCCTCCTCTACTCTGGTCACACTTTGGCGAACAAACAGACGTCGAGCTTGGCCCCGGGTATCGCGGCGGGAGCTGTGAAAATGGTGTCAGACACCGAGTGTAAATAACCTTATGAACGTAAGAATAGACGTACGAGACGAATCGGGTTTATGTATCTCATGCGCCGGGGAAAGCTCGCGCCGGTCGCACGACGGGATTCCGATTAAATTAGCGGTGGTTTAAGCTCGACCGTGGCTTTAAGCCGCGCCACAGACGACATGCTTTTCTCTAGGTCGGCTGGCAATGTCGATGCTTTTCTTCCTCTTTATGTGTACACGCGACAGCGACGGATCTCAAACTCGACGTGACTGTCTCTTCTTCTTTCGGTTGCTCTTGTGTTTCTCCTTCAGTTCAGTTTACCGGAACATACATATATATATATATATAAATTACAGAGCACGCGAGGCTAATCGCGCTCGTTCGCTCGCTCGCTCGGTGAGTGAAGATGAGATAATCGACGCGGTTTCATACCTGCGTATTTGCAGTCTCGGGGATTGTATCACCAGCGATATTACAACGTTCTCTCGTTCCGCTGCTTCCAGAACCCGCGGCTTGTTTAGCTTCGCGCGTAAATTCGATCCTGAATTAAATGCCGACGTGCTGCTAGAGCTCGCCGCGAAATCCTGCGCAAACGTGGATCTTAAGTTGTGTGCAAAGTATAGCATCGGCGCTGCTGTGTCGGATCTTATTTTCGCGCTCAGCTGCGGTGGCGTTAATCTTTATGCTTGTCTTCGAGTCTTGTCTGACGTTACGTGAGCCAAGTTAAATAATTGGCATGGCGTCTACGATTACTCAGGCAGATTTAATTGAGCTTGGAGTATCATGGAAATTCTCGCGGTTGGCGCAAGTCGGAAAATTACCGCGTTCCTGTCGCACGTGACTTTCGACCGAACTTTCTAGTTTCTCACGTGTTTTTCGCGTGTCTTTGTTTCGTGTCAAGCTCGACTCGACAATTTTGAACGTTAAATTCTCTTATCATTGTATGAGGAATGACGTATATATAAAGCGATCGGGACTGAAGATACGGGAATCGAGTCATATTTGACGCACGGCGGAAATACGCGTCTTATCTTTTTTCGTCAACCTCAACGAATATTTATTCGCGATTATTCGCGGAAATTATGTACCTTTATGTTTTCCGCGATACCTCAGGACGCAGCGATACCGTTTGTGAATGTCACGAGAGTCCGTATAAAAATAATTGGCAATATCTCAAGCAAATAGAGTTGCAAACATGCGAAGTAACACGTGTACGAAGTGGCGATCAAAATGACAATGAAGCCGTTGTAAAGGCTATTGGCAAATATCGCGATCGTACAAGAGTGGTATCTATACCTAGAAGCGCATCTGCGGTGTCGTGTCTATTTCTGCCAAAAAAGAAAAAAGGAAGCTCTGCAAAAAGAAGGAAGAAAAAAAAATAAAACAGATAAGAAGAACTCGGTGCCGGCAGCGGGACGAGCGCAGTCGTTGAACAACTCTTTCATCTTTCACCGATTGCAATGCCGAACCGTCGCCCCTTATGCATGGCTTGGATATAAATAAAACGCTCGATCGATCTGGCCGCACGCAGCGGGAACAAACCGTTAGGATGACCGTCGCAGAATTTGTAATCAATATTGATTACCGTGTCAATCACCGAGACATATGCCGGCACTTATCAGTTAATGAACGCCGACCGTAACAACCGAAATTACGACTCGCTCACGGAGACTCCGCGGTTCCGATTTCCGTCGTTTATCGTGGGTCAAATTCGAAGCTGAACATTCTACCTGCATGAAAATTTCCCCGCGCGATCGCACCGATTCCTTCAATATCGAGCGTAAATTCATGATCGGTTCTTCTGTCTCGACTAAGCCGACTTGGGTCGACGAAGTGAATGAAAGTGAGATTTTACATCGTCCGTTTCTCTCAGCTGAAACTCTGTTTTTCCGCGGAGTTTTTTCAACCTCGAAGAGCCGTCGGTGCTCAACGACAGTTTCGTCAGGGCTCGGATTGATCAAAGAATCCGTGGATTAGAAGTCGCTCAGTGAATCTCGCGGACGCATCTTGTGTCACGAAGCTTTTTGCGCTTTTTGCGACTCCAAGGTGGTCGAATGATCCATGGATTGCCGTTTGTACACGATAATATGTATTCAACGCTCTCGGTCGAGAGTGAAAGTTCAATGACCTTGTCCAATGGTGCTCCGTACCTACCTGAAATCTATCTACCTGAAGCTTGCTTATCAACTTACTTGTCCTTTTAGTTTATCCTTAGGCCTGCCTTTTTCTTGTTCCCGGTGCTTCTCTCTTTCCTTTGTTCGTTTCTCCTTTTGTCTTGTTTAATTCTTTTTCTATTCGATATTTTTCTCTAATACGATACGCACGAACTTGAGAAACGAACGACATAAGATCTCACTTTCGTTCGCTTCGATTCCAAGGACATTTGACTTGGTCATATAGATAAAGATCGCATAGGTAAAAGAAAAGAAGGAAACCTAATTTATTACCGCTAGTAATGAGACTGCAAATTAGAAAAAAAGAAAGGTTTCCTTCTTTCCTTTTACCTGTGCGATCAAATTGACTTGGAGCTGAAACGAATGAAAGTGAGATTTTACGTCGTTCGTTTCTTTCAGTTGAAACTCTGTTTTTCCACGGAATTTTTTCAATCTCGAAAAGCATCATCCTCTTTTCTTTAAAAAAAAAGAGATACACGCTTTTTTATTTGTAAGACATAAAAGCTTCGTCGATATCAAGTTTGTGCGGGTCGTATTAGAGAAAAGTAGCAAATGGAAAAAAAATTAAACAAGACAAAAGGAGAAATAATAATCCTCTTAAAAAAAGATTAAATAATCTGTATATAAGAGGAAATTTATATTGAAATCGATAAGATTTGCATCATTTGCAATCTCTCTCACTTTAAGAATAATGTGTTTATAATCTATAATGTGTTTCTAATATTTTCCTCTTAATCTTAGAGGAATCCTCTTGAGGCTATGTATAAGAATAAAGTCCTCTAAAATTTAAATGATCCCGCTCGTTCTGAAATTACTTTTTTTTGGATGTACTACCTTCTTAATGCAACTTATCTGCCTTTTTAGTTTAGCCTGCCTTTTTTCCCGCTGTATTTCTTTTGTTCCTTTGTTCTTTTCTCTTTTTGTTCCGTTTTATCCTTTTTCCATTCGATACGCTTCTATAATATGACACGCTCGAACTTGATGTCGATGATGAAACTTTTATGCCTCACGGATAAAGAAGCGTGACGAATTTTCCAACTTATATTTTATGTCTTATATTTCCTGTATTTTTGTCTTTTTTCAAAGGGAAAAGGATGATGCTCTTCGAGGTAGAAAAAATTACGGTTAAAAAAGAAGAAGGAAATCTTTCTTTTTTTCTAATTTACAGTCACTACTGGCGATTCTAAATTACCCGACTTCTCGACTTTGTCAGTTGACTGACTACGGCTACTGCTCGCCCGAAAGCAGTTTGAAAGGTCTTCTTCTATTCTTTTCTGCTTTATCTCAAGCGCGAGTGTTTCTCGAAAGAGCGGCGAAGAGATTCTTACGTATATTTGCATATGTGTTCGCGAGTGAGTGCGATTATGTACATGGTGGTCGTGGAGTTTATTTGCCGTGTGAATTGTTTGGCTTGTGCTATCGCGAAACACGCGCGATAATCCTGTCTGCAGGGATGAGAATCTGCGTTATCTGCGCTCGGATCGTAAAATGAGCCTCTTATAATCGTAGAGGAGACTGAAGCGATATCTTTTCTCGTTCTCTCTTCCTCTCCTCGGGTTTCTAATACTGCTCAAGTGGAAACTGAGCTCTTCAATTAACCTAAATAGGTGGCGGTTCCTTTGCTTCTGCCGTTACTTTTATCATGTGTCACTCTTAGCGAAATTTTTATTTTGCGCTCAGTGATTGAGATATTACTAATTACTATTACTAATTACTATTACTAATATAAATTAAATATTATTAATGAGATTACTAATGTGAAAAGTTTGACAAGTTCGGTTCAATAAACAGTTACTTTCCGGACAACGTAATTACCAAGAGGGGGAGGAATTGTCTTCATATTTTACAAGGGAAAGGAAATATCATATTTCTATCAATGTTCGCGATAGACTTCGGCTAATCTGAAAACGTCAAAATGCTCGTAATTCACCGCACACTTTCTTTTGCTATTTAGCTTTCTTGCTTATTTTTGTTAAAGTCTACTCGAAATCGATGAAAGAGAGAGAGAGAGAGAGAGAGAGAAAGAAAGAGAGAGAGAGAGAGAGAGAGAGAGAGAGAAAGAGAGAGAGAGAGAGAGAAGAAGGGAGAGAGGGAAAGATGGAAAGAGGGAGAGAGGAAGACAGAAATAAAATGTACAGATTTGTATTATGACAATTTAATTATACAATTGATATCTAATTATAAAATTGAACGTTAACATTCTTGTGTTTAGCATCGTGCAGTTCCTGATGCAATAGCCTCTGGCGAAGTCCATGGCGAAAAGAAGCGAGAGAAGACGCGGAGGTGACTTCTCATCGAGCAGGGAATTTCAGATGCAGGTAGTTGCGGCGGGAAAAAGTACTATTTTTTCTAACTTTCTATACGATGGAATGATTAATTTTATATCACACGATTAATTTTAATATGAAAAGCACGAGAGGAAGAGTGGAAGGAAGTGTGGGGAGGGCAAGAAGGAGGGAGGAAGAGAAACGGCGTGTATTTATTTATTCGAACTCGAGCCGCTTATTTTCAAACGACTAATTATTCAGAAGCTATCGTCGGCGTCTGCGCGCATTCTCTTCGGGTACAAGTCGCGATCGTGGATTCACCGAAGTATCTATCGACGAAATGACATCTTTGCAGAAATTACAGGCATGTTAGTCGCTCTATCGGGGGGAGTAACGTCGCGCTCACGGCGGGAAGTATTTTGCACGCATAACTGGCAGATTCTCGCGAAGTAAGACAGACGGACATCGCAATCCTTGTCGCGGTTTCGCCAGGCAGATGGCCCGCATGGTTATTAGGGTCACTCAGTGGTTGATTGGTGTCCAAGGTTCCCGCTGCTTAGGCATTTCGAACGTGTTCCCGACGTGGCTCTTTCGCCAGTCACTCGGCTGCTTAATTTGGTACGCGACTGGTTGCGATTGATATGCAAGGAGTGATGTGCGAGTGGACGGCGTTATCCAGAGGTAACTAAGTAGCAGCCTCCTTGGTGAAAGGTTTATCGATGAACAAGGACGATGAACGGCAACCTTTCGCCGATCCGATCAGATCCGCTCAATGATTAACGGCCTGAATCTATAAAAACCAGCAGATTCGAAATACCGTGGAAAGAAATTCCACGCGCGTGATACGCGCGCGATTTTAAGTAAAATGTGACTTGAGAATGGAAGGTGCAGGCTTGATTTGTTTTTATACAAAGGGTCTTTATTTGTACAAGGATCTTTTTCTTTGTTACGCAAGAGCGTCTATATCTGGATGATCTCGTCAAGTAATAGTTTCTCTCGGAACGCGAGGTATAACAAGCGCGATCGCACGCACGCACGCACGCACGCACGATTACACGCGCTTTGCGGCTCTGTATAGAGATAGCAATGCGAAAACTAACCGACGCGAACTAACCGACTGGTTTGGCGGCTCACACTCAATATTTGAATACTACTCCGACAGTTACTGTTTGTTGCTCAATCTGTTGCGCAATGCATATAGAACACCCAACTATGCTACTTTCGCAATGCAAAATTGTTTTAAGCGAATTTGTCATGACGAACAACGACGATTTGTTCTCATTTCTGTTTCACACGGAAATATAATTATTAATAGACATAGCGCGTACGTATAATGCACAAATTCAGATCTTTGTGAAACTTTCATCGAACGAGATATATATTATATAAATATGTGGTAATATACAAATTACTCTCAGCACAGAGAATTAACAGTGAGAATTTTGCTTATTTTTTGAACGACCGTCTTCTCTATCTATCTTCATCTTGTGGGATGGCCCCTTGTAAAGTAAAGAGGCCCTACAAAAATTGCATCTCGGAATAGATCCGGATGCGGTTATCTTTTAAATAACGGGTTTCAGCATCAACACCCTCACTAAACGATCACGGGGTATTATGCTCCCCTAAGACAAGGACATCTACTTGTGCTACCGTCGGCTTTATATATGATCGATGCTGCATTTCGCTCTCGAGAAGGGTCTGCCACCTCTTGGCAGAAGTAACAACTAAAACGAGCGTACACGCAGACTTGAAATATTCACTTCTCTTCTGTGTTATCGCCTCGTCGTTTATTAAAATCGCTCTGGATAGAAAGTAATATAATAATATAATTGCAATTGGACATTTTCATCTCATTTTAGCTTTCGGAAAATAATTGTGACTCGAACTCGAAGTGTCTCAGCTGTCACTCGAGATTTTCGTAATGTTCCTCAAGCGACGTAAAACAATCCACTTCAATCAAAATATTTCTCTATTGTGAACGTTTTTCCTCACGCGATGAATAACGAACGAGAGCTGACGAGTTTTTATCTATCTTTCGTCTACGCACGTCTACGATTTTCCGGCCACCTTGGGCTGCACTTGAGCGTGATATGAATCTGTCATTGGATCGTACGCAATTGCAGTGTCCTGTTTGTACGCAAACTTCATCAATATTACCGTGTCATTACCGAAAGGCAATGATACGTGCCGGATACGTGCAATTATTGCCCAAAGCTCATATTTATCCGAAGTAACAATTGGCACGTAATTTTCCATTCATTGCAGCCAGCAATTCAAGCGCTGTCGAGTTTAACGTGGCTGTCCCACTTGAAGATCCATTTTTGCGGGAGGTCACGCGACGCGGTAAAACTCGCGTTGTTTCTATAATTTTCTATAATTTGTTTCTATAATTTGTCATCTGCTTAATAAATCAAACGGATATCGTAGGAAATACTTATCGCGCGACGCTCGAAGGAAACGTGCACCTTCTGTCCCATATCTTCTGTATTAATTTCAAGTACCGCAACACACTTTTTTTCAAGCACCGTTCGACGACGTGCGAACAGCGATACAGTCCGATTATTGCGAAAAGAGCGAAAAGCGTTGTCGGCTCCTGCTATCACGTGAATCTAATCTATGCATATGGGCGTGACGTCACGCACACTCGCTCTCCTCGGGAGAATCGCGCGTGTGTAATGTAATAACGTCTGAATTTCATCGTTCTCGCTTAATGAAAGATGTCACTGAAGATACGGCAATTTGCGTAATAGCCGACCGCTAAATAGGAGGCTGCCGCGGTTAGGCGACCTAGAAATCCGCAGAAGGATAAGCTTCGGCCTTAGACGGCGCTCGAAGTGTCCGTCGTGAAGATACGGTTGGCACGTCACCTTGGACAGCGGCAACAATTTGCCGTTTTTCCGTTATTGCTGGCTATTGTCGGCTAAGTGGAATTTTGCTCGTTCACGCCTTCGGGATAAATTCTGACCGATATCGGAGGAGACGTACGCGTTAACGCTGCCTGCGTCGTTCATAGAACGATAACTCGATCCTAGATAACTCGCTACGATTCTTTATAGCTCACTACTATGCAGGTTGTAAGAGCGATAAGAGCGTTCGTAATACACGTGAACGGAGACCTTTGTCGAAGCGCAGATAGTCCCTCTCGTTCGCCCGAGAGAATAAACTCGAGCGGATAACGACTTTTATTTTCTTCTTGTAATTTTAGATAAACCGGCCCTCAACGTATGATTTGAGAGATACAATGAGCGAGATGATTGAAATTTTATTCTCTAAATCTATCACGGAGTTCCGAGTAGAAACTGGTTCTCTCTTCCTGAACTTCACAATCCCAGGGGTACGCGAGTTCCATTCGCCGACCGTTCCGCTGATTCTCAGTCAGATTTTCGGCTCGAAGGTTTGTTTGAATTTCGAGGGTTCTTCTTCTTTCGTGAATTCACTTCGCGTTATATAATCAGACGCGACGTGTTGATGCTGTTTCGCGCGAGGCACGAGGAGACCTCGAGGTGCGCTCCCGCGGAGTCCTCCGCTCGCGAAGAAGGATCAGCAGCGCGTACAACCATATAAATTACGGAATCGCATACGGTAGACGTAAAGCAATCAGCAGATAACGATTATCTATATAGAGTATGTCGCATACGAAGATGTAGGACGAGACAGGTAGCGACTTATTATCATTTGCCTTATCTAGATGCAATCTCCGATGGAATCTCTCGGATGACGTTGGCGCGAGACGACGCGTCGAATGCTGAATGATTTTGTCCCCGCGACGCTTTCCCATTTTATTATTACGGAGTGATCTATTTGTCGTTATTCTTCTCCTCTTCTCTCTCTCCTCCTCAATGTTATCTGCGACTTCGATGAAAACGTCGTTGTCTCTCTCGCGCTGATTCAGTCGCGTGTATCTCGTCGCTAAGAGACCCGATTCTGCGGAAAGGAATCTTCCGCCCCGCGATAGCAGTGCGCTCGGGTTTACCGTCAAATTACAGTAAACCGCGGTAAAGCGATTTATCAAACGGGAGCGCGGTACAATTACGCATGCCGATCAATAGCGACCGCTCGTCGTGTTATGTATTTTTCTGATCTGCTGTTCTCCACGACGCACAGTGGGGCCAGATGACATTCTTTGGTTCAAAATTCTCTAGAGACCTGAATTTCCAACCGATCACCGACGCCAATGGATTGATCCTGAATAAATTCCGAAGAGATCTGTCTTGCCAAAATTAAAAAAACATTTTTTTCTCGAATTACTAGCCCCAAAAGAGGAAAAATTATCGTTAAACGCGAGAAACTTGTGAAATACTCGACACTTATTTCTATCTAATAGCGTATTCAGCGGATTGAAACTATGAAACCAATCAACAATCACCTCGAGATTTATCGATCTGGAACCAGAAGCCCATTAATCCCAAACTCATGCCCAAAATACAAAAATATCAAATATAGACCCGTTAAGCACAAAATCGAGGGATTTTGAGTCTTAAGCCCATCAACCTAGGAATCTATCAATTCGATCGAGAACTTTTTAGCTCGTGGATGCATGAAGCCGTATATATTAAAAGCCCCAAATAGTCCAAGAAGCCCAATCTAGCGATAGCTCGAGAACCTAATAATATTCGACTATAAGTCGAATATTCAGCTATAAAACATTAAGTTCGAGCCTCGAAACTTCTAAGACAAGCCCTAAAGCCATGAACCCTGAGCCGATAATTTTTTTCAAAATTTTGGCAAGACAGATCTCTTTGGAATTTATTCAGGATCAACCTCATCCATCGACGGTGTTGATGATCGATTGGAAATTCAGGTCTCTAGAGAAATTTGAACCAAAGAATGTCATCTGGCCCCCACTGTGCGGCGGTCCAGAATCTGCGCGGCTTTTGCAATTTGCATCGAGTACGCGCGAGTCACTACGACGACATACGGCTGTGAATAATAATCGTAGTTCGTCGGTCGACTATTAGCCGTTGGCCGGGTGAACAAACACCTACGCGTCGTCGGAGAGCACCATGGCGCGGATTGACGAATTATGCTACTTGGTACAGATCCTGTCCTGCCAAGATTGATCGTCAACGAGGAGCCGCACGAGCGCGACCCTCGGCGAGAGAGCTCTGGCAGACCTTTCGATTTCACGGCGGATCGATTTATCGAGCGACGTGGATATTCGACGGAGTAAACAAAAAAGTACCTCTCCTCCGTCGCCGAGTCCGAGTGACGACGAGTCTCAAGAGTCGCGATGACGATCTTAAATGGCTCAAGCGGCGCGCTCGGGCGCGACATACAAAAGAGACAGCGCCTTGTCACGGTCCGCTCTTATCTGCTAACAGGAGATCGTCACGAGTTCTGATTCCCTCTCCCGGCCTCCTCAGCCCTCTCCTAGCATCGGTGAGGTGGGATTTATTCGTGCGTTACGTTGGATCTAGTCAAATCAGTCGCGAGGTATTGCACCTGCGTGGCGAACCGGAGCAAAAGTCGCGGTGCGTGTGTGTACGGCTGGTAGCAGCGGGAGGGAGCAGCGGGAGGGAGCAGCGATTCACAATCACGAGGTTTGTCCTTTCCCTTCAGCGCGCGCGCGCGCGCGCGGTCAACGCGTCTGCGGCGAAGGTGAAACTTCCGTTAACGGGCGGACGGCAGGTGGCTACTCCTTCGGGCTCTGTGAAATCCCGATTGAGATGCGTGAAAGAGTGCGCTCCGACGTGGACCACCGGTCGCGAGAACCACCGGGCTCGTAACAAGGGCTCGTCGCTCGCCCGCTTGATCGGCCTCGTTCACGAGGAGCGTCCGAGCGACCGTAAACGTTTCCGCCACTCTTCCCGGCTTTGTTAATTGCCTCGTTCATCGTCGTTAATTAGTTCGGCCGAGAGCCCGTATGCGCCGGCGGAGATGTTCGTTGCCCCGAAATGAGCGTCGCTCGTTTGCGTTTTCTTGTTTGCCCGCGGCGCCTTGACGCCTCGACGCAATTATCGACTCCGTGGAAAAATCTTAATCAGCCGTCTGTCAAAGGCGACTAATGAACCGAACAACGCGCGCGTGTCTGCACCGTCCGAGAATGTGCTCTTCCGGCGCATGTACATACACACACACACACACACACGCGCGCGCGCGCGTGAGTGCACAAGTGTGTAAAGATCGGAGTGACGGCGTCCGCTGTTTGCTGTTCGCTGCTTGCTCATCTCGATCTACATTTCGTGATCGCGTCGACTTTTCCTCGGTTCCCTCGTCGCTCCTGATGGAGCCACTCCAGAAGGGCTCGCATTCTCGGCTACTCGATGCGGCGACCGAAGCGCGTCGGCGAGATCGCGAAAATCGTAAGCGACGCTCGGAGAGGAATTTCGCAGCTCCACGAAGCTGGTTCCTGACGCTGCGAATCGTCGAGGGCCATATGTTGCCACTCGATCGACATGTTACGCAACACGAAATTTCGTCTCCGGTAATTTGCGCCCGTCGACTCTGGGCGAAAATGAACGGCACCCTGGCGTGAAACTGCAGCCACATGATATTAAGTTCGCGATTAATTTCGAGTCGGAGGTGATCTCGCGAGTACCTTCTCCGAGTGAGACCACCAGGTTTCCCAGAGTTTCGCCGTCAGATCGACGAGCGGGTCGGATGCCGCGCCAAAGGCGACAGGGGAGACTTCTACGCGAGATCAAATGCATTCCCTTTCCGGGCAAGGGCGGCAGGGGAGACGCGAAGAGGCTTTGTTTTTTAGCGGGCACGAACGATATCGCTTTTCGTACGGATTTAATCTTCGCGCGAGGTACGATTATCTCGCGCGCGCGTGACTGATATTGCGCGTTGACCGCACACGCACACCGCATACCTGACCGGCCTGAATTGATTCGAATGAGCTTCTGCGTTCCCTCCCCTCCATCTCTCTCTCTCTCTCTCTCTCTCTCTCTCTCTCTCTCTCTCTTGCGGGCGCGCGCGCTCTCTGTCTCTCATTCTCGCTGTGCGAGCACGTTACAATGAGCGAGCTCGTCATCAGAGTTCGTCCTCCTCCCTCGTCGCCGCGCCTCTTCGCGGTACTCGTCGTTGTTAGCCCGGACTTGCTCCACCGTTGTTGAATTGGACCCAACGGCGAGGCGAGTCCACGAAGACATAACGCGCGCGCGCGCGCTTCGCAGTCGCGACTCATCATTGTACTCGCTCGAATCCGCTCGCGCTATTGTTATGTAATTTTTTTTTCTCTTTCCACAGGCGGTGCGTAACGCGCTGCTAATCGTCACCGTGGCGGTGCTCTCTGCTGATTCCACGGTTCGTGCTCGTATCGCGCACGTGAGCGCGCGCGCGTGCGCGCGCGCGCGCGCGTGTGTGTGTGTGTGTGTGCGCGTGTCATCGCGAATGAGTCGAGGTATTTTCACGTTGTTTCTACTTGCCCGCGGTGTCGTTTTGCGCGTTTGCGATTCTCAATGAGTGATAATTAAATCGCTGCCGTAAAGGCATCATTGAGTCGATTGAGTGCTTCGACAACTTCAGCAGCCGAATTTTCAAGGATAAGTCTCGTTGTTTGTGTCGAGACAAGTTGTTGCTTTTCTCATTTTCGAATGATGCGATCATTGACGGTCGATCTCGTCTTGACCTCGTGATCGACACGAGAGTTGCGTGGTCTCGCGTGTTTCCGCGGAATGGAGTAGGCTCTGACGAATTTCCTCGTTGTCGCAAATCGTCAGATCACACGTCGTTGCCCGACCCGGTCGATCGAATGAGGCGTCTTCGGTTATGACGGATTTGGTGGTCAATTGATTCGTGCGGTTTCCAACAGCTCGACGGGAATAAACGCGTCCGTGATCGAAACGGCAGCTCTGGATTCGAATCCCCGTGAAGATTGAATCATGGTGTCATGTCGACGAACTGATAGGCATGAGTCATCGGTCATCGTTACGTAGGGCGTGTAATGTCCCTGACAGTAGCTCTGTATTTATTATACGAAGGTCTCTCTAAAAGACCGTGAATCATTCGGAATTCCGTATCGTATCGTGTGTCATTTAGAGCATTAGAAGTCACAGATTAATAATTCGTTATCAGCGCGCCGAGATAATTGTCCGTAATTGAACGATAACGCGTGTGCCGAATGTATCCCCGGTGATCGTTAGGGACGAATAATGTTTAAACGAGTCGTCGAGTAGGGGGAGAGCAAGCGAGAGAGAGAGAGAGAGAGAGAGAGAGAGAGAGAGAGAGAGAGAGAGAGAGAGAGAGAGAGAGTGAGAGTGAGAGAGAGAGGGAGGGGAGGGGAGAAAAGCGTGTTTGCGATATGTAGAGTACACCTCGTGTTTTCATTGCGGTGCTCGACGGAGCCTGGTTTCCTTTACGTTAAGAGGAAGAGGAACTCATTTGTCGAGCACTCTTTCCTTTACGGAACACTTGGATAATCAGTGGACGTGTAATTCGCGTCTACAGCTGTCACCTCTCTTTCCTCGCCAACGACTCGTCGATGACGCTCGCGATTTGACGGAAATCGCGCGTCTCATCCCCCTCCCCCCTCCCCTCCCGCCGTCGCGGCGGATATATAACTCGTTACGTTACTCCCCCGTCATCGCGCGTTGTTTATTCCGATTGTTATCGTGTTATCCGCGCCTGACAAGCGCGTTTCTCTCTATCTCGCTCTCTATCTCTCGCTCTTTCTCTCGTGTCGAATAACAATCGTCGGGATCATGTGAGTTGCATAGTCGCGCGCATTTAATAGCGAAGGTCCTAACACGGCGTCGTGTACGTCGACGAACCTGTTGTTCTAAGTTTATCAGGGTCGCAACTTATTATAAATTACATACGAGTGTTCACCCTTCCTCTCCTCCTCTCTCTCCCTCTCTCTTTCTCTCTCTCTCTCTCTTTCTCCCTAACGTTTAATTGTGTTTTTCAAATCTTTTGCCTTCCCCCTACTGCTCGTTGCTTTTCGTTAGTTCTTTTTTCTGCATACAACGAGCTGTCGTTTTCGACTTCACCGTTCTCATCACTTCCGTTTACCACGACAATTAGTAATCGTCTATTTACTTTCGCCGCATTAACTCAAAGGCCCGGATATGTCTCTACGATTTCACAGGAAACCAACGCCCGGCCGCCATTAATTTGTCGCGGATTTTTATCCGTTTGCCGTGTTTTCACAATTGCCACGTTCTACGCGCACGAAGATGCATGTACTTTCAGTTTCGCGGAAACGAAGTCAGTGTTTCTGTTTCGGCGGCCTAAAAATTGCAGCAATCGTTGTAGCTTGATTATCGCGCATCTCACGCGCGGGATTATTAATTATCTGCAGTTCCGATGCGCGCCGCAACGGCACTTGATTCGCCATTGTATTCCCTCCAAGTATTCACTGCATATTCATATCACATTATATCCTGATATATATACATACATATTTCTCCGTCAAAGGAGAAACGTGCGCCCTGATTCGCGCATCGAAATATCCATTTATTTCCAAATATCGTATTCCCAATAAGCCATTGTGACAATCAGAGACAATTGATTCGTTGTACGACACGGCATAATTCGTTTCTCGCACGTCGACATGGATGTTGAATCAAGCGATCGGACCTTGAGATATTAATTAGTCGCGTTGATAACATGTTAGCGTTCTGAGGTTCTCTGTGGAATTCGTCACGTCGAAACGCGATAAGCTTATAGCCGGCCTAAATCGTCCGGAAGACGACGAGTTTTCGATTGTCACGTACTGCCTATTTATGGGATATATTTACGGCAGATCGGATCCGTGTCAGCGTTTTCTGAAGGAATCCTTTGTTGTAGACACACGGATAAATCTGAGTTCTTCAGTTAAGTTATCGAAGTTTCTCGGAGTAATTTTTTTTACAAATGGACTTTGTGCGATAAGACGGTATTATCATCAGAAATTTCTTATCGGGACATTCTTTATTGACTATTACAAAAAATCGTTACTTTCCTTTATCTAATGTCTTATCAGATCATTACATAGATTGTGCGTTACAGTAGCGAAACAAATTTTTAAGTAAGTTTTGCGCGATATTTTTGGGAAATATGTCGCTATAGGCGAGTGTAATTTCCGTGAATATAGTCATTCACTTGGATTGGAAATTTTTAACGTATACTTAAGTTAATAAGCTTATTGAATGTATCAGCAAGTATGACTAGCTGCAAAAAGACTCGCTTTCTCACTACACTTGTCGACTTTTTTGAACCGGTGAAGAATGAAGAAAGAAGCATGTATATATATATATATATATGCATATAATTTATTAAATGAGTATGTTTTATATATCAAGTTAGTTTATATATCAAGTTTATTTTTACAACGTCAATATTTATCGTCATTTCATATTTGAACATTATTTTTCGCGTGAAAAATACGCTTCTTCGTCGTTTTACTGAGACAGAGGTATATTTTTTGGCATTTTTCTTGTGGAATATCTCGATAGCGAGATGACAAGCCCGTCAGCCGACGTCTCTCGGGATGCAACCATATCCGTGGTCTAAGTAAACCCCCGTGGCTCCGAATTTTCGCAAATTTTATATCGTACACCGTACAGTTTATATCGCATTATACCAACCAACGAACCGCATACCAAAGTGTTCGTGCAATATCGGAGGTATTTTTTCGTTCTCGCCCGTGAACGTGATAAGAAATGGGGAATAAAATTTGTCTGGCGAGGATGTATACAAAAGAGAGACAGAGAAAGAGTGAGAGGGAGAGCGAGAGGGAAGAAGGGACGGAGACAGGGAGGAAGAGAGAGAGAGAGAGAGATGATACCGATGCAAGTGTATCGCTTTCGTTCGCGTACAAATTTATGGAGCGTCTTGCTTATCTCGCGTCTGTGTTTATCGTCGCGTCTCCACCTAACGTGGAAATAGAGCCGTAAAACATTTCGTTTGAGTTTCGAGGCGATTAGATTGCGTCGGGGTACATTCGTGCGCGTCTCGCAACGACGTCACTGCTGTCTGATTATAGCCATGCATCTATCTACGTTGCGTACGTTTTTTGTTTAGTCGAAATTTGTATTTGCCGATAGATAAGATGCGTGTACTTTTCTTACAGCGGGAGGACTCCGCAAACGCACCGCGCCTATGAGAAAACACAGGGCACAAGAACGCCCGCCAAGGCTGAGCGCGAGGAGGAAGAGAATCCGCGAATGAATTGCCGGCTTCTCTGTTAACAAGCGGAACCTTCCTCCACTCGCGATTTTCGCTACAATTCGTAGACTTCCCTCCGTGTTTCTTGCTTCTTTAGTCTTTTTTCTCCTCTCACAACCGCCCACTCTCTTTCTCTCGCTCGCTCACTCGCTCGCTCGCTCGCTCGCTGAGTATTTACCTCCTGCATCCGTATCTGCTACATAGGCTGCAATTTATAAGGAATATTATTTCTCGCCGCAGGGTAAGGAATAAATCGTTTCCAAGATGGGGGCGATGTTCAGGAGCGAGGACATGGCCCTTTGCCAGCTGTTCATTCAGCCGGAGGCGGCTTACCTTTCCGTTTCTGAACTTGGAGAAACCGGTACGGTGCAATTTCGCGATGTAAGTTGGATTAGATGTGATCTCCATTCGTAGCGTTATTTAACGTGATTCTCGAGCGCTTAGCGCAACAAGCGATGACGACGAGGTACATGTGCGTATGATCGACGTCTCGGTCGAAGGAATGTTCAAACGATAAAATGTGGAAGAGAGATATTATGGGCCTTGTAAAATTTCGGGACCTTTTTTAACGCCCATAAAGCATTCAGCACACACGATGACGTTTAGTATTAATGATATATTTGACGTCTTCATGCGTGATTAATATGCTTCAATCTGATGGAATCAGTTTCGTGGCACATTATCGTTATCCTGATTGCTGGGTGAATTTGATCGTGTACATGTATGGGCTTATTCGGCATTACTTCTCCCGATTCGATCGGAAACAGTGTTAAACTCCGCTCAACTCCGACATTCTGTGTCCAGCTGAATGGCGACGTGAACTACTTTCAACGGAAATTCGTCAACGAGGTCCGGCGATGCGACGAAATGGAGCGCAAGCTTCGATACATCGAGGCGGAAGTGAAGAAAGACGGCGTGCCGATCCCGGATAATCTGACGGAGCTACCGCGCGCACCCATCCCACGCGAGATTATCAATCTCGAAGTAAGATCTCCTCCGTGGAGATTGATGTCTCGTGAATCATCGCACTTGCATTTTACGCGCATACTGCGTCCTTTGACTCTCGCTCCTTCGCTCTCTGCGACTTCGGAAAAGCCGAATTTCAAGTAGAAAATATCGGACGTGCTAACGATATTCCGGATCGATTCCCGGGGAAAACACGTCAGCCTTGTTTTCTCGAAATTTCAGGCCCACCTCGAGAAAACGGAGAACGATATAGCTGAGCTGAGCCAGAACGCGGTGAACCTGAAGAGCAACTATCTCGAGCTGACGGAATTACAGCACGTGCTCGAGAAGACGCGAGTGTTCTTCACGGAGGTACCTTAAAGTACTTCAGTAACTTTTGCTCGTAGCGCGACGCCCACCCCCCCCCTCCCCCCCGCCTTCCCTTCTTCGTGTAATCGATGTTACCGTTTTGTCGAAGAATCAAGATTCGTTTCTTCATCTTCTGTATCAACAGGAAGAAGCCAACGACTCGATCACCAGGGCGCTCATTACCGAGGAACCACAGAATCCACAGGTCACTACCACTCGCGGACGTCTCGAGTAAGTTATTGTTTGTTTCTTGCGGATAACGCCGATTGTTAAATAAATCGGCCTCTCTCTCTCTCTCTCTCTCTCTCTCTCTCTCTCTTTTTCTTTCTCTCGCATATTTGATTCAACGATAACGTAATATCAAGCGCGCCTGCGTGTATAACGTTACGCTTTAATAACATTTAAAGGACAATTTTGTACACCTGTGTGTGTGAGCACACCTGCGTGTTCTGCTGCGGCATCTTGTCCCGGAACAATGAATTGTTAAACTACTATTATATATACTAGCGCCGTCGTTACAGACGACTTACTCATCGCGCGAGGGTGAGAGTTCGTTCGTCTCATTGGTCGGATAACTAAAATCGCTGGTCGCATAAATCCAATTCGACGACGACGTTTATTCCGACTTAACGCTCGGAGGGAGACATGTAACGAACGTAACGTTCGATTTGCTTGCAGATTCGTCGGCGGAGTGATAAATCGTGAACGGGTTCCCGCCTTCGAGAGAATGCTCTGGCGAATATCGCGCGGAAACGTGTTCCTTCGGCAGAGCGAGCTTGACAAACCACTGGAAGATCCAACTACGGTTAGTCCTGATTTTTCTTTCATTCTGACTTCGAGGGGAGGCCGCATAGTTTGCAACTATGCGTGGAGTTGTTGCTCCCGGAGCGCAATCGTTCCCGCCTCCGATCACACATCTTGAAGGAGATCCTGAAAAAATTGATATCCTTAGAGAGAGCGAAGTTTCTCGATTCGTCCTCGGTTCCCTCTCGACTGCGTATTCCAAATCGAGACGCAAACCGCACGCTCGCCGATGCGCCTGATTCTTTTCTTCGGTGAATGTTTTCAGGGCAACCAAATCTACAAGACGGCTTTCGTGGCGTTTTTCCAAGGGGAGCAATTGAAGAGCCGTATCAAGAAAGTCTGCACCGGCTTCCACGCCTCGCTCTATCCGTGCCCAACTAGCCTTGCGGAGCGTCAAGAGATGGTCAAGGGTGTTCGAACAAGGCTTGAAGATCTCAATTTGGTGAGATTGCCGAGAGGATTGTGAAGGATGCAGATTTACAATTCTCATCACATAAATTATAATTTATGTTATATTACTATAATGTTAATTATTGATTATTATTATACCATTATCGTCGTGTTACTATTATTATTAGGTAAATATTATATGATAATATTCCGAGACCGTGCAAAAGTATCATTCTACATCCGGATATTACGCTTTACGGTTAAAATCTCTTTGATTAAGGTATTGAACCAAACGCAAGACCACAGGCAGCGCGTTTTGCACAACGTGGCGAAGGAACTACCGAACTGGAGTATCATGGTGCGCAAGATGAAGGCCATCTATCACACGATGAATCTGTTCAACATGGACGTTTCGAAGAAGTGCCTTATCGGGGAATGCTGGGTGCCAGTGTCCGATCTCGCGACCGTGCAAAATTGCCTCACGGAAGGATCGGTCAGTAGATGCGTGTCTCGTCTGACGCGTACAGTCCGCGAACTATAGTTCTGCAGACGAGTCGCGAGCAATGAAATATGGGATGTGTTCTTCCAGCGACTCTGCGGCAGCTCGATACCGTCCTTCCTCAATGTAATCCACACGGACGAGAATCCGCCGACGTTCAACCGGACGAACAAGTTCACCAAGGGTTTCCAAAATTTGATTGACGCTTACGGCGTGGCGTCGTATCGCGAGGCCAATCCGGCGCTCTACACCATCGTGACGTTTCCTTTCCTGTTCGGCGTGATGTTCGGCGACGCCGGCCACGGTGAGTGAAAAGAGGAAAAGAAGAGTAAAACAAAAAAAAAAAAAGAAACAAGAGAGGAAGAAACGGTAAGCGAGGCGAAAAAAAGCGAAATGTATAGATCGACATTGTCATCAACAAGCGTTCATCTTCATTTTGTATGTCGCATGTTAGGACTGATACTGACAATCTTCGCCGCCGCCATGATACTACGGGAGAAGAAGATCATCGCTCAGAAGTCGAGCAATGAGATCGCGAATATATTCTTCGGCGGTCGTTACATTATCCTCCTCATGGGTCTATTTTCCATATACGCTGGTATTATCTACAACGACATATTTTCAAAGTCAGTGAACATTTTCGGTACCAGTTGGAAAATCAACTACAATGAAAGCACAGTGGAGGATAACCCACTGCTCCAGTTGCATCCGGGTCATGACTATCAAGGTTATCCGTATGCCATGGGCGTGGACCCGGTTTGGGTTCTCGCTCAGAATAAGATTGTATTTCAGAATTCGCTGAAGATGAAGATGTCCATTATTTTGGGCGTCGTGCACATGATCTTCGGCGTGTGCATCAACATCGTCAATATCGTGTGAGTGTTTCATTAATTTTTCACGAAGGAGAAAGGGAGCTCCGAGTGTCGCACGAGTGACACGTTGTGCAAAAGAATTTTTCCCTTTTCTCCCACTGTACCGTCATATTTGCTTTTCTTATTTTCCTTTTCTGTTTTATCCTTACTTACGCATTACGCATTACGCCAAAGGGGCGACCCTTCTTAAAAAAACAAACAGGTGAATGAAGCAAATTAAACGAGTAAATTCCGAAATAATATCAAAGTCTTCGGGATTTACGATACTTTCGTCTGCACGGCCCGAGCAACACGTCGCCGCGCCGAAGTTGAGCCGGATTCCTCTCGATAATGCTCTCTTTGTTTATTTTGCTGCATCACACTGCGATTATTTTCTTTTTTTAGAAATTTCAAGAGGTATCACAGCTTGTTCTTGGAATTCCTGCCACAACTGCTCTTCCTTATTCTCCTCTTCTTTTACATGACTGCCTTGATGTTTATCAAATGGGCCATGTACCACTCCTACGATGACTGTGAGCATCAATCAATGATTTATCCGCTTATCGCGATCGATAAATAGTCGCGAAGTACTTAATGCCGACGCTTAATTATGACGCAGACTCGGCGAAAAGTGCAAAGTGCGCACCCTCGGTCTTAATAACGTTCATCAACATGATGCTCTTCAAGCACAGCAATATGCCCCCGGGTTGTTCCGAGTATATGTTTGAAGGACAAGACATCCTGCAGCTAGTTTGCTTCTTCACCGCCATCTTGTGTATCCCGGTGATGCTGTTCGGCAAGCCGTTATACATCTTGAGCACGAGGGCGAAAAAACGCAGGAAGTCTGGGAAGATCTTCGTAAGTGGCTTGTTATTTTGTAGTTCGCTTGTAAATAGCGATCATGCGATCGACGGTGTATGTTATGTAGATAACTCCGCGCGCGCTGACGCGACTATACCATACTGACAACATTAACATGAATGATCGATATTTTAAAACTCTTCAGGTATTCAGGCATAATTCTTAAATCCAATCAGACACAGTCACGTTCTGTTACATCACATCAGCGATATATTAAATATACAAAAGAAGAGCGTTCTACATTCCACTTGCTCCGGAAAAGACCGTCGTGTCGCGATGTATAGTCCGCTGACGTTCGTTGACCTAACATCCGCGCGGTTTGTTCAGAGCAACGGAAACGCATCGCAAGAGATCGAGATGCAGAGCGAAGGGGCGCAGGTGGCTGGAACTAGCAACGACACCGCGGCCCAAAGCAGTCACGGTCATGGCGGCCACAGTCACGACGACATGCCCTTCGGCGAGCTGATGATCAATCAGTCCATCCACACCATAGAATACGTGCTCTCCACTGTTTCGCACACTGCCTCTTACCTGCGATTGTGGGCGTTATCCTTGGCTCACTCTCAGCTGTCCGAGGTGCTCTGGAACAGGTTGCTGCGGATAGGTCTGGGCGCCGAAGAAGGCGATTACGTCATCGGTGTCATTCTGTTTGTCAGCTTCGCCGCCTGGGCGTTCTTCACTATCGCCATTCTCGTCATGATGGAGGGCCTCTCGGCGTTTCTGCACACCCTTAGGCTTCATTGGTGCGTATGCCAGGCTGCTTATAAAGGACTGTTTTCTTGACTTTCCTCGAGGAGGAAAAGAAGAGAAGACATATTTTTCTCATCGAGTCTCGTTTCCAAGGAAATTCGGCCTTTAAAACAGAAGGAAGACCGGGAAACTCATTTTTTTAACAGGAAACGAGCGTTGAAGCGAACGGTGTTGATTTGTTGAACGGTGACGTTTGACGAGAATGAACCTCGAAATCGCGCATGATTTCAACATTGTTCACGACGGATAATACGAATAATAATAACGATATCCTCGCGTCAACTTTCGATATATTCCATTCACGATAGATCGATACGATTTGCCGTCATCAATAAAGCGTCACGATGCAAGGAAACCTCCCCGCGTTTTATCGCCTCTCATCGTTCTGCTACTTTTCTCTTGCCACAGGGTCGAGTTCATGACGAAATTCTACGAGGGCGTAGGATACCCTTTCCAGCCGTTTTACTTCAAGAGTATTCTAGATGCCGAGGATGCCGAAGACTAAGCGGCCGCTAGTCCAGCAATAATCGTTAGATATATAGATATATATGTACACACAGCTATAGAGTTACGCGCGAAGACCTCTTTATACATTATGCATATACTTTATACATTATGTATCGAGTACTTTCGTACACGCCAAGGCCTTGTTTCGTCGCCTAGGGGACGAGAAGAGTACGGGAGGACCAAATCGCCCCGCGGATTGTTTTAAATAAGCCTGACAATGTGCCTTCGGTAATTTCAGCCGTCGTTCACGTGCCTTTATACGTAACGGCCGGATTAACGCTGTCCGCCACGCTCGCACGGCCGACCGCGGCCGCGGCGACAATTTCCCGTAATGCTTAAGGAGGAAAAAAGAGAACGCGGTTTTTTCGCTGACGCGATCGATACACGCTGGTGGACCCCGTTTTGTTTTCGCGCGAAATAACGAGCGAACGAATCGCCGGAGAGTGGCGGGGTGGCGCCGCGCCCAGCATTAGTCCGGCCTATTGTACACGTCGGTCGAGTATGCGTACGATATAATCGTAATAACAGACTTACGCTCGCGCGTGCGTGAGAGCGAGACTGCACCGCTGCGCCGCTGAGCGGAGAGAAACATTTTATTCTGCATTAAATATTTATCGGTTTTCGTTCCTTCGCCTTCCCTGCCCCTCCCCCCGTCCTCGTTCGGTCAGCAGCCGAGTCTCCGCGCGAGGTGACTGAAGGTTCATCCGCGGCTCCGCGCGCGATATATCGCGCTAAGGCTAAGCCTTGCCGCCGTTTTTATCCGGCTGTATTTCGCGCCGACTCTTTTAAATGAAACCAGTCGTGCTTCTCGCGGGATCGTTTCAAGAGAAGGAGAAAGAAACGGGAGAAAAACGAAGCGATTCCCAGCGTCAAGTCAGTGAACTAGCCGTTTCGTTTTATTTGAAACTAGATACGCTTAGAGCCGACCGACTCCGCTCGTCCGGCGTTAAAGCTCCAGTTTCCTCGCCATGGCCGTTTTCATCAATTACGTGAGAAGCGCGGAGATACATGAAATCTTGCAAAGCATGTTGGAACAAAAAAGTCCATCGAGAGCAGCGCTCGCAATTGGTCGAATAGATTCGCAAAATAGCCCGAAAACTTTCCACTGCTCGCAATAGATAGCATTCATAAAATTCACGCGGCAAAATCACGTAGTAAAAAAGTAGGCCACATTTCGTGCATCTACATTTTGTGTTAATCTCACTGATGCTTTTATCTTATAAACTTCTTAATGTTTTATCAACATGCTCAATCGAGATCGCGTGTATCGCTTCAGGGACATATATTTTTATCTCAATGTGTTTCGTCGAAATTACGAGCGTGCGTTTCTTCGTTTTTGACGTCATTAATCAGTGCAACCGCGAAGAGGGGCGATCAGAGAAGCCTCAAAGCTTCGTGGTGTCACGACGGAAGTATAAAAAGGAAATTGTAACAGGTGCATGCGCGATTTACAAATCATGTTGCTGTTACTGTTGCTGCTGCTACTATTACTACTACTACTACTACTACTACTACTGCTGCTGCTGCTGCTGCTGCTGCTGCTGCTGCTGCTGCTCGGTGCGCATCGTATTCATTCCATTAATTACCTAGTAGAGCGGGGACACGCCATAGTCGAATAGTTTATCCTTAAGCGACGTCGTTTTGTAACGTTTTATCGTGCGACACAACGATTCATTGCGACGCGTGCAGCCGTCGCCGCGAGAAAAGCGACGATTCGAACCGTTGTAATATTTCGCCCTTTCCCCTTTTCCCCGTTTCACTCGGAGGAAGAATAGCATTCGTCCGAATCATTTGGGTAGTGCGTTCGAGCAAAGTTACTCGAATAATCGACATCGCTGAGACGAGCTGCATAATCGACTCGTGCGTCGTTTGCTTCGACGAATCGATAATTAACGATCATTAAGAAACTTTGCTCAGACAGACGCGTCGACTCATGGCAATTACAACGGTTCGGGTGTCTGAAATTGGAGTGAAAGTGAGAGAGAGAGAGAGAGAGAGAGAGAGAGAGAGAGAAAGAGAGAGAGAGAGAGAGAGAGAGAGAGAGAGAGAGAGAGAGAGAGAGAGAGAGAGAGAGAGAGAGAGAGAGAGAGAGAGAGAGCACCACTCGCTGCTACGCAGAGCCTAATTAATGTTCGACGAAAGTCTCAGCGCGCAGCGTGCATTATATACATATACAGGGTGTCCCAAAAGTAACGGACACCCTAATAATTCTTCAGTATTGAAGTTTCAAGGAAAATGATCTGAATAAAAGTTGTAGGGATTTAAGTGAGCTACCTTATGATGACCTTGACTTTGACCTTGATCTCTATTTTCAAGGTCATTTGAAGGTCAACTTGCGTTTTTTAAATGGGAATCCTTATTTTTTATTACAATATTTTCTACTAGTTTTTTTCTACTAGTTAATTTGAACAACTTTTGTCTGAAACATTTTTTATTTGTCTAATATTTTTTGAGATATTTGAGGAAAACTTGATAACTTTTTCAATATTTAACTTACGATGTCTTGCTAACTATTTGTCGGAAGAAAAAGTGGTACTAGACTTTCTTACTTTATTTAGTCTCAAGAATATATTGTTACAATAACGCCCTGATTTTTGTTAATTTGATGATTTTGAAATTTCCAAAAGTCACTAAGTTAACAAAAGTCAGGGCGCTATTTTAACAATATATTCTTGAGACTAAATAAAGCAAGAAAGTAGTCTAGTACTACTTTCTTTTTCGACAAATAGTTAGCGAGACATCGTAAGTTAAATATTGAAAAAGTTATCAAGTTTTCCTCAAATATCTCAAAAAATATTAGACAAATAAAAAGTGTTTTAAACAAAAGTTGTTCAAATTAACTAATAGAAAAAAACAGTGTAATAAAAAATAAGTATTCCCATTTAAAAAACGCAAGTTGACCTTCAAATGACCTTGAAAATAGAGATCAAGGTCAAAGTCAGAGTCATCATAAGGTAGCTCACTTAAATCCCTACAACTGAAGAATTATTAGGGTGGTCCGTTACTTTTGGGACACCCTGTATATATAATACATTCTATTACTAAAGTACAAATCCTCCTGAGTGACGGGTAACTAAGGATATTCGAACTTGCGAGTGAGTTACCATTGTGAGTGTATCTATCGTAGAAAAAAATAGGGCGACGTCATCAATGAAAAGAGAAAAGAGAAAAGGAAAGAGAAAGAGAAAGGAAGAAAGAGAGAGAAAGAAAGAGAGAGAGAGAGAGAGAGAGAGAGAGAGAGAGAGAGAGAGAGAGAGAGAGAGAGAGAGAGAGAGAGAGAGAGAGAGAGAGAGGGAGAGAGAGAGGGAGAGAGAGAGGGAGAGAGAGAGAGAGAGAGAGAGCGATAAATATGTACGTGTTCAGCTGTTCTCGAGGTCCCAAGCTGAAAGGGTTCGTTATCGACGAACCCTTCCGATGGATCCTTTGACTACTTCGGTGCCGATTTTTTGGATTAATGAGATCGAAAAGAATTTTTTGCGAAGTAAACGTTTGCGGTATCGAACAACGAGATTCCAAATTTTTGATCGGACAGTTTAGAATTTTCGTGGAGCAGATGTTTCTTCTTACAGAATTGTTCATTACGCGCTCGGGGATTCAGTGGTGCTGGGAAGGTTTCCCAGCGTTCCCCGAGCGAACGACGCCGGACACATCTCCGTGAGGAGATTCGCGTTAAGATCAATCAGGGATCCTTTGTAGGTAAACAATATGTATACATGTATATTTTATCAAAGTATTATGTAATAAATCGATGAGAGCTGCATAGATCGATGCGTATTGGCCGACCCTCCGTCGTCTCGTTGTTTAACTTCAGGGAACGATGTCGAGGACGTAGCGAGGTTCCGCGCAAATGCGCACATCTTTATTTAATCGCGCTACAGTCGTAAACAAACGTTGATTAATTACTTGGGAAATGAGAAACGGCAGTCACGTTCGCGCAAACGTGACCGGTCCTCTACACGTAGAAGTGTCCTCTTTTAAAGGAATGTCGTCACAGCAAAGCTGCTTTATAATTCTCACGAGCTCTCGTCCGTGCTTTTCGGATTTAATTCGATCGATTTGAACTTTGAGACGTTGCAGCTAACGATGATTTTATGAAACGCACGAATACCGATCGTGCATAAACAAATAGCTCGTCGTATTAGTTTCATTATCCGTAATCTTCGGAAGAACGACGAAATTACTCCTGCCTCCGATCTCGAGAAGAGAGACGCGATCTCTTACGGACTTATCTTCGGACTGCGGAAACTTCCAGTCGACATTCTCGACGCCCTCCCGCGGGGGCGGGTGGAAATTCGTATGCCAATTTCTTCTAATTCAGGACAATTTGCACAGCGAGAGGCGCGTTATACTCCCCGCGAGACTTGTAAACGAGCCGCCGGGAATTTGCAATTAGGACACGTCCGACTGTTTTACGGCGCGTCCGAAGATGATATCAATTTAATTAAAGTCTAGTGACGGTAATTAAATCGACTCGTGGTACACATCACCATGATATGCGAAATAGTGCGCGAATTTCAGAAATAATGGCAACGCGATATGCGTGCGCGCAGATACAAGGATTAATTGCGAACGAGATCGCCAGCTGGATTCATACACATAACGTATTGAATTTAGTCAGCACAATGTTTACGCTTATAACGCTATTACGATAAGCGTAACATATCGGCCGGAAATTGACGTTACGTCGGCAATTAAAATATAATTTGTTCGTTTCGCTCGAAGACGACCGTCAGTTTTCAGATTATTCAATTTTCCCTCCCCTTCCAATCGTGCAGATTATTATTTTCTTCCTTTTATTTTTCCGCCCTCTCATCAACGCTCTCTCCATGAAGCTTGCGCAAGACACAAACGACGGTGTCAAGAAAATCCGTCTGCGTATGCATTAATGACCGTCAAACCTCGATTGTGTTGAACCTGCCTTTTAATCGGTTCGAGCGAAGAGCTCCGTCAATCGTCGAAGAGATATGAAAGCGCAATAAAAAAGTTCTATCCATCGAGGCGGAAACCCGGTGCTCTCCTCTTCTATCAGAGTTCGCTCGCGAAATGAAAAGCTTGAAATTCATACCTGTTTTTATTGCGTCGAGAAAAAAGAGTGCGTGTGGATCGAGAAAAGGAGGCGAATAAACGAGACCATACACGTTATTATTCGAGAGTTTTCGGAAGCTTGTTTATTAGGACCATGCTCGATGAATTTTCATTAGTAAAATCATGGAGAAAACGACGTCGGCGTCGGCCGCGGCGAGAGCGTTTCGGCCAGTCAAAATACATTCATTACGTGACACGCGAAAGAATGGTCGCAATAATATCGCCGAGTAAATCGTGTCAAAGCTCTCCGCGTTCTAAGACTTGTCTCTAAAGAACGTCGCAAAGGCTTATCCTCGCGGATTGAAAAAGCCTTTTTCGCCGTCGCTTTTGTCGTCGCTTCTTTTCGTGACGTGACTTTTGCGACGGGAGAAAGCCGAGCTCGACGAGCGGTTTCTCCCTGCAGAATTCTGTGCAACGCTAAAGCGCCACGGACTGCCGCATGCGTTCAATCTCGAATACCTTCGTCGATAAGCGAAGGAAGAATGCGAGGAAACGGGGAACATACCGGGAATGCTTAAGCGTATAAGAAGATGCACGGTGCAACGAGTCCAGCGATTCTGTATAAAGCTCCGCGGTGGTAATAATCTCTCCGTGCGGCCTCGGACGATTTGCGTTCGGAAAGAGCGGCACAATACGGGCGTAAACGACGCGCTCCGCAGGACACGCGCTGGCAATTTCGAAGGTATCCTCCAAACAAATCTCCTTTATTGCTCGGACAATCCGCTCCGCAGCGGTGTCTGTTTTTTGCGCTACAATGGGACCATTCGTACAAGCGCCAATTAAAATTAATGGACGAGTTTAACTCATCCTCCGCATCTTCGCCGTCCGAAGCGCAGGAAAAGGACACGGAGAGAATGATGGCTCTTCGTGGACCAAGTTTCAACAAGTTGATATCAACATTGAAAGTCGCACTTTCCGTTTAATATCCCAACAGCTGCTTAACGTAATATATAATTATTGTCGCGTAATGCAACACGACCGTCTTACTTTTCGCGAGATTGTCTCTTTGACGATTTTTGTAAAATTTCCAAAAATATAGTTTCTATAATGACGACGGGTAGTTTCCGTGTAGTTTCGAAAGTGCTCGGAGTATCGTCATGAATCGACCGCGACTTAAAATCGTGGGGGATTAGAGTCTCAACTTCGCTTAATACGACGGTACGAAGCCAGCCATTCGGCTTTCACAGACTCTTTATGGACTTCGCGAACTTCATACGGATTAGAGCCTCTGTGTCGCTTCCCTTCGCCGCTTCATTCGCGAGTCGGCAACGGTCCTGAGAGTGCGACGACGCTTCCGCGATCCGATTCACCAGGAGGTCAAATTTGAGGCAACGGCCTGAACCGTGCGTTTGATGGAGTTGCGCGCGCTGCTGAAACGACGTAGCGTTTTCCGCGATTTAATGGGCGAGCACAGAGCGGGAGTTCAGTCGGCGACGCGCGCTCCTTGCCTCCGTGTGCTCCCGTGGTACATCCGCTCCAGCATCCCTCGCGCATGGATCTGTGAGCGCTCGATAACGCAGGTGAGTGCACAATCATCGCAGGGTCGGATTTACCGTAAGTTAAACAAGCGGTAGCTCCCGTCGCCAACGGCGGAGCCAACGGACGATTCGGCTTTCTCTTTTTCTCTTTTTCTCTCCCCGAGGACACGTCGTTCCTCTCGCGGAGTGTCCTTGCGAGATTCTCGCAGTTTTCCAAGATTTGTCCCAGTTCTAAATTTCGCACGACAGTATTTTAAACGCTCCAGTTTCGCCTTCTTCACGAAAAAGAGGAATAAAAGAAAGAAATTACGGATCCCGCAGTTTCTTCCCCATCGACTCGCTCTCGAGGAAAAGGGTCCAGGATTTTTCTACGAGAAATAAAATGTGAAAGAGATTATACAGGGTGGGCCATTTTAATTTATCCACACTGATAACTTTGAAGATTATGGAAATATCGGAAAATGTCCAAGAGAAAAGTTATAGGGTTCGTAGGGGGTCAGAATTTTGAAGGTCATTTGAAGGTCAACTTTGTTTTTCTTAATAGAAATCCCTATTTCTGACCGCGAATTTGGAAAGAGTGAGAAATTTTACGTTCAAATATGTTATCGTGTTAAGGGTCAACGTGACACTCCTAGGGGTTATCCGAAGGTCAAACAATGATCCAAATAAAAGTTTTAGGATTCATAGAACTTGACCGGGCTCAGAAAGAGCGAGTAATTTCGTATTCAGATTGGGTTAGGTTGACCTCCGAAGATCATTTGAAGGTCAAATAACCCGTAAATAAGTAAGAATGAATAATTTTGCAACCATCACCACGTATTCAACACCACGTATCAGGAAATTAGCAACAAAATGATACAAGTTGGTATCTGATGAAACTGAATAAATTCCAATGTAGGAACAAAATCAAAGCAAAAATGATTAATTCCTCTGAACAATAATTTATTGTTGTTAGTCCATCTCAGAGCACACGTAAGGATTTATCGAATAATAACGGTTAAGACGATAGTAACTATTATTCTCGATTAGGTCAAAAACTTGAGTAAAATATGAAACTAGTCTCATGAGCTTCAATTGACCTTGAAAATGCCCTTCAAGATCAAAGTCAAGGTCACCATCAGTTGACCCCCTACGAATCCTATAACTTTTCTCTTGGACATTTTTCGATATTTCCATAATCTTCGAAGTTATCAGTGTGAATAAATTAAAATAGCTCACCCTGTATACGTATCATTTGTCCTCGATGTATTTCCCGACTAGTTTGAACGTGGAGGGTAAGCTCTTAGAATTGCGTGGAATTGCGGTCTCAGAGGTGCAATCCCGGCGTTTAATCTCGTCCTTGACGATCTCACGCATTGCATTCGCGAGGGCTACGAAATCTTGGGAATTCGGACGCCGATAGATCTTTCTTCCTTCGTTAGATCTCGCGTTTCGCGAGTCGCATCATGGAAAAGTTGATGGCGGTAATGTCAACGTAACCATTAATTCGGATCATCGGATGTGCCGACGCGGAGAATATCGTGTCGAGGTGCTTATTTTTACATCGGGCAAGAAATAAGCATGTGCGAAAAATTTATTGTCAGCCGTTGCGCTTCGCGTCGCAGCCTTCGCGCAAATTACAATGTTGAAAGTTACTTACATACTCGGTCCGGGACCGATACTTGGCGAGAACTTGGTGATTTGTGCGATCGAGCAGTGGACATGTCCGAGGCGCGCGAGTTTGCGAGTGACACCGAGAGCTGGGAACTTTCAGTGAATTGTATCGCAGTTTCGATAATTGTTTGGCCGTGACTCGCGATACTTTACGACGTTGGATTTAATTAGGGAGGCAAGTCCGCGAGGACTTATCGGTAACTGCGCGATAAAGTGATTCAATTTCCAATCCGTTACCAAGTGACGCTCGATCAATAAGGAAGGAATCGGTTGAAGTCGGAGTTAACGCGGCTCATTAAATCTCGATTCGATTTTCAACAGTTCTCGATGAATTCCAAAAGTCGGTGAACCCAAACCGTCCGTTCGATCGGCGTCACTGAGAGCGCATTCGCGAGCTTATTCGAAGTAAAGGAAATAATTTTTCCGTTGGATTGTACGAATCGCAATATCTCGTGACATCAATTTCGCAGACAGTTGATAAAACGCAGCAACGCATGCGGCAACAAATCAAACGAGTGACGCATGTGCGTTTTATCGATCACACACGCCGAACTCGAACTGTTCGACGCGAACTTAACGAAATTTTCCGGAGATGGGATCCCTTTCCCCTTCGCCGTCAATTCAACGGCGAGAAAAGAAGAAAAAAAATCCGCGGATGGCCGACGTGACCATTTTTCAAACTTTATGATTGGAAAAACGTTCGGCCGCCGCAACGGGCGACAAAGTTTTTCCATTAGCTAGGGAGAAAAGCGGGACGACGATTTTACCAGGATCTCTCGCCCGGGAAGATTCCGCCGGAATTGCATCCTCGCCATTAAGATCATACGTGCGCCTTAAAGCGCCTCGAGAGCGCCCCTCAACCCCTTTTATCTCCGCATAACCCTTAAACTTTCCACGGCCGGTTCATCTCGTCCAAAAGTAGTGAGTTAAGTCGGATGTAAACGAATTTATTTCCTCGTTGACTTCCGGATTATTCCGACATTGAGGGAGAGCGAGAGAGAGAGAGAGAGAGAGAGAGAGAGAGAGAGAGAGAGGAAGGGACGAAGGAAAGAATTTTACGAGCGAGCGTTTCTCGAGTGGGCAGAATCTCGTCGTGAACTTTTAATCGTTCCTTTCGCGGAGTTTGTCTAACAATGAAATCGCAAGACATCGTGAAGCTCGTCCGCGCGTTATCCGCAATACGTGCGATATGATATCGCGATATGATAATGCGACAGCAATTCTTCTCGGGGCGAGGCCAAGCCTCAAGAGAAATCCTTGAGAAACGATTCTCCGCGCGACGATTCTCGTCGTGTGCGTTTCTTGCGAAGGTACAGCGCTAAATATATCTAAATAAAGCGCTAAATATATCGAAGTATAACATATGCGCGTGAAATATGAAAATATACAATTTTCTCGTGCATCGCGAAAATAATGTCGCACGTGCAATTTCGGACGGCAGCCTTAAGCCTAACGCACGCAGCTCGTTTCCGAATACGTTACGTCGCCGCCGCCCGGTCCGAAGATCGCACGTTCATCATTAATCTCCTTTATTAATCTCCGTGGGATAAGCGGCCATGTTGTAATTTGACGGTCAGGTCGACGAGGACGACATGCGCGTTCCTCCGTACGTTTTTACAGCCGTAAGTACTGGTCGAAGGCACTCGGATGAATTTGTTCTACCTATGGCAATCGGTTCGTTTATATATTATTCAACTTCTCCTTCTCCCCGTCCTCCTCCTCGTTCACTTGCGCCGTCATCGCGACATTGTTGCTGCTCGCGACCCTCGCTCTGCCACCCAGGCAGGTGGTGAAGCAGGTGTCGCCCTTACCGAAGTTCTCTCCGTCCTCGATGGTCTCCGGCATCGGTTGGTTCAGTGTTTCCGGCAAGTAGAGTGCCAGGAAGCCAGCCAGCAAGGCGACTAATCCGAAGAGTACGGCGGGTACTTTGGGGTTCAACGAGTCCAGCAAGAAGATCATAGGCGTGAGCGCGCCGCTCAATCGAGCGCACATCGAGCCGATACCAAGCGCGGTGTTCCTCACCACCGTGGGGAACAGCTCGGCTGTGTAGTTGTAGACCACGGCGAACGAGCCGGCCACGCAGGCCTTGCCGATCAGCACTATCGTGACTGTGATGATCGACGCGATCTCGCTGCTGGCGGCGATGTTGGCCGCGCAGATGCAGCAGGCGCCGCCGGTCAGCAGTAACGCGCTGACCAGGCATCTCCTGCCGAGACGATCCATCGTGAAGACCACCAGGATATAAGCCGGCAGCTCGACGAGCCCACTGAGGAACAGCATGACGAACGGATTGCCGACGAGGTTGCCCATGTTCAGCGACAGTCCGTAGTAAACGATGGAGTTGGCGAACCAGTTGAGACAGATGTTGAGACTCTTGTTCCGGAGGTTCGGCGTCCTGAACAGATCCAACGTGCCGTGCGACCTGTCCGTCTTGGTTTCCTGCTGCGCCCGCGAGCGGCCGATTAACTTGGCAGCTTCCACCTTGACGTTGCTGCCGTTCACCTTGAGCGCCCGCTGCACGATGACGATCGCCTCGGAGGCGCGGTCGTGCGCCCACAGCCACCTAGGTGACTCGTCCATCAGCCACCAGTGAACGAGCAGGAGTGCGCTGTGCGCGCCGTACACGATCTGCAGCCACATGCGGTCCTTGATGACGACACCCCACGCGGCCACGAGCATAAAACCCGCGGCGAAGGCCAGCTGGAACATCACGCCGCAGACGGTTCTACGGGACGGGCCCACCAACTCCATCGTCAACACGAAGCCGGTGATGTAGGCACCGGCGGAGCCGAAGATGCCGTATAAGAAGCGCAGCACCAAGAACACGTAGTAATTGTTCATGAACGCGACCGACACCCCGAGCACCAGCTGCGCCACTGCGGATACGCAGAACACGATCTTCCTGCCGTACGTGTCCGCCAGGCTACCTAACGTCAAGGAGCCGGCGAACACGCCGAACATGTAGGCGGACTGCGCCAAGGAGCCCATCCAACGTCGCGAGCACACGAAATTCCACTCCATGCCTCGCGACGACTGGAAGTACGTCGTGTCGTACGTCCAAGAGTCGCATTCCCGAGTCACGTTGTCGCGGTCCAGATAGTGGCAGCTGTCGATGGCTCGCGGGAGGTGCTCCGACGAGCTGTTCCAGCCGGCAGCGGAGGTGTCGAACGAGGTGTCGCTCGTCCATGAGGAGGACGAGGACAGGTTCGCGGCCGGGATGTCGCAGCGGTGCGGTGGCACCGCCGCCACCGTCAGCAGGGACAGCATGTGCAGACCGGCGAGAAGGGCGCCGAGCAGGTGAAGGCAGAACTGCCCGGACTGGTACTTGCCGAAATCGCCCAAGTGGGACATCAGCTCCTCGAGGTCCTTGTCGACGCTCGCCATGCCGTTGAGTCGCTGCGATCACGTGCGGGATCTTCGCTGCGTGTCGGCGCTGATTGCTCGTCCTCCGTTTGTGCGCGTCGCGTGCGTCTCCGCTGGAAGAACGTATGCGAATTGCAGATATTCGTTAAACTCGGCTGAGATGGCTATAATATTCGTTACGGTATTGTTACTTCGAGTAGCGCGTATGCGCACATAAACCATAGTAAATGTCGGTTGTCAGTTTGAGAAGGACGCACGGAAAACTGCGCTGTTCGGACTGCGCAATTATCGGAGAAATTGCAACCTACTGCCAATTTCTTCTTCGTGTGGCCATCCTACCCGAGTTTACTCTCCCGTGCGTGCTAGGATCGCGAGAGTCAAACGCGCAGCTCGACGCGTGTTGCCTTAAAGACACACGCAACGATATCACGGCAAGTCGTTGTATCTGGTTACTTTATCAATAAATTCTTTTCTCTCGCCCTCTTTATCTCCATTATCGAGTTGCGTAATCGTTCTCTTAGGGACGTGCAATTAGCACAGATCTGGATGTTTTTGAAGCCGGGTGCTCTCTTAACTTATCGGCGAGAATGTGTTATTAATTCGTCAGCTGATTTTCGCTCAACGAATTGGCTCTATCTTAATTCGTTAGTCGATGATTAATCGATCGTTTGTCGACGTTAATTTTGACCGCGACGTTAGATTGACGTGTCTTTCACGACACACGAGTTGCGACAATCACCGCCTCTCCGGCCGTGTTCCGCCGCCGCGCCGTGGATAAATTATATCTAACCTTTTTCCCGCGCGTTTTGCAGACAAATGCTAACGCGTGCCACTTCTACCGTAGCGGACTTAGAGGCCACTCAGCCTGTTGAGAAAAGAAAAAGAACTTGAAAATTAGTAGCACCACAGTCGTTTCTTTGTCCAACGGATACGTGGTTGCACACAAACGGAAACATTGTTCTCGTACATTCACTATCATGAAAGGCGAAACGAGAGAAGATCGTCGCGAGAATTCGCATAATGCAAAACCCCAAAACAATTTCAACAATTCCCGCCTCCATCGATATCTGCGATACACAATTTTTTCCCACACAGTCTCGAGCGAAACCTCTTTCACGACTTCACGCGACGTTCACGCGAGGAAGAAGAAGAAGAAATCGCGGTGCGGATCGACGTGAAGAGAATCGGTACCTCGATTTCGCTTGCTATCGTGATGGGATATCACGGCGTGGTGTAGAGTGCGGCGAAGCGGACAGTGGTGCGTCTTCGGTGATCGGCGATCGTCGAATCCGACGACGCATTGGTCTCGACGGTGCGAACGTGGGACCGTGCGAGCGATCGCGCGAACCGTCACTACTCTAACGTCAGCGGCGAGCTGGAGAGAACGACTGGTTCGCCAACCTGAATCCGACGAGGGACTGGACAGTTTCTCGTAGACAACGGGGCTGTGTGTAGCACGTACTTAACGAAATTCGCAGTTGCCCTTGCACGCACACCGTCGCACTCGGAACTCGCGTGAGTCGCGCGACTTCTCATGCGGATTCCCCCGGACCGGTGAATTCCAATCGTCAAGACGTGACGTCCGGGAAAGAGCGTTCCGCAAGATCGCGCCGGCCTTATCGGTCACTGACGACCATAATCGCGGCCGTACAGTCACTGCCTGCAAAGTGATAAAAAATACAATCGCTGTATCGTTTGAGGCTGAAATACGACCGACCCCGCGTGACCTTATTGTCGTGTTTGCGGTTGTTGCCGAGATATTGCCGCGTCACGTGGAAGCTTTCTTTGCGGAATCTCGCGTCGGGAGTATCGGGGAATGTAGAAATTAGAAAGAGGAATGTACGTCGTCGCGTTGTGCTGTTGTATTGGTTATCCCGGATTTGTCAATTTTGTGTACACTGCGATTGAGTGGATTGATGGTACACTGCGATTAAATTTAGATAAATGTCTCGCGCTGCGCGACAGTAGCGCGGTCTCTCGATGGAACGAAGAAGAGACGTACGACGCGAGAAGGAATCGTGCCGGAATCGTCGCGATATATTTTCGTCTGGAGCGCGATGTACACAATTAATTACTAATGGTGGTTTTATTTCCCAAAGACCGCGACGGTCGGTTAGCTTCTCGAAGCTCCGTGAAACTGTAATTATCGAGATCGGTTAAGTTACACGCCGCATGCATGTCGCATGTAAAAGACGGGGGAGCGGAGGGGCGGGGGATAGCACAAACGACGATTCTGCACGATCGCTTTTATTTATAACGTCAGTATCTAATCGGTCGTGTCGCTTGCGAAAATGCGACACTTCGCAATCGAAATCGTTCCTCGTCTCGCCACTCTCCGGATCTCGCCGAGAGAGGGAATCGCGTCGTTTTAATAACGGCTCGGTAGCGCTAGAGACTGCGCTTTCGCGAAAACGTGAAAAACACTCGGCGTGAGGAGGGGGGAGATGGCAAGAAATCGACTTGTTGCGGTATATCGCGAAGTTACCTCTCATCGTCCGGAGAGGAAAACCGAAGGCGCCGCGCCGCGATTTCGTGTACGCGCATTCAAATTATCGCGAGAACAATCGTGCGCGGCAGAAGCAATCACGACTGAGATTACCGCGCGAGGATTCGACGGGCTCGCTCGGGGACGCTGTTTAATCGCGCAAATGATTTCCTTTATAATGCGCTGTGTGTGACGACCGGTATATGTCAAGGAAAATTCACGAAACTAGTTGACCTCGTAATATTGTTAAGTGGAGCCAACCTGGCAATTGATTAATCGCCTTAGACACACGTACACACATGCACGTACACGCGTTTACGTGCACACACACACACACACACACACAACCGCACGTGGCAAGTTACAAGAACGTGTGGCTTGTCTGAGGAGCGCTTCAAGTTGACTTTGCTGACTCTTGGAGCAGGCTTGCGGTCGTGGCAGCCGTATCCGCGCAGCTCGACGCGCCTATTTTGTCATTGTGTCACTTGCTCCCACGGCGGCAGGTATCGCGACATATAGAATACTCGTCAGCCGTCGCGAGATACCGTCCCATTGAGAATTAATCGCATCGCCGCCATCGCGAATTTATCGTATCGTTACGCTGCGGGCTAACTTTCGATAATTGATTCGTCGATATCGAGCGCGCGCGCGCGCGCGCGACGCGACTCCAACCTCTGAGATCTCTCACCTTTATGTAACCGGAGGCCCCGGCGAGACGGGGCGTGTGTGTCTCGCTCTTTATTGGAGTTATCGGGGAAACTGTGTGGCGCAGCTCTTTCATGGAATCTTAATTAAACGAGTTATCTTGAGACGAGACCGACCGAAAAGTTTGCACACAGTCTTCTGCGAATATTTACACACGCCCACGCGCGACGTTCGAACATTCGCGCGTATTTGAACAGATTCCTCCGCGATCGTCGCGTCGCCGTGTCGTGTCGTCCTGCGAGTATCGCAGTGTGTCGCAACGGCACTTCTTGAAACTCAACTTCCTTGTGAAGGAGCGATCAGGCACGCAACCGCGAAGGCGCGTACGTACGTACTGCGAGAGGTCTCGTCGAAACTGGCAGGCGATGACAGGCGATGAGGCAAATGCGGAGGCGGAAACAGTCACCTAAGTTTGAACCAACCGTCTTAAATGACTAATTGTTTCGCTCATGGGTTCACTATATGTCGACTGTCAGTGGAACAGTGGGACTACTCTCTCACACAATGTACGACGCACATTGGATGCTGCTAAACGCCCGGCGGTTTCGGTGCTCTTAAATTTCCGACGCCGACGTTGCTTGCTGGACTCACATTAATTAAGCGTGAGCTACGCGACGCACGTCCTTGACATTACTGAGCCGCCACCGCAGCGAGACGATAATCATCAGAGGCAAGGAATCGCGCCTCTTCCAAAAAAAAAAAAATATTTTCATCTCGCGGAGCGATATGAAGAACTCATCGTACGAGATCGTGATCGCGGCCGATCTCGAGAGGCCGTTTTATAATCGATCGACCGATATGTCGCGAGAGAAAGATCGGTTGAATTAACGCGACGACGAGCGAAGCAGACGCATTCTCGTGGACGGGAAGAGGATTTCTCAGAACTATATTCGACTCGTGAGAGCCGGAAATTTTGTCCCTTCTAACGAACGAAATTCGCTTGCGAGAAGCAGAAATTCGGTTCCCAGTCGAAGCTAGGAACGCTTCGTTCACGTTCGCTTGTGTCGCATTAGTCCGCAAGCAGTTCTCGTCCTTCATGTAGCCGCGTACTCACCTGTCGCTCGTCCGCCGAGCGAGAGTAGCAGTTCTCAATGAGAAACGGAGAAACTGGACCACGCAGTAATTGTCGACGGGATCGGCCCCACGCTCGATCGTTGACTGCTTCGATCTGAGGCGTGCTTCCTTCTCGAGGCCTGCGAGGCTCGTGCTCTTCAATTATATATGTTAAGTCCAGTCGGCTTCGACAAGTTTACGCGCATATTATTCCCGCAAATGCATTGGAACCGCACCGTTCGCCATTAGACCGCAGTCACGATGCGTCGCTTATGTCGAACGCGACGGTGCGACGATCATCTGCGGGTGGAAAGAGAATACCGCTAAGCGTATACGCGAATCGTCTCCGTCGGTGAGAGACGGAGCACAGAAACAGAGAGAGAGAGAGAGAGAGAGAGAGAGAGGGGGAGAGAGAGAGAGAAAGAGAGAGGGGGAGAGAATCGCGAGATAAAATGCGACAAATGTGCTCCATGTTCGAAAGGTGCCGCTTGGCTGACTAGGCATACTGCCCTGTCACTCTGACAAAATGACGTTTCAAGGTAACCTTTATAATAATAGCTCGTAACGAAAACGATTGGCATTTTTCGCGCGCTCTACCGAGTGCGAATTAAGAGGTGTTAATTGCCGATACAAGACTCGGTGGGGAGGGGCCCTCGGGTCGCTTGTTTGCTCGTTGCGAAATGGGGAAGGCTCGTCTACGCGAGCCTGTAACGTGGGAGGGGGATCTTGTGGGAAAGAGAGTCATGTATTATGTTAAATCAATCCGCGTATCGATCGAGCATCGAGTCTGCGGTCTGGACCTGTTCTGGACGCGTGTCGAGCGCTAAATATGCCTCTCTGATTCTCAGGCTGAGACAATGTCATACGCTCGTGTAAGAACAACGGAACTTGGAATGAAAAGAACGCTTAAATGAAAAAATCGCTCACTGTAGCCTACGGTGTACTTTTAGCAGCTTTAAGCTCGCTCTTATGTGATTGCATAATATATTAAATAGACAATATGAGTATTTCACAAAATTTCTAGAAAATATTTCACAAAACACGCATGTGACGCTGGACATCGGCGAAAGATCGGAGCTTCACATGTGATCGGCTCTCCCTTTGTGTTTTCAGAAATTGAAGTATTCTCCGGTCGTACGAAGTATAGTGACATCGGACGGTCGACGATACTTCGTCACAAAAGCGAATTCGTTTCTGGTATAAATACATAAATAATCGTATCTGTTGTCGGAGAAGACAATTATCGCCATGCGCCTGTGCAAATTCTCGAGTGTTAGAGCGTGTTAAAGCTATCGCTTCGAGGATATTTAAATTGGAAACGGCGGAAACGCTCAGAGATATCCGATGAGCAGCGTAAGAAGGACAGACTTATCATTATTGTTGAGTACGAGTAAACGAGGACAAATTAAAATGTTCGTTTTAAATGAGATAGAGATTCAATAGAAACGTTCCGAGTAGCGTTTAAACTCCCCCTCCTCTCCCCCCCCCCGCTCCCTCGGTTGTTAACCAGTCTGAAGAACATTCGCGTTAACAATCGTATTCACAGATTCGATTATACGAAAGCGAATTGTCGAGGAGAACAAGTCACAAACAAAGTAAAAAATCACGCGACTGCGGAAGACGATTGGAAATTTTTGGCACGTTTCGCCGACGAATGAAACGCGCGGGACGTGATTATAACATTCTTAATGCTACATTGCGTAACATTTCGGCGCGCCGCTTCGGCGCGTCGCGAAACGACGCAAGTGGTTTATATAATTAGAGGACATTTAACATCTTGATATTCTGATATACAAACAATGTCGTGCTAGAGGCTTAATTTTGACAGCTGTCGCATCCGCGCGTGAGGGGAGAAGAGAGAGAGAGAGAGAGAGAGAGAGAGAGAGCGCGCTTTCGGGCCGTCGAGCGCTGTGCGTGCACGATTACATTGTTGTTTTCTCGCTATATCAACCAAGTCGCATAAATCACCAAGATACATGGTGTGACTGGGGCTTCATTTTGATAGGGTTTTATTAGGCGGCGCCGCGCAGCCATGTTCAAGGTAACCTGTCGCTTTTACCCTTGCTGGCGCCAGCTCGGATGCATCCGAAGGGTAATTTTATTAGGAAAATATGGATTTATTTCAAGACGCTCGCAACGCGCGAAAGCGTTGCTCGACGGAATATGCGACGCTGCAATTCGATATTCTGCCGCATACATCTAAATCCTCCTTAAGATTGCGGAATCTCCGTACTCGATTTATTTTGCACGTGCGTGCGCTCACATGTGATCACTTACGACGTCCCTCCCCGAATATTTTGCGGTTTGATTACAGTATATCGCTTGCTACAAACATCAGGAGATCGCTTTTCGTTCCTGCTTGAAAATACTCAAATGAACCGGTATAAAAAGCGAGTATAATATAATTATACTACTAAAATTAATTGTATTAATTATAACATTTGAATGTCTCATCGAGTGTTAGTCAAGAAATTGTTCAGAATTAAAGTAATATCAGCCATCATACACGTTCTTTTGAGTTTTCGGTTTGTATCCCATGAAACATGAATTTCACACACGTAATTAGGATGTAACGCCTTTTTTTTGACACTGATACCGTCGAATTTTACGACGAGCGAAAGTTGGTGACGAAAGCATGGTGACGAAAGCGTCTCGTATCGCGACGAAATTAAGCCTCGTCTCTTCGAGTCGCGTTCCATCGCGAGAATGAAAGTGCGACACTGATCGAACGGTTGCGAGCGGCGACCTGAAATATAGACACACGCTGTAGATCTCGCTTCGTAGATCGTAGATCGTGCTTCGCTTGTTTTAAATCTGGGGAGAATCGAAACCACCTTGAAAATCGAAATCACCTCGGAGCCATCGATCGGTAAATTTCCACGCGCACATGTTTCCTTCACTCGTACACTGATTACCGAGCAAGAATGTAACGAGTGGAATTTTAAACGATGACGCAATTTCGAATGTACTTTTAAGTGGTGTATAAATCGCAAAGAGATGTAGCCTAACGATCAACGCGTCGCGCCGCGATTTCAAGATGGGAATTTTATTCCCTCCCTCTTTCCCGCTCTCCCCCTCTTTCTCTCTCCTCTCTTTCTCTCTCTCTCTCTCTCTCTCTCTCTCTCCCGCTCTCCCTCTCTTTCTTTCTCTTTTAGCTATAAATTCTAACTCGAGTCATCAAGCCGTTCACACGCCCCATTAAGAGAGGTACGCGCTTCGGCGAATGCAGGGAAATATGCAGCGGCGCATCGTCCTCGTAGCAAGAGATCTGTCACGTAGGATGACTCTCTCTTTCTCTTTCTCTCTCGTTTGGTCACGAAATATAATGATAACAATAAGATAACAATAATATTATTTTCGCTCGCTCTCTTCGTGAGCCGCGCAAAATTCGGCTGATCGGCAGTCGCAAAACGGAGGTAGGTGCAAAAGAGAGAGGGAGAGGGAGAGGGAGAGGGAGAGGGGGGAGAGAGAGAGAGAGAGAGAGAAGGCGCTTGAACTTACTTGCTGTACGGTAAGAGATAATGCGGAAGAAGACAGAGACACGAAACGAAATTTCAGCGCTGCTTGACGGAATGCGGGTCAGACGTAAACGCGAGGTCGGCTTGCCAGCGAGTAGAAACTGGAACGTCGAGGCACTTTCTGGTGCGCGTGTGGCGTGAACTGGTCCGCGATAATAGAAAAGCTATGTTAACTACTGGCGATACGGGCCGTCTCGTTGTATATATGCATTGTGAAAAAAAGAGGAAGAATCGTGAATCGCGCGGAATATTCCGGAGGCGGGTTGGAAATTCATCTGGTCGTCTGCAAATAGACGATTCCGTTATCAAGCCGCGACTAGCTGATTGGGTGGATCCTAACGTTTCGTTACTTCGCTCAGATTTGATTAATATTACTCGGCTGTTGTTCCTCGTGTTGATAACCGCGGCTATCGCCGTCGGATTACGCAAACGACAGTTCGCTTAGCTTTCATAGATTGTACATTTTTGTAAGCGGCCAGCCGACGATTAGGAGTAAGAGGATTGTGTGCACATGTGTATGTGTGTGTGTTAATGACCGATAGTGATGGTTGGATCTTGATAACGAGTCAAAGCACTCGTTTTCTCCATGGTGATGACAATGTCGGCAATGACATCGGCGATACCGGTCGAGCGAGTTTGATCGTACGAACGTGGGAACATACACGCGTCTCAGAAGCACGCTGGAAGCTTCCTAGGGTCAAAGTTGAACGATAGACGATGCTTCGAGATAGCGAGATTGTTGTAGCCCGATACAATTGAAATGATTGATGCGAGCGCGATGAGACAACCAAGCCGAGAAGATCCCTTTATTTCTTCCGAACAAAGTCGCCGAGAGTCGATCTCTCGTAACGCCGTCCATTCTCTCGACGCGCGAATGCTCCATTTGGCGATATGTTTACAGAGCTCATGCGATCGCCTCTCAACAACGACTGTCACAGAGAGTAAGATATTGATAACGTAATCGAAGTAATCGATATATTGGGTCAAGCGGCGCGGGCACGACGATTTGCGCTCGAGATCGAGTTATCGCGAGTCATTCGCTCGAGGCAGCCAGGAGGTAGTTCTCGTTATCCGATTATACGATTTATTTTACGAGTATACGCGACGGGCGGAAGCAGGGGTATCGCGGGGGTGGGCGGCGGGTCCAAGTGGATAATAGCGCGAGTAGATATAGGGTGAATGCACCGGGTATGCACCAGCAAATGGACAAGTACGCGCGAGTTACGTTAGCGAGAAGTGTAAATACTTGATATGTGTATGTGTGCGAGGGGACGGGGGCGGAGTACCGAATAAATTGAATAAGTTCTCGCGAAAATCGGACAATCGGGAAGTGGGAAAGCCTTAGCGCAGCATGGCCAGATATCGATATATACGAGAGTCGACCTCTGAGGCCTTCCCAGTTTCTATCAAGCGATTTTCGCGCGGAAACAGCAATTTATTCCGTATTTTTCCCGAGAGCGATCTCAAAAAGAGATCGTCTTGCGTGGCCACGCGCTGCTCCGAGTATGGATTGCATGAGAACTTGGCGCGACTAAAAGTCGTCACAGCCAGGCCGATGAATTTTTACCAGCACGCTGAGGTCTCGTAAACACGCTCACACGTCAAGTGTACGTGAGATACACGCTGATACGTTCGCGATCTATAGAGACGTTATTCGTTATTAAGCGATATTAATTACAACCGCCCGCGCGGCGATGTGAAGAAGACATTTCGGGCTGTTTGACGAGCTGACGAGATATTGACACCTGGAAATAATCCAGCCTTATCTGTGATATTGAGTTTGCTCGGCTGTGTGTATTTCACCGAAACGTTCGGCGAAAGAACAAACGCTCTCGCCGAGCGAATCGATCGATCGAACGGAGCGAACGGCGTCGTGTGGTCGCTGTTGTTCGATTAAGAGTACGTGTGTCGCCGGACACTGCACGCAGCGAGCCAGCAGGTGGATGGAAAATGTATCTCTCCCGTCTCCCCGTTTGTTCGGCTCGAGCTCGCCCGTGAATCGCTCGCAAGTCATTGCGACAAATAACTGACCTTCCCTCACTTCAGTTTTACGACCGTCGCGAATTATTGAGATGTCACGCACATTACGATAATCGAGAAAGAGAGAGGGAGAGAGAGAGAGAGAGAGAGAGAGAGAGAGAGAGAGAGAAAGTTGGAACCGCTCGCTTCCTCTGCCTTGTCTCGATTGTCCTCAGGGTCGGCTTCTCAAACGTTAAAGCCGCAATTAGCGATTCTCGACGTTAGAACGCCAGACGGACGTAGTTCACCGTCACGTGCTGGCGACATTCTAACTTCGACGTTCTAACCGGCTGCACGTGACGCACAGACGAATGTGCGCGCATTGAAGAAACACAGGATGTGTATTACGCGAGAGAGGAGAGAGAGAGAGAGAGACGCGTAACAAGAGGCAGGTGCCGCGCTCGAAGACGCCGCTAATGCGAAATCTTATCGCGGCTGTCGAAGCGTCGCGTCGGCGCCTGATCTCCTCGGCACACACCTGACCATTTCACTCAAATGTAGTTTACTTACCATTATTTACTCGCCTGATTTGCCACGGGCAAAGTGGACGTATTCCCGAAGAGAGGAGTCGTTCCTGCTCGTCGAGGAGCGGTCGATCGATCCTCCGCGATTCTCGGCGGAGGTTACCGCCAAATAGCGTCCTATCACCGCACATCCTGTGTTACGCTTCGACGGCGGGAGGAAAGACGCTCAAGGAAGCGTACGCGATCCGGGCGGAAAAGAAGCCCGAGAAATTTTCGGGTTCGCTCGAGGAGTTGGGTGAGTTGGCGCGGGTTTCGTTTACGTTGCCATAGGTACCGGCTACGTTCGATTACAATGGTGGATACCTCGCGGTGTTCCGTTCCGTAAGGGCACACCACAATGAAGCGTAACCCAAGCCCTGGCACGGCCGTAGATGGACCGTGTGTGTGTCTTCGTTCTGCCCACGGTGTAGAATTACCCGGGCCTGTGTCCCCCCCCCTCCCTCCCCCGGCCCGGAGGGATTTTCGATTCGCCCGTATTCAGATCTCGAGAGCTTCCCGACGAAAGAAATTTGATGTGCCGCTCGCTAACCCCTCCTTCTTCCTGCCGTCCTTCTCCTCATCCATCGGCCCTTTTCTTCCTTCCTCTTAAGAGGGGATTAATCCCCTCACGGGAATTTGATCGTCGAAATACGTTAAGCCGATAAGAGTCTCTTGCCGCTAATGGAATAGCAACGTTCGCTCTCTCCTTCGCCGCGTATGCGGCGCCAGGAGCGCTGCCAAACGACATGAATGAAAAATGACACGGCGCCCCGGCCAATACGGGCGCGACTCGTACCTCCCGCGATTTAAAGGACGATACAATTTCCGGCCAACAATCGCCCGCTGGACACCGACGTTATTGCACGAAGAAGGTGGCCGGGTTCTCCGGCGACGGGTCTGCGCGATACGACGCTTCCCGGCGCCGTCAGGGCCGGCAGGGTCAGCTGAACAGTCACATTCATCAACGGCCATCGGCCACGATCCGCTCGAGCTCTTCGTTATGGGTCTCAGATCGAAGGACGAAGCGATACGTGCTCCCGTGCATTCTTTTGTATCCGCGGTGCTCGGTCGCGCGCGGAACGCTTCCCCGCTAATTTCGCGTCTTTCTGAGGCGCGGCACGCCCGAAAGTGGACTTCTGGGTTAATTCACTTTCGCACTTCGTACCGTTCAGTGTGCGACGGCACAGTCGGGAGATTTAATAATACACCCCGGGGCAGCTCTCGTGTGTGTATGTGTGTGACAAATCGCGCGCTACAGACCCTCGCAGTCGACGCGGATGACTTCAATCAATTAGGGACGCTCGTTCGCCTAAATCAATTATCCACCCCCCTCGGTGGGTGGATAATTTATAGGATTATTAGCCACTTACCGAACTGATTCCGACCGTGGCCGATCGATCTTCGTCGATCGACGGTATTAAAGGGCTCGCTTCTCTCTGCGACCTGTCACACTCGACGTGTCGCTCGACGTTTAAATAGGACTCGACTTAAATCGCACGATAATGACGCGAACTTATTACTTCTCGGCGCGGCGGCTCGTCTTATCGTGACGCGATGAACACGTCATCTCGCTCTACGTTTATACAGATGTGTATCCGTTGCCGATGTTTCTTTCAGTACTTTTATAGACCCCCGTGGGATCTGAAATTCTCGCGGGGGTAATGGAGAACGTTCGGCCACAGCATAAGAAAGAACAGTAGGTTCACTCGGTGGCGGTGCTTGTGATCTCAGGTGCTACAAGACCGCCATATTATTGGTTGTGCGCGAGTTATAATTTGAATGATAATGAATAGTACCTAAAACAGATTTATTGCTGTTTTTCAATATTTATTGTCAAATCTATAATATACATTATAAAATAATATAAAAATATGAACTATTGTTAATATAATATGTTAATAATATTATAATTAATAATATATAGCATATTACTAATTATAATATAGAAAGATGTGTATATATATATATATATATATATATATACAGGGTGCTTGATTTCAAACGTAACAGGTAAAAAATCTCGAAAACTAAATGATATTGAGGTCCGCCTTTTTTTCTATTGTATTGTTCCGAAGGGGACACATTTTGATTAAAACAAAATTTAGCACTTTGCAAATTTAAATTTGCCCTTTGCAGTTTATTATATGACATTTTTACCCACCTCTTTCATTCATTTTACTGATTTTAATAAAACAACAATATTATATTAAAAATTCGGTCATATGGTTAATCGTTGCTTACACTTACACATTTTGACTATTGGCTTATTGAGCGCTTCGGTCATGCGCGACAAACGACCGTTCGCACTATTTTGTGCTGAATGAACCTACTTCTTTCTTATATTCTGTGGTTCGGCTTTCATTACGTCGCGACTTCCGTGCGATCGGCTATGCAAATAACAACAACGACAACAATGCCAACAACAACAATAACAATAAAGAACAGATGATAAATTCAATTGGATAAATTCTCCATTTTCGTCGGTTATTGGCGCTTAATAATGAAGCACGCTAACGAGAGAAAATCGTCGTCCAGGTAAAATCGCCGGAGTTGCGTATAAGAAATATCGCCGCTCGACGAAGCGCCCGCGTCCCTGGTTTTATTTTAAGCATCTGCCGTTCCGCTTCTCACGCACACACGCGCGCGCGATCCTTATTACAAGAGTCGCGTTGATTGTGTACACTTGTGTCTACAAATTATATCATTGGAGATATGAATTTGATTGCGGAAAGCGGCCGAGACATGCACGTATACATCTAGGAAAAAGTTGACGATACCTCCGCTTTAGACGCGAGCAGAGCCTTTCCGTGTCGTCGAGTCGAGCGCGAAGTGAACAAGTCGCGGGAATCACGACTACGGGAAACAATATTTCCGATTAATTGCGTATTGCATGAAATACCTGAAGCGAGGGTCGCGCGCATTAACGCGCGAAGTGACGCGCTGTGACGGTGATTTCGTAGTAAATCGCTGCGCGAGCAGTCTCCTCGAATTGTTACGCGCGACAGCATTACATTTTCAAGGAAAACATTACGTTGCTCTTTCTCGCGTTATTATTATTTCCGCTCTCGGTGGCTGACTAATCGTCCGAGATTGCGCCGCGCGATCCTGCGCGCGGGGAGAGGCGGCAATCGACGGGGAGCCAATAAATACTCATTTAAAAATAGCCGAAATTATTAATTTCTACATGGCGGAGTGACTCCAGCCGCTAGTCGGAATAATTACACAGCGCACGCCGCGGCTGTTTGCATACGTGGTCGGGTAACGACGTGTGGTTATTAACGCGCAAGCGTTTATGCACGGTAAGCGACATTATAACCGTAAGTATAATATAACGTTCGCAAACTTCGGCTATATTTCCGTCGTTACAGCTGGAGAAAATGTCGCGCGATTGCCGCGCAGCCGGATATTCCGCGTCTCTGAATCTCCGCTGAAAATATTATTACTCGCATTCGCATTCGAAAACGCTCGCGACTTGCTCGCTGCCGCATTTCGCAATGGCGGTTCCATCTAGCGAATGAGACGTTCAAGCACCGTCTTAGGCTGCAAAGTGCGACTTACCCATTCACCTAATAACACTCATTGTTAATAGAAACAGCCGCTCTTATAAGCATATGACTAAGCGAAAGCGAGGAGAAGGCAATCATCAGAGAGGCAATAGACACCTCTGAGAATCAATGCCTGCGTTAGTAATTGCGGAATGTCTAAACCGGTTGCTGACGCTTTCCGCAAGACGTCCCTCCGCAATAATGCTTGCGCCTTTCTTCGCCCGTTACAACACACCTTCGCCTCCATAGAACTTCCACGTGAGATGCAGCTGAGCGCCGAAGAAATGTAACGACAGGACAGTGGCCGGCGAAGCAGTCGGCGCGGCGGGAGAGAAAAACATCGATCCGGATTCGGCCGGCGAAACTCGCGGCGGCGCGGCGGAGAGGCGGAGACGACGGCTGCTGAATCCGGGACATCCTGGATCTGGATTAATTCGGAGCGATGCATCGTGCCGTCCTCAGTGAGGGAGAGAGAGAGAGAGAGAGAGAGAGGGAGAGAGAGAGAGAGAGAGAGAGAGAGAGAGAGAGAGAGAGAGAGAGAGAGACGCTCCGTCCGCCGGATATCGATCGCTCTTCGCGCAGACGGCGAGTAACGGCCTCGGTAACGAACCGGAAACCGATCGTATGGCATCCCGCGATCCAGGAAGGAGGCGGCTGCACTCAAGACACCCACCAGCGGCGGCCAGGTGGAAGGGCACCGCAGTACCGCTGCCGCTGGAAGCCGACACCGCGATCACAGTGGCCAGGAAACCCGGATGCCGAGGAGAGGAAGCGACGAAGCTGCCTCGCGGCTTGCTCCTTGGCAGTTGCGCGTGAACCATCGAGCGGAGCGGAGCGCTCTCGTTGGTGCCGACGTTGGTGATTCTGTTCGCCGACCGGCGGCCGATGGTACGACGTGTCGCGGGATAAAAGAGGCACCAGCACGATTTCGAAATTCACCGTGCGGCTCCAGCATTCGGCGAGATCGCAGCTCACGGTATTGATCTCGGCTCTCATACTCACTTGCCGACATTTCGGAGTAACTTCGCTTTCGAATTCGCGCCGCCGCGCCAATGTCGCCAATCGCGGGCCGGGAGATTGCCCGCTTAGTTTCTTTGTCTGGGCATCGAACAGCCTCGGAACGCATCCGTCGAGACCAACGGGAGAGGAATATATTTCTATGGGGAAACAGACCCTCCCCCTCTCTCGTGTGGGCAAGACGCGGGCATTTCGCGATTGGTTTAAAAGAGAAAAGAAAATAACGGACAAGCTTCGTGGCCGCGATTGATATCACGCCGGTGTCGCGCGTGTGAAACTACCTGTAGCGCATTGTCATTGCAATAGAGATACACGTAAGCTAGATTGTGCACAGAGGAAACGAGGTATTCCATCTGGTGATAATTATTGATCCTGCTGTGGCAGTTCTCCAACCGGTTTCTCTCCGTGCGATTAGATTTTCAATCCGCGTAGATTCCAGATGTTTGAAGTCACCAAGGATCAATTTCTGCGCGATTACATCGATCGTCAGCGGATTCTTCGAACGAGGATCCATCGCGCGTGACACGCGGAGCCAGCTGTTGAGTCGTTACATTCCGCTGTTGATTCACCGCGGTTAATCTTCGCTGCAGATATCGATCCATTGCATCTTGAAAGGAAAAATTCGATCTAACAGCACGTGATTTCACGTGCGGATTAAGCGTTTAAGTTAAGAGAATCATTGAGTGTTCATCGGTTCTCTTCTCCCAAAGGATAAAGGCACAACAGAGAAGCGCACCTGTGAGCGCTTCTCTGTGATGTCCTCTGGAAACGTGCGAACAATAAATATTCGCACGACAATGTATCGGGAGGAAAAGAAAAAGAGAGATACAATAACGTTGCTGCGCGGAGAAACGATAAGTTCTAATCTCTCCTTCGCCTCCGAGAGTTTTTTTGTAATTTGCGGCGCGTTAATAACGGCGCGGCCGAGTCTCCGGGAAATCTGCAATCATCTTACCTGTCTGGCGAGCATATAAACGCGGCGAATAAATCGCGTCGTTACAGGCACGAGGTGTATGCGTGGTATTTCGCCGTCGTTCGCGGGCGGAGACGCCGCGCCGAGGGAAATCGCCGTCGCAGACTCCTTAAATATGTGCTACATTCTTTTTTACGACGTGAAACCTGCATGGCCGATTATTTCGCGCGCGTTCTCGCTCGCAACGCGGAAGTGCGTCGCGCAGGTACGACGAACGGATGATTTACGGGAGAGAAGTAAATTGTCGGCGAACGCGGAACATACATGTGGGCAGGTGTTTATCTTGGCGATTCGTGGACGCGAGTTTGTCTGTCGAGCTGCTCAGTGACTCTCAACTGAAGAAATTAGTCAGCACGCGCGAGAACATAGTTGACATCATACTTTTGTGTATTCCTTGTACACAAGTGCGGCGAACAGACGCGCGATGTGTAGCTTGCGTCGCATTGATGTACGATCGGATGACAACTTTTTACTTAAGAATTCTTTATTGCTGCTCATCCACTCTATGGTCGACCATTATTCAAGCAAGCAAGATGCTCGCGAGAGCACTTTATATATTGAAAAATATTTTATTAATTATAAAACAAAGAGAATGCACGCGTATTTTCATTTACGCGCGAGTTTACACGCTTCCCGTTACAGTCGATGAGCCATGTAATTAAACGTGAAACGTTTCACGTGCGATATAATACAGAGCGTAGTTGGACAAATATCAACACGAATCTCGTTTATGCAATCGTGTAAATAAATGCTGATTAATTCTTGCCGCGCGTTTCCCCGACGAGAAGGCGCGCTTTCGCCCTTCATTTATAATTTCTGACATAACACATATTCTCGCGACACATCGCGAGTTACATCGAGCGATTTATAGAGGAAAATTGTGCCAATTTCATTTCATTTGCACCACCGGCTCGTATCATCAAAGCCGTCTTTTATTCAAGTTACGCTGCTGCCATCTTGTTTAGCATGCGCAGGATTGTGTTGTGATTGTTGCGAGATTACTTCACGACAGATCGCCAGTGCAAGAACCTTACATCAATTCAGACACGTCACTCGCGTTGCGTTTCCTTGACACGCTCACTCGGAGCGTTTGGAACGTGAAATTACTTTCAATGATCGGTTACCTTCACCCGGTTTGTGCGGGACAAAAAGTTTCCTCGGTATTTTGCTAACTCGCGAAAATCGTCGTCCATTTTTGTTCCGACACCTTAGATTACTGGTTTTGTCGGTTTTTGTCGGCAGTTACGTACTTCCTCAATCTCAGGATTTAAAAGATTTAAACGATACATATTTATTCGACGCCAAGTAAAAATTTCAACTCGGCTCAGTCGTAGATTTCACTCTATCTCCCTTTCATCTCTATTTTAATTAATTTCTATCTATAGATAATGTCGCATTTCAGATGTAAAATGGTGCAAATATATTCGCGCTCGTTAAGAAATTCTACGTACAGAGTTAATATGCGTTAATATCGTCGCCGAAACGAATAATATATTTCGCAGAGTAACAAAATGAAAAATGAAGAAAAAAACGAGACACAGTTAAAGTTGTAAACGAGTATGCTTAATTCTTTCGTATCGGTGCGATAAGCACAGTGCTTAGATAAGCTCTAGAGTAATTATATGTTATACAAGTCTATGCAAATAGTAGTTTTGTTCTAGCCTTCTTCAAACGAATTCTAATTCTACCTAGCATGCGAAAGATCGTACATGTTTTTTAACGTATTCTTCACATCTATTTCTTAACAATGTTCACGGTGACAATAACGGCTGCAGGTTTGTGCATGTACATCAATTTAAAACGGATTAATCTTCTTGTAAACGTCGGTTGAATCGACGTGCGACCTTCTACTGCGTTTAGGCGAGTCGTCGATTCAATATTGACATTACACTATTATATGTACAACATTTATTGTTGCCGCGAACAAGTAAGCATAAAGAAATTTATGTATTTCACGCACACACGTGCCGTTTCTGATTTTGACGATCGTCAAGATCAGACTCGAAGACTCGAAGATTTGGTGAAATCTCTTTGCGAGAGAAATTTACTCGAACGAAGCTGCTATTATTCTCATCGAGTCTCTTTGGCACTTAACATGACGTTCGATTGAAGTAAAAATTCCGAGGAAGTGAATGACGTTTAATCAACTTCGTCATTTAATCGCACTCTAAAGTTCGATGCTGTTACTGAAGCAAGTTCTAAAAAATGTGACAGCTAAATAATAAAAGTGAAAAAATGGCAAAGCTGCGACGGGGATTAAAGCGTGGGGAGAGCGATACGGGTTGATTGCACACGAGAACACTTAATGCGGAATAATGTGAACCGATTGCTCAAGATCGGTCATAATTAGCGTGCAGTGAAGCGGAATGCGGCTACTGACGAGTGCATGTTTCTCTTGCTCAGGCTCGCGCATGATATGACCCAGTCTCGCGAGGTCCTGGCAATGATGGACGCGCACACGACCACATTCGGACGTAAGAGGGGTTGCACGATTTCCCGGTGCGGTGCCTTCTTGCTGGGCGCGTTCTTCCTCATCTGTTTAGTCGCCACCGGTCTGCTGGTGTACCACTTTGCACCCTGCCTCGAGGAAAAGCAAGCCAAGCAATGCGAAGAATCCTTGGACAACACGATCCTCATGAGCGCGAGGAAGTTCTCGACGACGTCCAACAAGAAGAAAATCGACGTGAGACTACCGCGAGCCGTTGTGCCCGATTCCTACGAGATATGGCTGATACCGTTCATATGGGAAAGTAACTTCACTTTCCACGGCGAGGTAAACGCAATCTGTCAGTTTGGTAGTGAGTTCGCACGCTGCCTCTCGATAAACACGGCGAGCGCGTTGCTTTCGAACGTATCGATTGACGTAGGTCGAGAAAGATAAAAAGAGAGAGAGAGAGAGAGAGAGGGGGGGCGAAAGGTAGATAGAGAAAGATTGTTTTATTAAGGACGAGCGATGACGGACGTTGCCTCGATGTTAATGTTGAATAGCCATAAGTCGTTGCTGACGCGCGAAGCACGGCGTCAAGTATCGCCGAGACGCCTCGACTTTTTTTATTCGACATTGCGAAATTTTCTCACGACTGGCAAAGTCGTACCGATCGAACCGGCGCGAGCCGGTTCGGCCGTCGTTACCAGCGTCGACTTTCTAGCGGGAATCGAAAGCGCGATGTTTTTCTACGTTCTTGATTCTCAATTCGATACGTGCGTACCGCTATATAGCGCCGTGACGAAAAGAGACGCGTGCCGCTTGACGTAATCGTTCACTTTCATATGCCGGTGCACCACGCGGGGGAATTGGCCTGTGTCGAAGCGGATCACGTGCGTTTCGATCTCTTGACTCTTCGTTAAAGTTTCGTTTTCGTTCTTTTCACTTTCCTCTGCGCCGCCTCCTGGCCCGGCGATCTCAAGAGAGGGGGGGATAAGGAAGAGAATGCGTTCGATCGCTGAGTTAAATTTACATCGTGGGTCTAATTGAGTCTCGCAGTTTTACGGCTAGAGAACCTCGAATAGATGAGTGTTTTCACCAACTAGGACGTCATCAGGGGGATGTGCAGCGGGATGCGCAGAGAGAGAGAGAGAGAGAGAGAGAGAGAGAGAGCTTTATTCGCGACTAAAGCTGTACTGTTCTTAGTTTATCGGAAATAGACGTTACATTATTTCGTCCTATTGGTAATATGATCGTTTTATGCAGGTGAAAATTTGGGTAAACGTGACGGAGAATACAAACAATATCACGCTGCACGCCGTCGATATGAACATTGACAAGGGTTTTACAAATATCAGAGAGCATGTCAGTAACAACAAGACTAAAATAGTCGGAATCGTGGAGCAGAGGAACGACACCGAGCGACAATTCCACGTGATTAGAACGTCAGACAGGTTGATGAAGGGTAAACAGTATGTGGTGCATCTCAAGTTCGTCGGCTATCTGAACGACGACCTGCAAGGCTTCTACAGAAGCTCGTACACCGTCGGCAACGAGACGAGGTACATAAACGGCGGCACTACGACGGCAATGGCTTCTTATTGCTTAAATTTTGAAACTAAAATTCAAATTTTCAAGCGTCATTTAAATTTTTCGAAAGCTAATCAAAGATCATCAATTGGAGCATGAGATTAAATTAAATCGGGATTTCGGCCATATTGCCGCGCAAAATTTTTTCGTTTCTAACATCGTCGTAACATCATGTGAGCTTATCGTTGCGAAATATATATTTTCATCGGAGACGGATCGCGGGTGGTTATCCTTTGGAGAACCGTGTTGCGGTTGCGTGTTTGGTTTAGGCACGGGCTCAAACAACGGCTCATGTCGGCTGTTTGCCAAAGATATCTCGGTTTTGCATTATAGATGGATCGCCACGACTCAATTCCAACCTACAGATGCACGCCGCGCCTTCCCCTGCTTCGACGAGCCGGCTCTGAAAGCCAAGTTCCAGATTAACATAGCGCGGCCTAGAAACATGACGTCTATCTCGAATATGCCCATGAGAGGGCAACCGATGCCAGTGTGAGTAACTATGTTGCACTTTTACGATGAACGTTATCTCTCGTTGCGCTGTTCCCTAAATCTGATCTGTCGTATTCGGTGTTCCCCAAATCTGATACCTCGCGGTCGTGATACAATTTGTCAATTCTCACAATTGATTTCTCCTTTCCCGCCCCAAATGCACAAAATGTAAAATCTGACGTCGGCGTATTGCGGTTGTTGTTTAGAGATTCCGTGGAGTTAGCATTGACAAAATTCGCAAGTCGAAAGAATTTGTCGGTCAGATACAAAAATAGCATTAGCCGTCAGAATTGATGTTTTCACACGGTATCGACTCGCGGAGGAGTTAATTTTCTCTCAATTTTCAGAAAAGTTTTTCTTTGGAAACTCTTGTTGTTTCTTCCTCAGGCCCGGCTTACACACGTACGTGTGGGATCATTACGAGCGTTCTGTGCCGATGTCTACGTACTTGGTGGCCTTCATAGTTTCCGACTTGGATGAACGGAAATCGGAGGACGGAAACTTTAGAGTTTGGGCGCGCCACGAAGCCATTAACCAGGCGCAATATAGCTTGAATATCGGCCCGAAGATACTCAAGTACTACGAGGAGTACTTCAAGATCAAATTCCCTCTGCCAAAGATGGATATGGTCGCCTTGCCTGACTTCTCCGCCGGCGCCATGGAAAATTGGGGCTTGATCACTTATAGGTAAGAACATCCGATACACCATTCCGACGATGTCACAATTGATACAATTGATGATACAATTATACTCGAAATGTGATATACGTTTAATTGCTGCGCGAGGGGTAAGATGAGGAACGTCGTCTCCACTCCGTTACGTCGACAAATATTATCGCACGAATGCTTGCGGCGATGACTAAAGTTCCACCGAGGTCTTCTCCGAACGATTGTATTCCCACGCACTGGAAGTTACGAACTCCGAGTTATGTTATTTTGACACGCATAAGTGTGTAATTGGCTGCTTCTTAAGCTTAAAAGCTTCTTTGCACGTTTCTTGTTGTTCTGAATATCCGTGTCGTACATACATTTCGCTGTTTGTTATCGAACAGAAGGAATCGACTGTCGCTCGGTCGCTTTATCTAACGTACAACTTGTGCAGCTAGAGCTGGCGAATGGTACTTGAGAAGGTAGCTCGCGGACAACGGACAAGTATGGCAAACACTTCTGTAACTTCTATCTCGACGAACAGATAGATCATTTATCTCGGTGATCAGAACTATTAGACGTATACTATTCTCCGTTCGACTGATGGATGCTGTGAATGATAATTTTACGCTCTCTTGTCTCACTTACCGTGAGACTGACAAACTTGAAGTAACAAAATTGAAGACAGCGTAAATATGTACTCCCTGTTTTCTCGCCTTCTCGTCTTCTAATTCGTCGTTTTGCCAATTTAGAGAAATCGCGATGTTGTACCAGGAAGGAGTTTCGACCAGTAGCAATCAGCAGCGTGTGGCCACCGTGGTATCACACGAGCTCGCGCATCAGTGGTTCGGAAACCTGGTGACCCCGAGTTGGTGGACGGATCTTTGGTTGAACGAAGGCTTCGCCAGTTACATCGAGTACATCGGCATGAACGCGGTAAGCATTGCTCGACGATGACGCGCGCGCTCAACGATGAAATAAAAATGATCATTTTTAATCAACGTCCTTTCTCTCTCGCGCGCACGGAGTAACACGTTTTCTTCATCGCTAAATCAGCGATACTCAATACTTTAAGCGTACTTGAAAGATTTTTCGTATGTACTGCTGTGCTCTAATGTAACTCTTTTATTTCTTTAATATTCAGGTTGAACCATCGTGGCGAGTCTTGGAACAGTTCGTCGTACACGATCTTCAGAATGTATTTGCCCTGGACGCTTTGGAATCTTCTCACCCCATATCCATCGAGGTCGACCATCCCGACGAAATCAGTGAAATTTTTGACAAAATTTCCTATGGGAAAGGTATTTGATGACGTTTTTTATTTCCATCATGATGTTCCTGCGCGCAACTGACCTGGTCGTATTTGCTTCAGGTGCTTCCATAATAAGAATGATGGACCATTTCCTCACCACAGAAGTTTTCAAGAGAGGTCTGACTAATTATCTGAATGGAAAGTGAGTGGGAACTAATTTCTTAGACTTTTCTAATTTTTTTTGCGCGCAAAGCGATTTCTTATAACATAATACATGTAATAATATTATGTGTATATAATGTATAATATGTGTAATTGAATATCTCTACCGCACTCGTAGAGCCTATCAAAGTGCCGAGCAGAACGATTTGTGGTACGCTTTGACCGAGCAAGCTCACAAAGACAAGGTACTCGATCCAAGCATAACTGTCAAACAGATCATGGACACTTGGACCCTGCAAACCGGCTTTCCCGTGGTCACCGTTACGCGAAATTACAACAACGGTAGCATGACGCTCACGCAGGTACGTGATTGGTAAACAAGGTGAGCGGAGCGCGTTAGCAAACGAACAATGACGTTTTTCTCTTTGAGGCGTCAACACGATCCTCGCACGGTGAGCCGCGTATATCTACTTTACTCGAATCTATCATAGACATCATTTGGGGCATTAGAATTTTCTTTCATACACTTTGCTTGTCTCTCACAGGAACGCTTCCTGCTTCGTAACAGCAGCACGACGACCGCGATTCACAAGGAGCCATTATGGTGGGTGCCGATCACTTATACGACCGAGAAGCAATTAAATTTCAACAACACTCAACCCTCCAAGTGGATGAAAGCGGAACGTTCGATCACCCTGAACGATTTGGACGTGAGTCCGTCTCAATGGATAATTTTCAACGTGCAGGAGACTGGTAATTACATCACGGCAAAATATCTGTAAATGCGGTGTTCCTATATTTCTTCGTTGGGAAAGTAAATTTACCTCGAGCGTGCCTTATTTATCGCCGAGCGCTTTCGGGAAAATGATTCTTTCTGGTGGATGGTACGAGCGTGACGTTAGACAATATAATTGATTTACTTGACAGGATACTACAGAGTGAATTATGACAGGGCAAACTGGCAGATGATAATCAAGCAGTTGAACAAGCAAAATTTCAAGGATATCTCAACGATCAATCGAGCGCAGTTGATCGACGACGCTCTCAATTTGGCTAGAGCCGGCATACTCGACTACAATATCGTCCTCGACGTTACATCTTACTTGGCCCATGAGACGGAATATTTGCCTTGGAAAGCAGCCTTCAATGCCTTGAATTACCTCGACGACATGCTAATCAAGACCCAGGGCTATGACAAATTCAGAGTAAGTTAAAGCAGAGTGAGAGGCATTTGTGAGGGACTGGAAATTTTTCCCCGAAATTTTCTAGCTCGTCCGGGAAATTATATTCCGGGAAACTTTCCAAAGTATGCTCTTCACTAAAAGTTCGCGAACAAGAGCTTAAGAGGACTCACGACGGTAATTCGATACTTTTTAGTTGTACGTGTTAAAACTACTGGACAACGTATACAAGCAAGTCGGCTTCACTGATAAAGTGGCGGACCCTCAGCTGACGGTTTTCACGCGAATCGATGTTCTAAGTTGGGCCTGCGTCTTCGGCCACGAGGACTGCCTCCTGAATGCTGTGCAACAATTCCGCAATTGGCGCAACACTCCTAACCCGGATGTCAATAATCCGTAAGTGGAGACGACATGTCGCGATACGTACACTGTCGCGCGCGCGTTATGAGCTCATGAATTATTTATCAGCTCGTTGTCGTGTTCTCTCCGATATTCCATTCGGAGCGATTGGAATGATCGAGTTGCGCGATTTATTCCGGCGAGGTTGGATATACCTGAAAATGCTGCCGCTTTATCGCGCGTACTTCTACTTTTTCTTATAACAATGATCACTTATAACAATGAGCCACGCGATATATATCTCCTTCTCTGAACAATAAATCTCGCCGTTGTAGAATCTCGCCAAACTTGAAGGGCGTCGTCTACTGCACGGCTATTCGAGTGGGCGGACAAAGCGAATGGGAGTTCGCTTGGCAGCGCTATCGCTCGACCAACGTCGGATCAGAGAAGGATCTGCTGTTGCAAGCTCTGGGCTGCACGAGGGAGCCGTGGCTACTAAATCGATACTTGGACTGGAGCGTCACGGAAAATTCAGGCATCAGGAAGCAGGATTCCTCCCGAGTGTTCGGCGCGGTAGCCAACAACGTTGTCGGCCAGCCGATCGCGTTCAACTACTTCAGGAACAAGTGGACGCGCATCAGGGAATAGTGAGTTGTCGAGATTGAAAGGTTGCTTTCGCAGTCGCGGAAATTTCTTGGTCGGTGTGGTGGAGAGATATTTCCCTGGAGCATCGACCTAATTTTATGAAAATGAATTACTCCTATCATAGATAAGATTCCTCTTCGAGATTTGACGATATTTCGTTTGCCGAAACACATAATGCGAGAGAAATGTTTCATTGCTTTCAGTTTCGGAACGTCGCTGTTAACCGTCAATAACATCGCCAAGTCGGTCACCAGGGGTATAAGCACGAAATACGAGCTGAAAGATGTGAGTGTTGCGCGGTGAAAGTAACTTAACAAATTAAAAAGTAGCTTAAGCGAGAGAAACATGACGAGAGTATCGATGCAACTCTATTGGATAAGTTCCAAGAAGTTATCGCTCGAGTCTGCGCGATCTATCTTTTACGCGCCGATTTCATAGCTCTGTCGCTTTATATGGCTTCGTTTCACACAGCTTTATTTTGCAAAACTTTCCGATAAAAAATAATTTGACATCGTCTTGACTCTTCCTAAAACGTGAGAAAAAATAAGGTGGATAAAAATGAGGTATCTGTCGTATGAAAATTTTTTCAGTTCACGCCAAGTGTTCGACGCGAACTGAAACATCCGCCGAATAATTCTTCCTCATCGAGCTCACAATGTATTGACATCTACAGATTATCGCATTACGTCACGCGTTTTTGTTATGTTTGCAGCTGCTGGAATTCGCGACTGAGCACAAAGAGGAACTGGGCAGCGCGACACGAGCCGTGCTACAAGCAGTGGAGCAAGCGGAAGCCAACATACGGTGGATCGACAATAATCACGCAACGATACGTGACTGGCTGCGAAAGAACACCGCGTAATAAATATGTTCGACAGCAAATTTAGTCTTCCGTGGTATCGAGTTTATTCGCAGAGCGATGCTTTCCGGGCGACAATTGATATCGCACGTGCGCGCGAGCGCGCGTGCGCGATTTAATTCTCCGCCGAGTTTGCCGAATTGTTCGCGCGGAGATTTGTCCATTCGTACACAGCAGATCACCATAGCCGGAACACGCGGAACGAAATCGCCAAATATAGTCTATCCGGGTTGTATAAGAGGATATTATGTGTTTTTGTATCTATTTGTAAATATATATATACGGCCAGCATTATGTCGTATGTACATGATATTTATAAAATTTATGAGAGTAACAGAGCGGGCTAGAGCTCTCCGGTGTATGCGCGTTTACATTCCCCGTTATTCCCTGTTCGCTAGATTTAAAGGGAATATTTTGAATATCTCCCGAGTGTGATAACGTTAGGGATCTCTTTAAAAAGATAAAAGAATGTTGGATCTCCCTCGCGTCGTGATCGATATCACTCAGGGCCCGAAGAATTTCGACATAAAGGATAACTTGCAAATTAGCGAGTAACGGAGATGATCCCAGGTTCGAGGTAAAAGTCAATAGACACTACTGAGATGCGAACTCTCATCGGGAAATCTTTCAACCTTTCAATTGTTCATGAATTGTTCTTTCTTATTGAGCGTTCAAACGATTGATAAGTATGCAATTTGAAACACGCGACAAATAATTGTACGTTTATCTGCGTGTTTGTAAAATAGAGGAATAATAAAAAAAATAAAGCGACAATTTTCACGAATCACTAGAAGAAGAAAGAAAACTAGCAAGTTAATACACCGACATTTTTCAATGTAACAATCTAGCTCTATTGTGCGCAAAAAGAGAATGTTACTTCATCCTGTTAATAAGAATGTCATTTTTCCAGCGACCTTCGCTGAGACCTTCATTACAATATATGTTGAAAGTGACTATTTTCTGAATCGCCTACCAACAAAGATAATAAAAGAATTTATATATACAATGTGGTTAATTCGCTACATGCATGTTAAAAGTCGCTTCAGAAATCGAATATTATCTCCATAAAGAGAGATTTAATCTACTTTGTGTACTTAGAAACTCAAAAAATTCCTCAATTATCGATTCATATAAACTGAGAACTATGTACGTATGACCGATTGCCAAACAGCTTGCGTACGATAAAATTCTAATTATTTATTAAGAGTTTGCAATGCGACCTATATTTTATAACAACAGGAAACAGCATCCTATCGAAGATATAATACTGCATTATTTTGAAAATGTTGCATGTTGCACATCTTATGGATATAATAAAATTGTATCGATTTTTACAAACTCTTTGTCGTACAAGTGTTACTTAATTTCTTCCATTTGTAAACCGACGAATGCTTTATTTACTGTTAATATGTTAGAACTTTGATACGTGAATATACACATCGTAACATATGTTTCAAAGCAGCTGTCGAGGACAAGGAAAACCATTAATTTTTATTAATATTTATTAATATTTAATATATTATCGTATAACAATGTTAAAAAATATATTTATCTGGACAAAATGATTTCATGTTTTCGATGAAATGCTTTTTGTTCATCATTAAATTAGATTGCTTGCTAGATATGGTCGTTTTAATAAATCTCCACCCTCTTGGTTTCTCAATGACAGCTTATGAAGTACGAAATTAGAGCAATAAGTGTCATGACAATGACGTTCAATGGTTTTATCATAGCACAACCGCCACCTTTAGTTCCATACAGTTCCGTTGATATCCAAAGACCAAACGATTTGCCATGTGTCTCGTACCAATCTATATTGTCAGCCACAGTGTCATAAACGGGTTGTACGAGATGTTTAGGGAATACATCTGGTTTAACTGCGTGAAGGTATGTTAACTGAAACAAAAAGAAAGCAAGTTTTTACATCATTTAATACTTGACGATCACGAAAATAATAATTATTATATTTTACAAGAATATTCATATTACGTAAAAGAGAAAAATTTTTTCATAAATACAAGATATATCGAGAAGTATACTATTAATGTAAAATAATGCAACGTGGAATATAGGATATATATATATATATATAAACAAAACATACATAACAACATAAAAATATAGGAAGTGTTAATAAAGCGGTATAATAGTTATAATGAACAACCCGAATGTTTTTACAAGCCTTTTTTAAAATCATGCTTTGCTTTTTGAAATTTATATCTGATAGCTATTGTTATGCATATGATTAAATTATATGCTCCGTATATAACAAATGATCATACCTTATTATATACTGTGACATCCGAAATGTGGGACGCTGCATTGGCGGCCAATTCTCGAACGTCGTCCCAATTGCCGTAACTGTAATGAAAGTGCACGAAACGAAATGTAAGTACAAGAATTTCGCAATAAATCTCACTGCAATTTTGTTACAATAATACACTCACTAATCATGGAGGTTCTGCAAATTATGTCTTATAAAGTCAAGAGTAACATTTATTCCCAATTGACTTGAGCCATATACAGAAGCGAACACTGTTGGAACATCTTTTTTACGAAAAACGACGCCTTTGTTACCATCGTTGAAAACTTTCTTCAGGTAGCTATAACATTAAATGAATTATTCATGTCTTCATTGAGCGGGAAAAGGAACTTGCACCCGAAAGATATATGGCTGTCATAGAATTTAGAGAGTTAACCATCTACCCAAACTCGAATACTTGCATATTTACAATTTGGGAATATCATTTTTTCTCTGTGTAATCTTATGAAACGAATTAAATTAATTTTTGGAAAGTTAATACTTAAAGCTTTCATTATTGTATTACACGTTATTTTATGTACTGTTATACACATTACTATATCATTTCGTATCTAACTGTACTTTATACTTAAAGAATAAAAACAAACTGTTCCTTCAGAATGTTATTAGTCAATTCGAAATTCTTTTGTTTCCATCGATGATTAATTCCCGCTTGACTTTGTAGACGACCAACTTCTTCCATCATGAGGATCTAATTTCATTAATTAATCCTTATTCAATAGAGGAACAACGGATAAAGTTCCGAAAAGACCAAATCTTCGATTGAGCTGAAAATTTGTGGAAAGCTTCTCTTTAGCTCCGAAATGAAAACCTTTGAAGGATTTTTGGCGATAAAGTCCCATTCACCACCTACGCCCGATCAAAGTTTAAACAGTTTTTCCACTGTATCTTCGAAAATATTGATTTTGGAGAAAAATGTATGTGACAAAAAATGAAGCTTATGAAACGCTTATGAAACAAAAAAGGTCATATGTATTATTAACGTAAATGCAATATTTTTACCATTATGTTCAAAAATAGATATTTACAAAATGTTATTATTTACAATACCGACGACCTCTCTTTCACTAATTTCAACAATGTCGACATATGTTGTTAAAGATATGCATTGTTTATTAAAAAGTTATTGACAAAGAAAGTTTGGTATATGCATAAGTTACGTTTAGCACGGCGCGCTACGCGCGCCCCACCCCCGCCCCACCTCCATCTCACTTGTCTCCCTCACCCTCTTCCCATTGTTTGTTTTCAATCACTTTTGTAAACACACTGCTTGTACTAGTAGAATAAAAGGATAGATAGGGAAATAGGAAGGGGGTGAGGGGGCAAGGATGGGGGCAAGGATGGAGTAAGGACGAGGATAGGATGGGACAACTATTATTCAACATAACTGCAAAAGTATTGCATTTACGTTAATAATATATATGACCTTTCTTCTAGAGCGTTTCACTAGCTTCATTTCTTGTCACATACATTTTGCTCCAAAATCAATATTTTCGAAGATACAGTGGAAAAGCTGTTTAAACTCTGACCGGGTATAGGTGGTGAATGGGACTTTGTCGCCAAAAATCCTCCAAGGGTTTTCATTTCGGAGCTAAAGAGAAGCTTTCCACAAAATTTCGGCCCAATCGAAGATTTGGGCTTTTCGGAACTGCACAACCGGAACAACCGCATGTTCGCGAGAAGCGCGCAGGTTTCTGTTTTCCAACGATCCCTCTGCGACGCCTAGAAGCGGAGATATGGACAAGCGCGCTCAAGTCGCGCGCTCGGCCGGCGTCCGGCTAGTCGCTTCTGTTAGTCAATGGCGCTTGTTTCTTTAAGGAATGTGGATGGGGTGACAGGGTCCGCATTCCGCGCGATACATTGTTGTAGGCCGCCTAACGTATCGTATTATGCGGTATTTCTTCCACTTGAAGTCAACCGGTCTTCTACCTCACTCGCCCGTGCGTCGGTCATTTACCTCACTCTTGGGTATCCGGCGGTCCGCGTCGGCTCGTCTGTGTCGGTTCATAGGGCGCGCGTGTGCAACGTGTAGAGTGCGTTGCGTGAGGTAAGTTGACACTAAGCATGTCGTAGCTTTTTCAAGAGTCACATCTTTCTCTCTCTCTCTCTCTCTCTCTCTCTCTCTCTCTCTCTCTCTCTCTCTCTCTCTTTCTCTCGCGAACGAATCGACATAGAGACGCGAAATAAAGGGCGATTAGACATGCAACTAATCGTATCTTCTAAATTCCAAGTTTCTTTCCCCGTTAAGTTTTATGCAATTTTGATGATAATGAGATCAATGTAGGTCAAACTGAAGGAATAATCGGGATGTAGTTTACGAATGAATAGCCGAGTATCGAAGAAACAATTAATGCGCGGATTTATCCACGGTCTTTCGTCCATTTTCGTGACTTTTGTGAGTCAATTAAATCCTAGTTTATAATTTGATCATTATATTTGCGATTTGTGAACTTACTTATCGAGCACGTCTGGGTCCCTCGAGCAACCAAGCGCATTTATAATCACCAGCTTCTCGGAGGCGAAATTCGTTTCTAGATATTTATTCCACAAGAAGTTCCAATCACCTGAAGTCCCGTTTTTTATTGCGGCGCAATAAGCAGCTGCTTTTGCATTGGGTGGAATGCTATGAGGAGAAGTCGCAAATAAGAATTGTCAGATTTACGACGAAGATCAGATTGAGACAATTGACAAATCTAGCGAGAAATTGGAGAGTTGTTGTAGGCGATTTAAATAAATTAATGAATAAGCTTTTAGATGAATAAACTAATAATTAATGAGCAAATTAATTTTTAACGAATAAACTAATAATTAATGAACAAATTAATTTTTAATGAATAAACTAGTAATTAATGAGTTGGTAAATTAACTAAGTTATATTTATACGTCAATCTATTCGCAATCAATTAGAAGCAAGCACTAACTGGGAAAATTTTAAATGTTAAAATTGAAATGGGCGTCATAATAAATATTTTATCGAAATTTTATCGAAATATATGAGATCGTTCTCACCCATTTATAATATTCTGTCGCCAAGCTCTGAACCAATTTATAGATTCCTCGATGCAGTTAGGATTGCCGAGCTTGCAAGCCCACTGGAGAATCATTTCTTTATGCAACCGATCTACAAGCCGATCTTTACTGGAATCTTGGAATCCCTGGACTAGATTATACGTCTTGGACATCAATCTCAACACGTATTCCTTTAGGTGCTCCTCACAAGATTGCCCCTCGAATCTCTCGTAAACGTAGGATAGACTGTTGAGGAACGCTTTCCAGGGCAAATGTTCCGTCTCTTGGACGAGATACTTCGATGCCTTCCACCAGAATTCGTCGTTCACGTAACCGGCGCGTGCCAAGTAATAGAGATCGTCCAGGATCTGAGCGCGATTCACCACGTCGATAGTTCCGTACCGATTGCTCTGCAGATAGTCGATCAGTTGTTGCCACAAGTATTCATCGTAATTAACACGGTAGAAGCCGGTCTGCTTGTAATTTACTACGACCCACTCGTTGGTGGGATTAACATATAGTTCTTTAGGTTCAGGCCCCAGCCATGTTTTACGTTTCATACTTATATAATTGTCATATTTGAGGGACGTATCGATGTGAATCGGTATCCAGTAAAACTCCGTGTTTGGTCTGCTCTGCCTCGTTTTGTTGCTCAGGATGAACCGCTCCTACAAACAGCACGTTGCGCGATACTTGTCTTGAAGAATCCCAAAACGAAGTACAATGGAATACGCATAATAGTAAGAATAATAAAAATAACAAAGTAACAGCCGGGAAACGACGTAACTACATGACGTTACCTGAGAGAGCGTCAGTTTGTAATCATTCAAATGCGCATGGACGACGGGATATCCCGGCTGGTCCGTCCAAGTGTCCATCACTTCCTTGATGTTTAGATCCTTAATGTCGACTGTTATCGATGCGTAGGGCTCGAAACTTTTCCATAAATCGGCGGGACGCGCCGTGCCGCCTTGGTGTTGTTTCAAATAGTCGCGAAGCGCCGATTTGTAGACTTCGTCGTCGAACGCGTTGAATAACATTCGTAAGACGCAGGAGGCTGAAGCAGATTTATATATCTTGATTTTAGACATCTCAAGAACTTTACAGTTGACACTCCCCCCTCCCCCCCTCCCGTAAGAAGAAGCACTATATTTTGTTATATAAGAAATTAGAACATATTATTATGATATACGAGAGTGAGCTGATGGCGTTGAATTCTCTTTGTGTATCATACGTACATTTTCCGTAAGTGACATAATCGAAGATGCCCTTTATTTCTTCGGGGGTTTTCACGGGGTTTGTCATCGGATGCGCTGAGTCCAATGCATCCTTCTCCAGTGCGGGATGCATCTCGTAAACCACGAATATGTCCATGTAGTTCTCCTCAGGTAGCATCTAAGAAAAAAAACATTTCACGGATTCTCGCTATTCATCGCGATAATGATCTCTGTAAAAAATATTTTATCGCTCGAGAAGTTTAGGCTCGATGGTGAATCGATATCCGTCCTGCCGAGACTTCGGAAGAATTGATGCTATAGTGAGAAAGCTGAACTTAGATTGATTTTTTCGAGTTCTTAGAAAAGACGAGCTACAATTTCACACGCTATTTGAGCTAAGTTTGAGGAGTGCACGTAAATATCGAGAAGCACTCACCTGATCAGACGAGTACCACTCGAAATACTCGGCGAAGCCTTCGTTCAGCCAAATGTAGTCCCACCATTGGCAAGTAACCAAATTCCCGAACCACGTGTGAGCCAATTCGTGTGCCACCACGGAGATGATGTATTTTTCATATGTGCTCGTAGTTAAGTAATTCTTATGAAATAGTCCATATTCGCTGTTAAAGAGAGAAACATATATTATTCACGCAACGCATGTATATCTCGGGTTAAATTCAGACAATGACGAACACGCATTATAAAGTCGCTCGAACGTTAATCAAAGCATGAGCGTGTTACCGAAAAGTGATGAGGCCCCAGTTCTCCATCGCGCCCATGTTGAAGTCCGGGATTCCCACCAGGTCTATCTTCGGTAAGGGATAATCAATGTCTGTGAAATTCTGCAGAATCTCCAGGTGCTTTTCAGCGGTCTCTTGAGCGAAATAGCCGTTCATCACGACCTCCGGTCTGCCCCAGACATTGATCTTGTCTGCGGTCTTCAGCAGAGGCTTAAATTCGCTGACAACGAATGCAACTAGATACGTTGGTATTTCCACAGCGGTGGTATGGAAGATGTCCCACTCGTAGCCAGCTTTCCTGAAACGACAATCGTCAAATCAGGGTGTAAATCTGTCGTCGACATAGCTTTGTGCGTGAGGAAATTGTACATTATACGTACAGTCTGTAAAGTAAGAGCGTGCACGGCATAAATAGCAGTTGGCTTCAAATATCGACCTAGTTCTTTTGTGAGCCGATAGATGAAATCTTTGTCGTGAATGCTTTGTCACAAAAGATTCAGTTGGCGTCGAACTCTAACCTGAGAAACACGTTAACCATGCGCCATGAGTGCCGCATACGCATCGCGTTACGAGGCTGTGTTCCTTTGTTCCCACCCCAAAGGACCAAAAATATCATATGCAGTGGCTGCTAAATACATGGGAAAATCAAAATCCTTCGTCGCTAAGTGGGTTCAGTAATATAAGAAGATCAAAAATGTCGATGACTTGCCAGAACGTGGCTCGATAGGCAAAGTGACGCCGAATATGGAAAACAAAATTGTGAATTTGTTTAAGCGGAACCCGACCTTAATGCTTCAAATTTATGAGAAGTATTTGTTGCCGACTGCTGAACGATGCTTCATAAAAAAAAAACGAGGACTGGATCTTACAGGAAGACAACGAGCCAAAACACCGGAGCAAGCTTTGCACCGAGTGGAAAGAGCAGTCTGGCATCGTCACACTTGATTGGCCATCGCAGACGCCAGATGCAAATCCCATTGAAAATGTGTGGGCATATCTCAAGCACAAGCTTCGAGGAAAATGAGTGTGCACTTTGAAGCAGCCGACACGACAAATTCGTCTCATTTGGAGGTCTTTACCGAACGAATACGCAGTCAACTTAGTGGAAAGCCTCGGCCTCGGAGATGCCAGGCAATTATCAATGCCGGTGGTGACTGGACTCATTATTAATGGTATAGCATTTTTCTTCTCATGGAGTACAACAAATCCATGTACTTAAAAATCATTAAAAATAAATTTTTCTACACATTAACCCGTGCACGCTCTTACTTTACAGACTATATGTTGAAATTTTGTACTTACTCCGACAAAACAGTTTTCGAGAGCGGCATATTGCTCAGACTCGTGTAGGACTCTGGTCGTTGAATGTTAATTAAGAACTTCGATTTGAACGCCGGCTCGTCGAAGCACGGGAAGGCCTCTCTCGCGTGCACAGGCTCGAATTGCGTCGTGGCCAGCCAGCTGTGAAGGTAAGAGACGAAACAACATTAATAGCAAAATCAAGCAACGACTACGAAATCCTCTGAATTAAATTGCAGCGTGCTGATCGTGCAGTTACATTCAGCAACGAGCAATAACGGACGTTGCTCACTGTTGCTTCCTCGATTTGTCCTTGTAGGAGCTACGATAGAATCCTTGCATGTTGTCGTTGAGGGTCCCGCTGAACTCGATGTTCACCTTTATGTTTTTCGCATTTAGGAATTCGGCTAGGTATATCTTCAGTTGTTGCGTATCAGTGTCCAGTACGTAGTCTAATAATGGTATATTTTCTGTGGCCTCTAAACCGTCGTCTTCCTCCGAGTGAATTCTGCGGACCTCCACGCTCGTGACACGGAGGTTGTGCGCATTGAGGAAAATGGCCGTGGTGTTCTTCTCGACTCTTATGTATATCTGAACCTCCCCTTGGAAGATCTTATTTTCTATCTCAGGCGTGAGGTAGATGTCGTACTGCTCTGGATAAAGCGTATTCGGCAAGCGATACGTGTTGTCCGGCAGCAGCTTGTCCAACGCTTCGAAAATTTCCGGCGCTTGCTTCTCGTACCAATCAAACTCGTATTCAGCGTTTGCCAAGTAAGATTCCTTGGAATCCTTGAATGCCGGCTCTTTGTCGACTAGCCAGTCGAGTAGTTCTTGATACTGCGGGGTGATGGTGAGTTAGTAACATTTGTCGACTGATGTCGGGCGTTTTGTAAACATTACGTTGTAAGCGATCGTATTACTTAATTATTTGATGAAACGTTTAATGAAACATACACACATGTTACTTCTGTTTCTGCCTTCGTTGCAAAAGACGATTCGATCGTTATGATCTCGCATGAAAAATTTTCAACGGACTTTTCAAAGATACAACATGGATATTTCTGTTGCAACTTCGACCGGTTACTCATCACGCGAAAGTAAAATTAATCGAAGTAATAAATACGGCGGTGGTAAATTACCTTTCCATATAATTGGTAAGTGGATAATCTGCTCGCCAGTGCGCCCACTATTTCCTTGATTTGTGCGTAACCGCCGAAACTGTCGTCGAATAATGCGTCACGTAATTATATATTCGTGTAAAGTCTCTTTGCGCATCTTATAAGATTCTTATTACCGCACGCGTTCACTTACCGATTGCTCATGTTGTCGTAATTTGTCTCATTCCTGATCACGTTTATGACAACGTCGACGCCGATTATGCTCGCATCGTACACGTCTGAGAATACTTTTGTGACGTCTTGGAGTCGTATAAGCGAATCTTCCTCGATCGCAGCTAACAGCAACCTTGGTTCAAACGAGATATGCATGTAAATATGAACGTGCACCTATCGATGTATTTACCGCAAAATTCTCTCCTGGCATTTCTTGTGAAATATTGATTGATTCTCGTATGTAGATATCAGAGAATTTACGCCACAAGTTGAATCCTTGCAACTTGCAACGCACGCATATAATGTATGCTTTATGAAATGACGACATTTAATGACAATTCGATCGGTAAGAGTTTCAGTCGTTATTAATCATACTTACTTTTCTAGGATAGTCCTCTGTTGCGAACATGCCAACGAGCTGAGGGTCACGAGTTTGTCCGCCATGACATTGCTCTTCTCGTATTCCATCAGAAGGAATTTGTAGGTGGATTCTGTTACATCCGCTCTCATAGCCGTGCAATAAACGGCACCGCGATAATTTGGCGGTATTCTGTGAAACGATCGACAATTCAGGGCGTACGATTGACGTGCAATGAGATCATTTTATTTTTTAGTTTCTTTATATTCACAAAGTCACAAAGTTCATGTATTTTTTGCGATTGGGTTTGTAAGCTTTGTGGTCTCTGAGACCTTCGTGTTATAAAGAAACAAACATACATGTATATACATATTTTTTTTTTCACTTATCACTGGACTTACTCTTTTAGATTGTAACGCTTCTGTTGGAAGTATCGCGCAGCGTGGAATCTACAATCCGCAATATCTAATTTGCAGGCCCACTCGCGGGTGTATATTCTCAACATGTTCTCTGTACGTATCAGATCATCTTCGTCGCTCTCGTTTTCGTTGTCGTCGTCAAAGGTAAGTTGTGCGTAAAGCGGCTTTATGAGTAATACGAGGTATTTCTGAAAAATAAAAGGCTCGTAACAAAAGAGGCTATGGAAGCATCTTTGTGGATTTGCTCTCGTATATGGAGAAGATAAGAAATCCAGCATGAATAGTTTGACTGGGCGTTGCAGCCAACAACACAAGTTCTGAACATATTAATTATAAGATACATCTATGGGTGGATTATATATAATTATGATACATGTACAATATAGCTACTTTATACAAGGCTTCTATATCACGACCCCAGAAACGTCTGTTCAGATAAGGCAGATTATTGTAGAACGCGCGCCACGGCAGATAATCCTTTTCTTCAGCCAAATATTCCGTAGCTGATATGGCAATTCCGTAATTGACGTAGTCTGCTCTCGCGAGATTCATCAAATCATCAATTAATGCCGCGCGGTTGATCTCGTGGATAGCATAAGAATTCCAACTCTTGAGTACTTTAGTCAGCTGTAGCCAATGATCCTCGTTGTAATTCACGCGGTAAAAACCTGGGAGAACAAGTATTTGCATTCATCAAGATAACGCACTGAGAGAGAGAGAGAGAGAGAGAGAGAGAGAGAGAGAGAGAGAGAGAGAGAGAGATCATCAAATATCGCAAGATCCACCTTATGACACTTTTTATTTTCCTTATTCTGTTTAATTACCGGATTGTTGCACGTTGAAAGTTATAGCTAATATCTTGGAGTTAGAGTTTGGATCATTTGGTAACTCGATTCTCGTTTCTTTTTCCGTCAACCAGAGACTCGGAGTGGTGTTTTGGTAATCCGGGATTAAAGACGAGATTACGGGCACCATTGTGATTGGAATGTGCCAGATGTTATCATCGGTAAGGAATTCGCGTCTTTTGAGGAGGAAACGTTCTTGTTTGAGAATTATGACGTTATCTTGAACATCGACATAAAGGACGGGATAGCCGGGTTGAGTCGTCCATGTATCCAAAATCTCTTGGATATTCTCCTTTCGTTTTTCCAGATTTATTTGTTTCTGAAGTTCCCTATACAAGTCTTCTGGTTTGGAAACGTCGTATTTCCTGAGGGACAAAGCGAACGGACGGATTAATATGTTCGTTGGAAAAAGAATGCAACTTTGATCTCATTCACTGAGATTAAACCGATAAGAGGAATGTTTACATTGCCGTACAAGATAAAATATCATCGAACGTACTGTTCGTCAAGATAGCCTTTCAATGCTTCGTAAAACACTTTTCTCCCGAATGACTTTTCAACCATTCTCAGCACGCTGGCAGCTTTAGCATAAGAGATCGTGTCGAAAATGTCTTGAATCTCGTCAGGTGTGTACACATCGTGAGTCATGGGATGCGTGGAGCTGGAACTATCCGCAATGAAGGCAGAATGCACTTGATCCACCACGAATTGCGATTCCAATGTCGTGTCAGCGAACGCCTAATGTACAAACGATATTTTCACCGTTCGAAAAAATCCTTATTGTTTTCTACCAGTTAAACGAAGAAGAAGAATTTCGTCTCGATGTCTATTTAGAGACGTAGAAACGCGTTTTCTTCGAAGATAAATGTTTATCGTCGTAATCGCGAAGTTACACGCGATTTGCGTATAAGATAACTTTTGAACAATTTTCTGTGGAATATCAATAATTTTCAATCAATAATTCTGTGTAACTGCCTTGAAATATCGGCGAGGCAATTTTAATTTGAATCTCAATTACGTACGGTAGCGGTGGCGTGATACTGGAAGTATCTGCCGAATCCTTCGCTCAACCACACGTACTTCCACCACGCAGGACTGACCAAATTTCCGAACCATTGATGGGCAATCTCGTGGGCAATCACGTTCCTGATAGCTTGCTTGCTTGTGATCGATGAATGATTCTTGTCGTACAACAGTCTCGCCTCCCTGTACGTCAAGAGACCCCAGTTCTCCATCGCGCCCATCTCAAAGTCCGGCAGAGCGACCATATCGAGTTTCTCAATTTGATAGTCTTGATTAAAATTGCTCTCGAAAAAGTCCACGAGCGGAGATATTACGGACAGAGCATATTCCGTTTGTTCGATAGCGTTGGGACGTGCGTACACGGCAAATTTGTCTTCGATCCTTTTGAAGTTGAAATCCGAAACAAGAACCGCCACTAGGTACGTCGACATCTTCAGCGATTCGGAGAAAACGTAAAAGTTGTCGGGAGGGCAATCATAGCTGCAACATTTCGCCAAGAGGCCTCTGAGCAAAATTGCAATCTCGGCAAAATCGTAATTCAAATGGTCTGAACAGTTCTACACGTACTTTTCTTTGACTTGTTCTCGCTTCATATTACTGATAACATTGTGAGATTGTGTTTCTGTGCACACTCGAATTGTGAAGATTGCCTTTAGTCCTGGCTCATCGAAGCAAGGGAACATCCTCCTGGCGTGAACTGGTTCCAACTGTGTGGCGGCGAGCCAACTGGTATATCAAACGTATTATAATTTATAATCGAGTGCCTGAATTACCGCGTGAATGAAATATTGAATGAATCACAGTCTCAAAATAAATATTATAACGTTATAATGTATTTATAACACATTCTGAAATAAATATCAATGAATTGAATAAAAATAAAGATATTAAATAAAAATAGACGAAAAGATAACTTAAAATAAATATTAATACAAATTAATTAGAAATAAGTTTAATCTTATCCAGTTTCGTTATCAGCGATACGCATTACCTCAATGATCCTTCGTTATTCACGTAGTAGCTTTTGTAGAAACCACGAAGATCCGGCGCCAAAACACCTTTGTACGCGATTTCGATGGTCAGATTCATGTCAGTGTTCACTGTCTGATCGAGCTTGATCTCGAGGAAGTCGTATTTGCTCACTAGCTGGTGAGTTACTTTGAGTTCGTTCTGGTCAGCTTTCACTTTCACCGAATTAAGCTCCAAGTTCACGGAATGCAGAACGATCAAATCTGTCTGTTCCGCGACGCTGACATTGATCTCCACGTGGCCGTCGAAGGTAAAGTCGCTGAGCTTAACATGCGTAAGGGTGATGATGTATTTGTAAGGAGTTATTTTCGTGGGTAGGCGATATTCCCTGGCGTTGTAATTTCGTATCCATCGGATAATAGGTCCCGAAGCGACCTTGTACCATTCCAATTCGTATCTAGCGACCTTCAAGGAGTTTGCCAGAGACTTCAGGATCGGCGCGAATTTTGTTTTATGACTGTCCACGAGATTTTCAAATTTGTTCACTACTCTGACAGTGGAGAAATGCTGCGACGCCCCATCGAGGATCGTTGCCACTGTGCTCAGTCCTCCGTAGCTGGGCAATCGCGTGTTTATCAAATTAATCGGAGAAATTAATTACACGTGATCTTACGATCCTCAAAAATTACTCCAATATGGATTAATTGATATTGTACATCGTATGGACCGAAGCGTATTTTCATCTGTACGATGGCTACTAAAGCACGGTTATCGTATTATGCAACAAATGGGACTTACTATTTCTCCATATCTTTGTAATGCTTTTCGACAAAGTCGAGGATATATTCGGCGCCGACCATGCTCGAGCAAACGGCGTCGAAGACGAGCTTGCTGTCTTGCCTGCGGATCCGATTGATCTGATAGTCGCTGATGGCATATTTCAGATACCTAAATGCAAAGAATGATATAATCGAGAGATGCATAAGTTTATAAAATATCATATGATATTAACGAAGAGAGACCATTTGCGATGACTGATGTTCCACTATTCGCGATAAAAATCTAATGGAAGAAAACGCCTACTTGTTTATTCTTACTTTTCTAAGATGGTGGTATTTAGACTGCATCCGAGAGCATTGATGATCTCTATCTGTTCGGCTGCGTTGTCGGAGTAGAGATATCGTTCCCACAAAAAATCCCAGTCATCGGATATGCCGTTTCTAATGCCTATGCAGTACGTCGTGGTCCTTTCGTTCGGTTTGATGCTGTCGAATATTGAACAACTCGATATTAGTCGATATATCCAAGTAACTGAAGAATTATCATTTATCATTGAAGTTCGAGTTGAAAGTGGAAAAGAAATACGTCATATCAACGTGCGACTATGATCGTATATATATTCTTACGGGATGGAAGGATTCGCTTTCCACTCCTGGAATTTATTGACGTAAGTCGTCACGCATTCTTCGTCGTCGAGATTGCAGGCCCAGAAGTTCAAGTCGCGTCGTAGCAAGACCGTCAATCTGTTATCATCAGCGCGGTTCTCGTGTCCCAGTTCTTTGCGTCTGTCATTGATGAGCGATAACACGTATTGCTAAAACCATGAAATTGAAATTGTACTGACTGGCTGACTGGAGGCAAGAGTCTATTCATATTGTCGAACATATAGGGTGTCTTAAAAATACCGGAACCCCCGGATAACTTTGCAGGATCAAATTTTCATGAAAAACTTTAAATACAAAAGTCGTAGAAAATCGAGCAACGGACTTGATGGTGACATTGAATTTGGCCTCGGCCATGATCTTCAAGGTCATTTGGAGGTCAACTTGCGTTTTTTAACCCCTTATCCTACCCGCTAACTCCCGATCGCTCGGGCCACAATAAACAAGAAGATCGGTCATGCGTCGAGCTATTTAGCTGTGCTCGAACTTGCGCAAAATGTATGCGTCTTATGACATGTATATTTCGGCGCAACGAAAGGAATTATCATCGATATTAGATTTTCTTTTTACTGACATGATAGGTATAAGGGTTGTTTAATTCTTTTAGGGAATTATAACCTAAACGTGTGAACGTAACGAAGAATTACACGTAACTAAAGTAAGAAAATATCGAGAACAACTGAACCACGAGTCTGACTCGTGTTGTTTATGTTTGGTCCGAACGAAGTACCACGAGTCAGGCTCGTGCTCATTGTTTTTGGCCCAAATATCTTACCACGAGTCTCATTCGTTGTTGTAGGACAAGGGATTAAATGGAAACCCTTATTTTTTATTATACTGTTTTTTTCTATCAATTAATTTGAATAATTTTTGTCTAAAACATTTTTTTATTTATCTAATATTTTTTGAGATATTTGAGGAAAACTTGATAACTTTTTCACTATTTAACCTATGGTATCTCGTTAACTATTTGTCGGAAGAAAAAGTGGTACTAGGCTTTCTTGCTTTATTTAGTTTCAAGAATATATTGTTACAACAGCGCCCTGACTTTTGCAAACTTACTGACTTTTGGAAATTTGGAAGTGGAAAGTACCACTTTTATCTTTCGACAAATAGTTAGCGAGATATCGTAAGTTAAATATTGAAAAAGTTATCAAGTTCTTCTCAAATATCTCAAAAAATATTAGACAAATAAAAAAAATGTTTTAGACAAAAGTTGTTCAAATTAATTGATAGAAAAAAACAGACCTTGAAGATCATGGCCGAAGCCAAATTCAAGGTCACCATCAAGTCCGTTACTCGATTTTCTACAACTTTTGTATTTAAAGTTTTTCATGAAAATTTGATCCTGCAAAGTTATCCGGGGGTTCCGGTATTTTTAAGACACCCTGTATACTTTTCTCATTCAGTAATTTTTATCCACTGGTTGTTTCGATACTTTTTCGTGAAAGATTTGTCAAAACTGAATTAATCACAAAAAGAATTATAAAGAATCTAGAGCAATATTGCACAAGATCGATGTTGCGTCGGTCTTTTCTCGCTTTCTAGTTTCGTGCGCTTCAACGTGATAATTAACCAACCTTGAATAAAGAATGCTCTTCGTATCCCCTGAACCGTGCGTCCAAGTAGCTTAAGCTATTTAATGCTGCTTTGAAAGGCAAGTAATCCGTTTCTCGTTTGAGGTACGTAATTCCATCTAAGACTGTCTCGTAATCTTGATACCCTGCTCTACCCAGATTTAAAAGATCGTCCACGAGGGCGGCTCTGTTTAACACATGGATGTCATCGAATTTGTCGCTATGCAAAGCATCGAAAATACGCTGCCACCCATTGCGATTGTAATTGACGCGGTAGAAACCTACGATGAAGAATATCACAACTGTTGATTGTAGCTCCCATTGGCGTGACATTCTTTCGCGTCATTACTTAATTGTATAATTTTTTTAGTGTATCACACTGGTGTGATCACATTCGACAGATGCGTTGGTATGAATTTTGCGAGTTTCATTCGCACGAATTAAGTGTTATCTACTACTAACCCGACGACTGAATGTTGAGTATCAGCCATTCTTTCGGATCGACTTGGAGATTTAGAGTGTCCTCCTTTGTGCTCAGCCAGTGTCTGGTAGTCGTGTCATCGAAATTCAGTTCGCTTCTCGTGGTCCACGTGAGGGGCACCCACCAGGTGACGTTCGTGTTTCTTCGTTCAGCGTTCAGATGGTCCAGCTTTCTCAAGAATAAGCGTTCCTGGCCAACGTGGACTACACCTTTGTCGTTGATCGCGACCGACACGACGGGGTACCCGGTCTGGGTCGTCCAAGTATCCATTATTGTTTTCACAGAAGTTTCGGAGAAGAACTCCGATGGAGCCGCGCGATTCATTCGAGCTTGCAGTACCGTCCATAAAGCATCCGGGCGACCTATTCCTTTCTCTTTGCTGAAAGGTATATTGCGATCGTCGAACAGTCTTGATTATCAAACATCGTGAAGAGGAGCATGGATTATTATCGTTAAGGCGATGGATTGTAAATATAGATTATTAATGCATTAATCGGCATCGATATCGCTGTTAGTCGAATTCAATTTTTCTCTTATCGTTAATTTTACATCGTTTTATCCGTTTTTAAACGTTTCCACGATTTAGGAATCCAGAGTCTCTTCGCAAAAATAAATCGATCGTTACATTTCATGCAAGGACACATACTTTTTATTCAGGTAATCGCGTAATGCAGAGTTGAAAACATCGTCCCCGAAGATGAGATTCATCATGCGAACGATGCTGGCACCCTTTGAGTAGGTGATTACATCACCCATTTCGTTGATTTGCGATTGACTGGAAACTTCCCGAGTCATCGGGTGAGAAGACTCCAGACTGTCCGCTGTCAGAGCAGCTTGATGCTCGGTCACCACGAATTGCTCCTTCATGTTCCATGTCGTCTCGATCTACGGAGTTGTGGTAAGAAAAAGATTGTTAAATTGACTTCCGCAGATATCGGGGCAAGCTATTCTTTTTTATTCCTGATATCTATTGTCGTCACGATGTCGCGCGACGTGTCAAAGTGGACCGATTATTAATCTCCATCAACGGCGAGGGCAATTTTAAGCGATTACTCTGTGCGAGATCAAACTAAACTGATCTTGATTTAAGCGAAGGGAAGTTTCAAAGACGATCCCGGTCGTTCTTACTTCTGCGGTGGCGAAGTACTCGAAGTACTTGGCGAAGGCTTCGCTGAGCCACAGGCAGCTCCACCATTCGGGCGTCACCAGATTCCCAAACCACATGTGCGTGAGTTCATGTGCGACCGCAGAAGCCACGGTTTGCTGTGCGGGCGCAGACGATTCTGCCTCGTCGTACAGCATCTGAATCTCGCGATACATCACCAGTCCCCAGTTTTCCATGGCACCGGCCGAGAAGTCGGGCACAGCTACCATGTCCATCTTAGGCAGATTGTAATTTTGCCCGAATCTGTTACCGAGCAACTTGAGGGCAGTAGTGCCGACCTTCAAGGCATAAGCGGCCTGATTGAAGACGCTAGGTCTGGCCCACACTTTAAATTGACCCTGCTCGAGATGGTGGAATTCCGAAATGACGAACGCTACTAGATAAGAGGACATGGGAACGGTCTGTTTGAAGGTGTCCCATATCATGTTGCCCCTTGAAAGAACACGAATTAGGAGTAAACGTTGAAGTAGGACGAATTACGCTGGATTCTTACTGTTCGTTTAGAAGACGGCAGGCAAGAGTCTGTGAAACTTCCGCCCAATTCTTCTCTCAACAGAAATGATGGAAATGTGACGGTAAGGCGGGTAAGGGATACTGTGAATGTTTCAATGTAAAAACATTGAAGAATATTTTGATGTGGAATTGACGAAGTCTGCCGCCGCCTGGACGGACAATGAGAATCCAATCTTATTCGGTCGGGAGAGTGCTTTCTTGATGCTCACTTTTGCTTGCTCATGGCCAGTGGCATGTTGCTGAGGCATGTGTGATTCTTGTTTCTTAATATGCGAATCGTAAACATCGCTTTGAAACTCGGCTCGTCGAAACACGGAAAGGCGTGTCGGGCGTGTGTCGCTTGGAACTGCGTTGCGGCTAACCATCTGCAGTTTCAAGAAAGACCGCATTACGAGGTTTCGTAACTGTTTATTAGGTATCGTTATTTGTTTGTTTTAACATTTCCCGTTCTGTAAATTGAATATTTTGTTGAATAATATCCTAAATCGACGTGACTTACTTGATTTGCTTGTTTTCGTCGAAATAAGAACTTCTGTAAAATCCGATCATGTCGTCGCGCAATTTCCCTTCAAAACCAAAGGTAATCAATATCTGTGACCCCTTTTTGAGAGTCTTGAGAAGAGTGATGGTGTACTTTTCGGTGACGTTGTCGTAGCTGTCTGAATCGCGTATGTTTGTTTGGTTTATTAAAACGGACTGCGAATTAATCTTAAGATCGCCCACGTTCAACGTGATTGAATCAGTTTCTTGTTCTACTGCAGCACTGATTATTACGATTCCATCGAACTTAAAGGTGTTTTGTAATTCCGGCATGAACATAATCTCGTACGAAATCGGTTTGATGGACGTCGGTAATCGGTAGTCGACGGACTTATCGTCTTGCGAGAGACTCACGTCTCGCCTAAATATATCTGGATGAGTAAAATTTGTCAAGATTTATTATATTATTTGATCGTATTTGTTAAGATTTGTATTATTGTATTATATTATTATTATATTATTGTATTGTATTATTTTAGTTTTTATTATTTCGATAGTATAAATTTGTATTCATCGAAAATGTTTATAAAATGCGGATATATTCTCTTACATTACTTTTTATTCTACTTCCTTATTGACATTTCTTAGAATATAAGAATCGAATATAATATAATTATTATATTATAATAATTATATTATATTCTCGAATATAATATAATAAAATATAATTATTGAATATAAGATGAGGAAGTAAAATTACCTTTGTAAGGGGAAAATTTGGCCGCCGCATTTTGCGTGCTGAGTAACGCGATCAAGACGTAGAATAACACATATTTCCGAGAGACCCTCATCGCGAAAGACGATTGCTTAATATCTTAAACTGCATTAATAATATACTATAATAAGTAAATATAATAAATAAATTGTAAATAATTAATTACATTGAATCAGTAACTGTGTTGCATTGCATTTCTAAGATTGACACACAATGCAGACGTGTTCGGCTGCTTGTCTTAGTTATTTATCATTTAAAGAGATAATATATATATTCGATGAAGAGATAAAATATTTCCTGCTAAAATTTAGATACGAAAAATGCAAAGATAGCATGAGCTAGTTATCATAATTATGATAATTTTAGATAATTTTATATAAGAGAGAGATTATGATAATTTAAGATTTTTTTTATTTAAGATAATTTTCTCTGTAATATTCAAGAAATAAAAAAGTTTCTATTGAGGCATTTTTACTATTTAGAAATAGTTTAGATTGTACTTACTTTTGCTAAACGTAGTGATCTTTGCTCGCTTATTATTGATATCGTCGTTCATTCATGATCACAATTTTCTATTCGTTGGATGAAGTTCCGGTAATTACTAACGCACAAACTAAAGCTACATGTAAATGCAAGAACGTGTCTTGGAATAGTTTCTTCACTTTTATTAACGCACTACAAAAGGAATTTAGAGTGCAATTATTTTTTTCACTGACTTACGACCAACACACACTTGTTTCACATATTCGGTTTTCGGAATACGTTTTGAAATATATAATACACTTCTTCGACGGAATCTGTCGAACGCTTAACTGTTAAATGCGCTTCAATTTTGTATCTGTGTGTTAATATTACTTACGATATCGTTGCGATTATCTTATCGTGAGTTAAAACGATGGCTATGTCATCGTTTCTTTATGAAATCAACATCATCTTGCGTTTCTGCTTATACAAAATATGTGATCTATTATTGAAAGTTAATAATTAAATTTATACCTAATAACTCTGCAATAAATGAATAAGGAAAAAAGAATGTGAGATTTCTTTTATAAGCAACGTTTCTTTTGTGAAATCTTTTATGAAATCAACATTATCTCGCGTTTCTGCTTATACAAAATATGTAATCTATTATCGAAAGTTAATAATTAAATTTATACCTAATAACTCTGCAATAAATGAATAAGGGAAAAGAGAATGTGAGAGATTTCTTTTTTAAGCAACAGAATGTCTCTACAGGAACGGTTACCTTTGAAATCACTCAACTATTTTAAATTTAGAATGGAAATGAAACATTCGATCCAGACACGGGCAAAGGAAATATTGCGCTTTATACATTTGACTTTTCAAAACTGATCAATCATAATCGCAATGAGTACGAGAGCTTTACTTATCTGGCCTTTGCGCTTATAAAGCCGTTGAGCTCATCGCATCTACGCTGCGTTAAACATAGCAGCGGTCAGAGTGACACCAGATGTGAATTTTCACATTAAATCTTTACATTGATTGTTTCCAGTCATTTTGTGTGAAGATTCTGTAATAAAACCTATACTGTACCAACGTTATTTTGTAGACTGTGCAGCTTTATTTAATCTAGCTAGCAATTAGTCAGCTAGGTGATGGATTTCGTAAACGTGACTATAGCAGATGTATATGAAACGTTATCGTATTCACACCGACGATAACAATAAATTTCTTGATATTTGTTATCTCAAGGAGTAAAACCGATTGGAAGTCATAAAATGAACAAACGGTATAAAGTTTTCTTTTTTTGTTGATCTGTAAGAAATTATGGCTATGTCAATCATATCTGTTTCTTAGCGATTAATTACAACAAATGTAATGTTAACACGATATCTTTTTATTGTGCTTTAAATTTAGACTTTTAAAAATGATGTTAGACTTTAGTATATCTGTTTATATATCTTGTATTTATATATAATATACTACATATATGTGGAACAGGAAATTTATAAGTCGTGTAGCTCATATAATGCTTAAGATATGGCTATAATAGCTTTATTATTATTTACAATATTCTTATATTTGTATATTTGTATATTCTTATATTTGTATATTCACATTTGTATATTCGTATTAAGTGCTTGCTAAATATGTATCACGATATCTTATTGTCTAGTATATTATGCATCGCAACGGAGAATTCATTATTCTCGAAGGCGCTGTGAATTTTTGCTAAATTATCTCTGACTCTCGCTAAATGTTGTTTCTTGTAAATTAATAAATCGCTTACATCGATTTTATGTTGATGGGCGAATGTTTTTATCTGCAAAAAAATATCCCACGAATATAGCTAACTTCTACTGAGGCAGTGAGCGAATGAAGTAAAGTAAGAAATAAGAAAGCATCGAACCTTTTCAATTTGATCCTCGTTGACACTTTTCTGAATCACCAGGCTAAAAACAGGAATTTCTCTCATACTGTAAAACATATGATCACGTTACTTTGGAATGATTATTGAACATAATCTCAAAAATATTTGAATAAAATCTAGAATGTCGATTCACAAATATCTTTGTGAATCGACATGAAGAAAAATCGTTCCTAAATATTAATGCGTATTTATATTTCGTGGAAAGACGATACTTACAAGACAGGGAATTGGTCCGATTTATTGAGAAAAAAATCTATTGTTTCGTCTGTATTGAACGGATTTTTGAATACGTTGTTGAAGATTTGATAATAATACATCTCTTTATATATTTCATCTCCCATAGTCGTAACATAATTTATGTGTTTTTCGATGATCTCCATATTCTCCGTGCAACCAAGAAATTTGAGGTGATATTGTACTGTTACATCATCATGGATTTGCAAAAAATTATCCCAGACAGTACTGTTAGCTTTCATCAAGCCGTAGCAGAAGATCCACTGTTGGTCGTGTAAAATTCTGACAGCGAATTAATATAAATGATTGAGCAATGTACATTAAAAAGGTCTCTCGGAGCATCGCTTTATTATTTTCTAAAGAAATAATTTTATAATAAAAATGATAATTTTATAATGAATTTCATTCATTTCTTCGATAAGCGATTTCTCTAGAACCATAATCCCCGTTGTTTTCCCAAGCAGTAAGTTATATTAAAATCTGATATAATGTAAGTTTTAATAAACAGCATATTATAGGAACAAATGTAGATCTACAAAATTTACAGGCGACGCAAACATTTTTCAGACATACACACAGTTTCAGTAAAACTTACTTGTTTGCGATTGGGTCTTGTACATACGCGAGTAACTTGGCGGTAGCTTTCGTTTGACATTCTGCATGTCCATATTTACAAGTATATTCGCCGAGGAGGGATCTGGTCTTTATAGTAAAAGGGTCGTCGTCAGGGCGACCATCAAAGTCGACATTCTCAAGTATCTTGCGCGTCAGATTGAAGATGTACGACTTGAAAGAGATATTTTACAATGACCAGCAATTGTTTCGCGAGTTGAACAGAGCGATCAGAGACAGCTTGCTTAAGCAGCTCCATTTCCAAGCAAATGAGTTTATACGAACCAACTTTCCTATTGATCCGCTGAGTTTCAATAACGGGACGTAACGTTATATCTTACCTTGAAGATAGCTGCCCTTTCGGGTATCTGCAGATAGAGATCCAACTTTTCAATGATTCTGAATGCCGTCTGCCATACGACACAGTCGGTCTCGCGCGACAAATAGTTCATAATTTCGAAGAAGGTGACGAGGTCTAGCTGATCGGTCTGCGTCATGAAAAAAGCGTCGTCGATTATCTGAGCGCGATTCAAAACGGGGATCTTGGCGTAGTCGTCGGAGTTGAGAATTGCGGCGATCCGTTTCCAGTTGGTCGTATCGTAATTTACACGGTAATAACCTGTTGAGTAGAAGAATGTAACGAAGCTTTTGCGATACATCTTCTTTATCGTAGATCGATCGTCAGAAATGATCTAAACTATAATTCATTACGTAGCTGAAATAACTGAGAGCGCGTCCCGTAATTATAATATATAAATCTCGTTCGATTTATGTATCTATCTATTTTACGAGCTCACTCGTTACCCGTTAATTGTTTATTCACAATGATCCAGTCGTCGACGTCCACTCCCTCAAGTGTTATAGCCTCGTCTTGCGGTCTTAGCCAGTGTGTGGCCAATGTCGACGAGAAGTCTGGGTTGGTTTGCGTCGCAAAGTTCAAAGGGACCCACCATTTCGCGTTGCTTCCCTCGTGCATTTTGTATTGAGCTGCCTTCTGTGTCGCTTCGATGACGCCATTCGCGTAATCACGTTCGATCGTCACCACGGGATAGCTCGCCTGCTCGAACCAAGCGTCCATCACTTCCTTCACATTGAAATCGTCATGTGGCACGTCGGATTCGTCGAGAGCGTCTTGCAATGCTTTCCATAAGTCGTCTGGCGTGGCATTGCCGTATGCGCTAAAAATCAATAAGGCGATACACTAGAACGGTCGCGAATTTGAATTTGCAAAGGGAATTTTTGAGGCGTCCAGCGAATGATACTAACTTTGCTCGAAGATACTTTATCAAACCATCCCGGAATACATCTTCCCGCAGAAAGTGCGATATCATTCGTAATAAGATAGCGGCTGAAAGATGAAAATTAGAATTTTTAATTATCTTTATAATCGCGCTATGCTGCAGACATCGCACGTACTTTGTACACTTTGCATACTGCAAAGCATATGCGATATTTGCACATCTAAATAAAACTAAATAAATATATGAGCTTCTCTTACATTTTGTATACGTGTTCTCGGAGTAAGCTTCGTAAAGGTTTGACGTGATATTTATATTAATCGGCTTAGCCCATTTTGCGATATCTCTACCAAGCGTCGGCTGCATATTCTCGACCACCAAATAATCCATTAGTCGCCATTCCTTGAAAAGCTGAGAACAAAAATCGACGATGTCGTGAGAGGAACAATAAAGATAAAAATGAGGAGGAAAGTATGAAAAAAAGAAAAAAATTAATGTACGAGGTAGAGATGTGCGAATCAAGAATTTTTATATCAAATCTAATCGAATCTCATTTTTTAAATTCGAATTCGAATCGTATTGAATCTATGAAATTTCACTCGAATTTGAATCGAATCGAATGAAATCGAATCAAATCATTAAAAAATTTAACATGACTATTAAACATGCAAATATGGATGGAAGATTCTAATATAAAAGGGAATATTGATATTGTAATATCATCTTGAAGTAAAATATATATTTAAATATTTAAAGTAATTTATAGTTATTAATTATAAGTTATTAATTATAAGTTAAGTTAATTACAAGTTAAGGATTCAAACATACAGGCCTAGGTGGCCCGTTTTGTAATTGATGCACGCAAACGGTAATGTATTTAATTCCTATTTGTATTATTCGAATTCGAATTATAGAGATTCGGATTCGAATCGAATCGAATTACATTAGATTCGATTCGATTCGATTCGAATAGTTCGCACATATCTGGGGGCGGCGGTTAGTGCAAGTAGTATCTGCGCAGTACGCACAGCCGCCACTGCCGTCCCCCAAGAGAGTACCCCCTAGGTGTTTTAGCCGGTGCGAGTCCGGCATAACCCACAGGTTCCCCCCCCGGGCCTGTGGGTACCCATAAGGGGTTTCACCTGGGTTATCAAAAAAAAAAAAGTTCGCACATATCTAGTACGAGGTATAGCTCGTCGATTATACAATCTGTTTCGATACCTTGTCAGTAATGTAGTATTTGAGGTAAGTCGATGTTCCTTCGCTCAACCAGAGGTAATTCCACCAAGTCGGGCTGACTAGATTCCCGAACCACTGATGCGCCAGCTCGTGAGTGATCGTCATAGTGTTGTACAGCTTCAAGTCTATCAGCTTCATAGGGATGTACAGTTCTGTTTTCATGAAATTGCTCTCGTTGTAAAGTAGCACGTCCTGCCTGCAAATTGATCGGACGAATACGATGTCCGTTTGTCGAATTTTCTCTCGTTACTATTCGACTCTCATTCATGTTTTTGCTTCGGTTTTTTTCCAATTTCTTGATAATGTGATTATTATTTGTTACGATTTCTTTCGTTAGGCTCAGACAGTTTCAAAGCGCAGACAAAAATATAATCGTAAATATAGTTAACCATAATTTTTAATAGAGAGAGAACTCCTCACAACAGAGTTTTATTTATCTCTTGCTTTTTCAATCAGAGCCACATAGAGATTACAGTTATTTTACTCTATTTTATTACGTTGCTCATTTCTACATAAAAAAATTAAATAAAAAAAAATTAAGTAATCGAGCAAAACTACGCGCTGTAATATTCGCGAATGTAGTTATCAAGGCGACTGTGGATCTTCGAACGAGGACTGCAAACCGCAGGTACTTACTTATAGACGATCATACCCCAGTTCTCGGTGGCTCTGCTCGAGTAGTGAGGTGCCACTACGTGGTCCATCTTCGGCACGGGTACGGTGCTGTTGGTGAATTCCTCGAGTACACGCGTCGCCTTCTCGGCGACATCCAAGGGGTACGCGGCGAGCTGAAGCATGTGCTTCGGCGCCCATATCCTCATGGTGCCGTCCAAATTTGAAATATAATCGTAATCGGCGATCACGAAGCCCAACACGTTGGTGGGCATCACCGGCGTTGTCTCGAAGAGCGTCCACACCTTTCCGTCCGTCGCGTCGACTTGCGACCGCGCGGACGGCATGTTCGACAAGGCCGTATAGTTGGGGTAATGCTTTATGGAGAATTTGAAGGTTGCTTTCATGGCTGGCTCGTCCCAGCATGGAAACGCCTGTCGCGCATTGGCCGGTTGGAAATGCGTTACCGCCAACCACCTGTAAATTGATTATAGGTCGCATCTGATGCATGAGCGTTGTCACAGTATCAGTACAGCGTCGCGCCATATGGCGATTGTGCAATTATCGTGAGGGAGCAACAGGTCGCGTAAACGTTTACTATGTTTACTAACGCAATAATCGGGGACAATCGAGCGAGTTGAATGTGGCCGGCGCGCATAGTAAGGGCGATTAATCACTCGATATTCTATTAATTTTCGCAAACGCAGTTATGATGAACGCGAATTTGACTCCTCCTTTATCCTCTGTGTAATGGAAGCGTAGATGTTGTCTTCACGATTTTGCTGCGCTGTAACCTTGCAGGTTACAACGATACAAGAATGCAACGATATAAGAAGATCGACGAACCGGAGATAAAGAGGGGAAGAGAGAAAGAGAAAGAGATCGTCGACACCGAAGCATCGATTGATTAACAACATTGATTAGCAAACAATTCGTATTTTCACAGAAGCTCCTTGATATCGTATCTGCGTTATCTGCCCGCATTTTTAGCGCGATCTATCGCCCGTTGTTAAGCATTACATTTTTCCTCCAATGTTTTTACTCACACTTTATTGCCCTCGTTATTGGTGTAGAAACTCCTGTAGAATCCGCGACCGGTGGGTTTGATTACACCCACGAACTTCAAGTACAGCGTGTACACGCCGATCTCCACGGGGTCGTCGAATCGTAGGATTAGCATTTCCGAGTTTCCGTCGTAATCGTGCAGCTTCGGAACATAATTCGCCACGGTCTCGTTTGCACTGGACTCCTCGACTCTGCGAGTCAATTTCGTTTTCCACTTGTCCACTATGAGCTGCCTGGTATGCAACACAACAGTGTCGGTCGGCTTGAGCACCTTCATCTCGATGCCGGTTTCGCCGTTGAAGGTGAAGTTATTCTCCACGATGTGCGGTATCAATCGTATATCGTAATGAACAGGTACAACCTGCTGCAGCAAGTTCAAATGAAGATCCTCCTCTCCTGCCAGCGAGGTCTCGTTATTTCGAAGCGGGACTGCCCGGCCTGTGACAATTAGCACAGCCGCCATCAGTAAACTCTTGACGATCGCCATAACGCGATGATTCTATGATGCAGTTACACAATTATTCCGCGTCACACCGCGCCTACTGTTGTCGCAGACTGTCGCGGAATAATCCTCTCCGCTTTTGTACGATAATCGAGACGCTTGCTATTTATCACAAACACGGTTGTTCGCAGAAATCCCCAGAAGAAGAATATTATCATCTTTGACGGTCCCACGGGTCATCAAAACTGCTGTGTTTAGCCGCGTTAAGTTCGTAAATTACGGTCGTTTACAAGCGTGGAGATAACGAGGAACGTATCGAAAGTAATAGTGGAGCGCGATGTTCCGTGTAGAACGTCCCGATAATCGTATCATAGAAAGAATTACATGATATAGATTCTTCTCTCACTTCAAGACTTGTCAACTGCTTCGTTTCGAATTGCCTAATCAATGGTCGTTGTTAAGTCGTCTTCGTTCGCTGACATTGAAATCCGGAAAACTGTTGCAAAATCAAATTTCATAGCCTGAATGTCGTACATATGTATTTTAATGTGCAGACAAGCTTCTTGTTTCAACAGAGGATTATATTATGTTATTGTTTCGAAAGTCTACAGTGACGATCTAAATGCAGTTGTAAGTAGACTCTGCGGTATTACACCTTCGGCAGAAACCTGTCTCTTCAAGTAATCAAGTAATCAAGCGCGCAGATCGGCGATTGATAATAACATTATCGCAATCGGCATTAACTACTTGGGTTTATCGTCACGAAATAATACTTTCTACATGCGGCGCGATAAAATCGCATTGACCTATTTGCGGATTCTTGCGGATGCCGATTCTTTATCGGAGTTCTTTAACGCATCCATTCGCGGATTTCTCCGAAAGAATTGACCTTTGCCGGCGTGACTGTCGCTTCCTAGTTGGCATTTCTCGTATCTCTCTATTTGTACACTCGCGTCGCGTCCCGTCATCGCGAATGACATTTATCGCTCTTACGTTGAGTTCATATGAAGCGTAAGTCATCGACGTAACTTGATAATCTTTGCTCTCCGCGATGCAATGGCAAATCGGTCGAAGAGTAGACGACGAAACACCACCTATTTGGAGTTCCGCTCAGAGATGACGCTGTCAGCGATCATCTCGACGGCTATTGCTATTGCTCACGTACGTACAAAACTGACGGATCTCTCTTTCTCTCTCTCCTCCTCTCTCTCCCTCCCTCCCTCTCTCCCACTCTTTCCCTCTCATTCTCTCTCTTTCTCTCTCTCTCGACGTGGTTGAACTTGAATTCGCCTGATTCCTCGGTCGAATTTTGCGCGCCGTCGCACAGTGAGGCCAGATAACATTCTTTCTGTCAAAATTCTCTAGAGACCTGAATTTCCAACCGATCATCGACACCAATGTATGAGGTTGATCCTGAATAAATTCCGAAGAGATCTGTCTTGCCAAAATTAAAAAAAAATTTTTTTCTCGAATTACTAGCCCCAAAAGAGGAAAAATTATCGTTAAACGCGAGAAACTTGTGAAATACTCATTATTCGACACTTATTTCTATCTAATAGCGTATTCAGCGGATTGAAACTATGAAACCAATCAACATACATCTCGAGATTTATCGATCTTGAATCAGAAACCCATTGACCCAATACTTATATGCCCAAAATACAAAAACATCAAATAAGACCCGTTAAGCACAAAACCGAGGGATTTTAATCCTTAATTCTTTCTTAATGTGGGCTGAAATGATGAGCTTTGAAATTCTGAGTTTTCTGGAAGGTTAAAAAGGTAATTATAAGTTTTGAGGTCTCGCATTTAGTATCCATAGACTCGAACCCATTGAGGTCGAAACCCAAGACACTGTACTTTAAACAATAAACTTTTAAGACAAACCCTAATGAGACTAAACCCATGAACCCTGAACCGATAATTTTTTCAAAATTTCGGCTAGACATATCTCTTTGAAATTTATTCAGGATCAACCTCATCTATTGGTGTCGATGATCGTTTGGAAATTCAGGTCTCTAAAGAATTTTGAACTAAGAAATGTCATCTAGCCCCACTGTGCGTTGCCTCCTCTGTCGACTCTAAACTCCGTTCTCGGATTTTTGGGATTCACCGCATCCCCGTCCCGAGGACATCCACGGACGTTTCCGTTTGAAAGAAAATATTTCAGATGCACGCTTTGCCCTACATAAACTTCAAATAATATAATGATATAAGAATTATATAAGTATATTTTTGTATAGGCCTAAATTATGGATCAAAGCTTGCAATCGTACGATTGATAGAGCAACTGAAGAATTGCATAAAAATTATCGAATTTGAAGTGATCATTACGACGAAAATATGTATCTGAATGATTTGTGTTGATAAATCCGAGGCAACTCGAAACAATGCCAGTGAATGGTATATTTCCAGTAAGAAAATATTTCGGCTTTAATCATTCTTTCATTATTACAGGAAATTTTCGAGAAAGAGTTGAGTCTAACGACTCGTTCGTTAGCCCACGGCGGCGGAGATTTTCGAGAAAGAGTTGAGTCTAAGGACTTGTTCGTTAGCTCACAGCGGCGCAGATACATGACGAGCTTTCGCGGTTCGCTGGCTAGCGATGTCGCACGAGTCCTGCGATATCTCGCAGCTCGTTGCAACCTTCTCGATTATCGAATCTTTGCAAAGTTATCCGAGTTCATTGCTCGCACCAATGAGGCTTCTCTCTTATGTTTCAGGTGCTCGGCAACAAGAAATATTCGAGAGTTGTTATCTCGAGCGGTGTATTCTTTTGGTCTTCATTTGCATTTGAAGAGTGATCTGAAGCGTCACGTTTTTCCCAGAGCTCCTGTATTCCGGCCGTCTGATCTTCCCTGGGATCGACAGCTTCCTGAGTTCCTACATTCCTGCGTTCCCGCCGACCGGTCTTCCTCAAAATCGTCGGCTGCCTGGTGATCCTGCGTTCCCACCGATCGATCTCCCTCGGAATCATCGGATTCTCGGTTTACTGCCGTTCCTGTACTCCTGATTTACCGCCGTTCAGCCTTCTTCGGGCCACCAATTTTATTCTTTGTCGCCAAGTTTTCTTTTTCCATTAAAATACGCGAACAGACAGTGCCAGATCATTATATTCAAAACAATTCGAAAACTAGACTTCTTCCTCGAGCTATACCAAATGTAACACAGACCACATCAAATTTTATGACAAATTTAGATTGTGATACTTATTTCAAGAGGTAATATTTTGCTCTATATTTTTATTTAATTAAGTTATACTAATAAATATTTTTCACAGAGAATACAGAGAATATAGAGAAGACAGAATGTGAACAGGAATTGCATCAGGAATCAGAAATGACAGTAAGCCAATAATTATTCAGTTTATATTTTTATTTATGCCCAACACTCCGTTAAAAGAATATAAAAACCAGAGGAATATAATTTCTTCCTTATATTCAGTAAACTGCTATTCCTCAATAAGAAGCAGTTCGTTCTATATGTTAAAACAAATGTAATGCTGGTCGTGGACCGTAGACTGTGCGATTTCATACAGGACATACAGGAGTCCTGTCTAACTCATATAAGTTAGGTTACGAATATATTTTACCTTCACCATTCGGAGGCGATACAGCAACCCACTTGCAATGGCGCTCGGCCATTTTATTCTTCATTGCGACAGACTTCACGAGCTCCGGAGACGGTTCTTGTAGATCATATGCCCAACCAATTTTTGCAAAGAAATCGATGAACATAGTCGCAAAGTTGTATGTGTGTGTACCGAATTCAGATGCTTTGTAGTCCCATGGGAACACGTGATGATAATTATGTGAACCTTCGCCGAAAGAAACTATTGAGACCATCACGTTATTGGTTGGTTTAATATGCCTGTCATTCAAATAAATCGCAACTATAATTTCTTTAAGCCTCATTAAATTATTAGCAAGATGTGGTTTGCTAATTGCCAAATATCTTAGTATTAGTATAATTATAGCTTAGACGTACTGTATGTATGTAATTAACTTTCAATAAACAGGTGAACAGAGATCTTACATGTTATACGGTTTTGTACCCCACATGTGAGCGAAACTATTAATACTACTCGCACCATGGACCCCGAATATATAACTCAATAAATGCAATTTCAATGACATTGTCCATGTTTCGTTCCACCCGTAAACGGGCATCACAATCGGTATCATATGGGCGAAAATGAAAGTTAGTTTCCAAAAATGCCTGCGGAAACAAGTAAAATTACAACATTAAAAGTAATTTCTCAATGATATTAAATTGATATTCAGATGGACAGGTTCCGTGTCCAAGAAGTACACCGAGAAAAATACGATCAAATTCAATATATCTAGATTCATTCTCTTTTACTTGTCAGGCATTAGATTATAACAGGATATGTTATATAAATGGACAAGGACTCACTTATCAGCGAACATAACGAGAGGATCCGCCTTAATATCGCTTATATCGATTTGTTGACCTTTTTTGATAACCTCAGGATGCCTTTTTACCATCAGCCACCCGAGGTGAGAAAAGAAGAATCCTCGATTGCTGTTATATGGATCCGCGTCTGTATCCACGTATTTATGATGTATCCGATGATTTTTGACCCAACAACTGATATTGATCTAAGGAAGAAAATCGTCGTAAGGAAAATATTATCTTGTTTCATTTCTTTTTCGTCCATTTCTTCCTCTCACACTTTGTCTGCGGTGAATTTAAGCAGTTGTGTGTGTTTACCTGGCCAGCTGTGAGATGGCAAAGAAGAAGTATGATTTTAAATGGCAATTTTGCTTTGAAACTTCGATGCGACCAGTAACGATGAGCAGCAGCGGTGAAGCCCATCCCTTGAATTGCGCAAATAAAGATATCTTGAAGTAAAATACATTGAGTCTATTAATTATCATTATTATAAAGTTCTCCGCAATATAATCAACAATCTATCTAGCTATTGTTTCATACGTAACGATCTAAGCGCTTCATCTCTCAAATTGTACTTACACCAAAGGACTGTCCTGATATCCATTGTAAAGTCGATAGTAAACAAGCTGTACAATGCACATAAATGCCAAAAAGTTATTATAGTAACATTGCGCCATTTTATATTTGGTAGATAATCTATCCATTCCTTAATCACTGAGTGCAAACTATTTCCTCTGTACGTAACATGTTTGTTTTCTATTTCCGACGTAGCCGAAGGAGGTTTCTCTTGTATTCCAACATTGGCGTTCAAAGTGTTGGATGTCATCGTAAGCTCGTTTTGCCGTCTTTGGAATGCGCCACTATAGTTTGCTGCTTAATAATCAATGAATTTGTCTGCTTACGGGAATTGCGTGCGGGCAATTTTGTTTCGTATGTTTCATTATATATAGAATTTATGTCAAGCTTATAATAATAATGTTATACACGGGTGCAATAGTCGAGAGCAAGAAACCTTGTATTATTAATAAAGAAGATTTGTGAACAACAAAATCGGTAAAGTGTTACTTTTTCTATATATTTTCCCACAGTTTATTTTATTAATAATATTGCAAAAGTTGGAATTCCGTTTTTTAAATGGATTATGCTAAATTTAATTACCTCATAATATTACATTAAAAGAAATTGATGGATAGCACGTATAAACATATAATTGATCTCAGTCATCAGTTAGTGCCTCAAATAATTTTTGTTAGAATGATAAACCTATTACGCCATCATATATTTCTGAATACATTTCGTCATCATGTCATATGTTATATTCTATCGCATAGTGTTAATATTATTATCAGTTGCAATAATATTAACAAAATATTGTCGTGTAGGAAATTCTTAATACGTTTCTGTCATTTATTCTTTGAAAATTAATTTCAGAAGAAAACCGTTGCCACTCTAAACTTCTAATGTTTTATATTTATTGCTTATTAGATTTGTGGTCGAAAAAAAGGTCATACAAATATTGTATAATGAGCTAAGAGCTGATAGTGAGTGTTCTTGAAAATAAATGGCAAATTTCTCATTCATGGAAGTAGAATCCGATCGTTCCCGTCTGTTTCGTAATGTACTATCATTATTCGCGTCGTTATATTTGTCGCGTCGTTACATCGTTACCTCCTACGGTTTTAGTGTTACTACTCCTGAAGTTTTAGGAAGTATGTTGAAAGACGAACTGCGGTCGTGCGACTAACTTACCGATAGAATATATACCGCATTTATTAATGTATGGAAAACATATTCAATTTTGTAAATGTATTCGTTACATGTGTTTACAAGTAGTGAATGAGTTTCCTTACTTGGCAATAATGGAATATACAGGATGTCTCATTTTAAAGGATCGACTCAAATATCTCAGAAATATTATGTTAAATCGAAAAATGTTTCAAATAAAAGTTGTATGGTTTTAAGGAATATATAAAACAACTATATCAGTTTGTTTATAGATGGCGTCACTTTCGAGATATTCGTTGATCATTTTCTTAAATGGGAGCCCCAATTTTGTATTACATCATCTTTTTCTACTAATTAATTTGACTGCACACGATCATATAGTAAACATACGGTGAAGCAGCCGCGGTAAAAAGTACGACAATAACGTCTCATTTATTTAAGATTCATGAAATATCATTATTTCCACCTTATTGTATTCTTGTCTCGTTGTTTTTCTCCAATCTTTTCCTTTCTCTTCCTTTTATGTTTGTTCTTTTAGTACTTTTCACATACAGGATGCCACACCATTGCGAGATTCCGTTGACGTTTAGTATAAAAGTCACATAATTGGGCACTAATGACACGCAGTCGAGAACCTTAATTAGTATTATTATGTATCAGTGTGTGAATATTAATAAGGAAAGTGACGGTTGGGCAAAGATAAAGTACGAAATTCGGATTGATCTATTTTAACTATAACTTTAACTATTTTAAATATAATTCTAGCCTCGTCTAATCGCTTGTGCAGTCTCCCATTCGGTATTTCCATTTCACACTTGCTAAGTTGATTTCCAGCTTAACGCGAAACTATAACGGGAATTCCGTGATGCAAAGTCACCTCGGACGTGAACTGCGGCAGTGAGCTATTTTGCTCATTAGATTGCATGAAAAATACCTAATTTGTCTGTATAAGTATATTTGTCTTATTACAAGCGCTCAATATCGATGAAGATTGCGATTGAGTACTGTGGTTCAAAATTAATCCTGATGCACGAAAGTATGGAATACAGTGACGTCACGAACGACATAGGATTAGTACTATAGAGTGGCTCCTCATTTCAGGTAGGTTGAGTGCAGAGATAGAAAGATGAGAGAGAGAGAGAGAGAGAGAGAGAGAGAGAGAGAGAGAGAGAGAGAGAGAGAGAGAGAGAGAGAGAGAGAGAGAGAGGGAGAGAGTGAGAGAGTGAGAAAGGGAAAGAGAGAAATCTTCGAGCACGAGTGTCAGAGATGAACTCGGCGTTTTATTAAAAAGCATCTGATTGTGATCGGGTCGGTGAGAAGGACAACGTTGTCTTTCGCTCGATGATAACTTCTCATATAATGTATGTCCTTCCAAATGCAACGTGCATAATGTATATAGATAAGACCGATAATTAGAATGCACATGTCAGCAACGTATCGCAAAACAAGGTTTTACCGATACCTGTGGCATGAAGGTTAGACGATGAAGTCATAATTGCATGTTATTCGTCGTTGCGCGCTATCGTTCGTTTTGAGGAATTGTCTGCAAATACTCGAACTCGCGCCGATAGATAATTGTCGAATGGTTTACGACGGGTCTAACAGTTGAAAGCGAACCAGTGAGACAGTGTATGTTTTCATAAATTCATTAAATTATTCGAAAATATAATGTCGTGGATAAAGGAGCGCACTTTGAATTGGTTTCAATTTTTGGCTGCGAAGATTATGAGAATTGGCCATGTGCCCAGGCATGTAGCGTTTATAATGGATGGCAATAGACGTTATGCAAATAAGAAACATGTGGCAAAAGTAGAGGGACACACAAAGGGGTATATATTTTTGACAAACTTTCAAATAACACTTATGAGTTTAATCTCTTATCAAACTTATGTTTTCTTTTGTCTTACAACAGGTTTAACATGTTAGCAGACACGTTGAGTTGGTGCACGGATCTTGGTATTACAGAAATGACGGTGTATGCTTTCAGCATAGAGAACTTTAAACGTAACAAAGAGGAAGTTGATGCACTTATGGAGCTTGCCAAACAAAAATTTGAGCGTCTCTTAGAAGAGAAGTATGTTTATCATTTTTAATCAAACATATTACAATATACCCATATATTTTCAAGGATAATATTTGCAGGGATAAACTGATGGAGCGTGGGATATGCGTTCGTATAATCGGCAATTTGTCATTAATTCCAGAAGACATATGTAAATTAATCGCTAAAATTATGACGATCACTAAAGATAATAATAAAGCATTTTTAAATATTGCTTTCGCTTATACATGTAAGTAATCATTTTATTTATTGCATTTATTGCATATAAATTTCTTCATAATCAAATGAAAAACACACTCTAATATTTCATATACAATATATACAGCAAGAGATGAAATCACCTGTGCAATTAAGGATATAGTTAAAGGTGTAAAACATAATGAAATTGTACCGGAAGACATCAATGAAGACCTCATTTCTAACTGTTTATATACTTACAATTCTCCAGATCCTGATTTATTGATTCGCACCTCAGGAGAAGTCAGACTCAGTGACTTCCTCATGTGGCAAGTAAGAAAATACATTTTCTACTTTGAGTGTTTTTTCTTTACAACTTGTAGAAACAGACTACATAACTATAGAAACAGACTAACTATATACCTAAAATGTATTTTTATCTAAATCATTTTAGATCTCCGATAGTTGTGTCTACTTCACTAATGTATTGTGGCCCGAGTTCACCATATGGGATTTTCTTAGTGCAATTTTATATTATCAGAGGTGTTACTCTGATTTGCAAAGAGTTGCAAGAATACAAAATTCAAAATCAATCACGCATAACTACAGAGCGTTTACATATGTAAATAAGTTGCATCATGAACGTCAGGTTATGATTAAAAATATGTACCTTTCAGCAGTTCAATCATAAAAAGAAAGACTTTTGGAAGAGCGCTACATATTCCTGTGAGTACAATTATCAGTCAAACATGCTGAGGAACTGGTAGGTGTATGTATAAATGCATATGTGTGTGATACATACACATATTATTTCAAATTAATTTGTCAGAATAATATAATTTATTGTTCTCTCAATTTTTATGGACATAAACTCTATCACATAAAATTCCTAGATATATAATTTATCAACTTATTGGTGTGTACACTGTGAAAAATGATTAAAATGATATATATATACAGGGTGAAAAAAACCCCGGAACCCCTGAAAATTTCGAAAAATATATACTTTATAAAAAAATGTTTCAGACAAAAGTTGTAGCGTGGAAAAGGATCTATTTACGTATCTTAACAATTTGACCTTGGGTGGCGTTATCAAGGTCAGGATAAAGTCACCTCGGATATTTTAAATAGAATCCCCAATATTTGATTGCATGTGCTTATAGCCCTTCTTCAGACCTTTTCAAAGCACTATGGTTTTATTCAATTTGAATAAGCTGTTTCGAAGTTATCGAGTTGTTTAAAGTAAGATATCTAACCAACTAAGGCAAGATCGGGGGATGATCCAGCCAACTAAGGCAAGATCGTAGGATGATCCGGCCAACTAAGGCAAGATCGTAGGATGATCCGGCCAACTAAGGCAATATCGTAGGATGATCCGGCTAACTAAGACAAGATCGGAGGATGATCCAGCCAACTACGGTAAGATCGGAGGATGATCCGGCCAACTAAGGCAAAGTCGGGAGTTGTCTGGCCAACTAAGGCAATACTGGAAAGCTTTAAAGTAATTGTTCAAAATGTCCGCCATCAACAGTTTGACAATAAGCTAATCTATCGTAAAAAGATGAAACGGCTTTTTGAATGTAATCAGCAGGGATGAGAGCAGCTTCATCAAGAATTCGATTTCGTAAGTCATCCAAATTTTGTGGTTTCGTTTTGTAAACTCTATCCTTTAAATGGCCCCACAGAAAGTAATCGTTAGGTGATAAATCGGGTGATCGAGGGGGCCATTCTATAGGTCCTCTTCTACCTATCCATCGATGAGGAAACACTGTGTCCAGATAATTACGGAAGTCCCTTCCGTAATGTGGGGGGGCACCATCTTGTTGGTACCATGTATGTTCGAAATTGTCATCCATGATTGCTTGTGTCGCTGGAACTATTTCGTTTCTTAGCATATTCTCATATTTTATCGCTGTTAGATTTCCGTCAATAAAGAGTGGACCTATGAAAACATTATTCAAAATGCCTACCTAAACATTCACTTTTTGTGGATACTACGTGTGTGTTCCTTCAATCTAGTGAGGATTTGTATCTGACCAAAGTCTACAATTGTGTCAATTAACGTGGCCATTTAACTGAAATGTTGCTTCATCTGAAAATACTACATTTGATAGATAGTTAGGATCTTCGGCTATTTTTTTCATCATCAAATCACAAAATTCAATGCGCCTATCAAAATCATCTTCATTTAGCTCTTGTATAAGATGGATCTTATAAGGATGAAATTTATTCATTTTCAATATTTTAAGCACAGACATTTGATCTATTTCATGTTGCTGTCCTACTTTGCAGGTCGAATCATGCGGATTTTCGATAAAGGATTGTAGAACATCTAATGATTTTTCTACACATGTTGCTGATACTGGCCTACCTGGTATTGCACGATTTTTCACACTTCCAGTTTCCTGAAAACGCTTTATCGTTCTTTCAACGGTAGATTTTGAAATGACATTACTATTTACGAAAAGTTTCATTAAAAAGCCGCCTCACATCATTGTTGACCTTAGTCGATCATCCCATCCTCTCATCATCAAAAGAGATATGTGTCCTCGTTCTGAAAGACTTGCCATATTGACAAGCAGAAGTGCTAAGATTTAGTCTAATCGACTAAATTAATATTTGGATCAATTCAAAGTCTAAAAATTCTAAAGACAGTGCTGAAGAATAATAATGAGCAATGAAGTGCAATTAAGTCAGCTTAAAATTAGCTTCAAACTGTTTCTTAATAATTTTCAAAAAAATAGAGAAATTTCAATCGAGTTTGCGATTCACTAAACTGTAATGAGTATTAAATGAGTAAATGGAAGAAATAAACATCGAACAGCAGAACAGTTCAAATAAATAAATAACTGAAATAAATCAATCAACGAAATTAAGACAAGCCAATAGGAGCCAACGCCTGGAAGTTAGTCGCGCAATTATTTTTACTAGTTGGCTGGATCATCCTCCGATCTTGTCTTAGTTGGCTGGATCATCCTCCGATCTTGTCTTAGTTGGCTCGATCACTCCGACCTTGCTTTAGTTGACCGGATCATCCTCCGATCTTGCCTTAGTTGGCCGGATTATCCAACGACCTTGCCTTAGTTGGCTAGATATCTTACTTTAAAAAACTCGATAACTTCGGAACAGCTTATTCAAATTGGATAAAACCATAGTGCTTTGAAAAGGTCTGAAGAAGAGCTATAAGAATATACAATAAAAAATTAGGAGTTCCATTTAAAAAATCCGAGGTGACTTTGTTCTGACCTTGATAACGCCACCCGAGGTCAAATTGTTAAGATCGATAAATAGATCTTTTTCAACACTACAACTTTTGTCTGAAACATTTTTTTATAAAGTGTATATTTTTCGAAATTTTCAGGGGTCCCGGGGTTTTTTCTTCACCCTGTATGTGTAAAGTTTTTAGCGCTCATTATGAAATGAATATATAATAATAATTATGTGGCTGAAAAGTTTTGCACGCCACTGTAAATATAGTGTTTCATAACTGTTAAGTAGGAAACGATAATGGATGATGGCAAAAGTTGTGAGACCAACTTACAATCATATCCATCAGACGATTACATATTCAATCAGTGCATACACATATACAGTTTTCAGTCCAGGTTTTCAAGTTTATAGTTCAAAGTTTACAGGTTTAATGTGAATGCTCTTGAGGTTTTTGGGCTATAACGGCGCAGGGTTTGGAATTCATCATGTTATATTAAAATGGCCGTAACTTTGCAAGGAAAAATCGTAGATGACCATTCGACAGCTCATTTTGAAGGGAAAGAGTAGTACTAAATGATGCAATTAGAAGAAAAGAGCTAAAAATGTCGTGCGTCCTATACATAATCGCAAAAGTAGCCCAAAATGTCATTTTTCGAGTATATAATCTCAAATATCTCAAAATCCTGACGTAATGGGCCAATTCTGACCTCGGATGCGGATTCTGCGCAAAAAATTACTTGGGAAACGACCCCCAGCTGCCCAACAACAATCATGATCCCATTTTTTGTAGACTTGTGTAATTATTGTTAGAATGACAAATTTAATACGCCATCATACAGGGTGTCTTAAAAATACTAGAACCCCTGGATAACTTTGCAGGATCAAGTTTTCATGAAAAAGTAAGGAATCCTTATTTTTTATTACACTGCTTTTTCTACCAATTAATTTGAACAACTTTTGACTAAAACATTTTTTATTTGCCTAATATTTTTTGAGATAATTGAGGAAAACTTGATAACTTTTTTAATATTTAACTTACGATATCTTGTTAACTATTTGTCGGAAGAAAAAGTGGTACTAGACTTTCTTTTCTTGCTTTAGTTAGTCTTAAGAATATATTGTTACAATAGTGCCCTGATGTTTGTTAATTTGATGATTTTGAAATTTCCAAAAGTTAGTAACATTACTTCGTGTAATGGGGTTAATTTTGAGTTAAGTCTCTGTCGTACACTCACATCAAAGCAAAGGAAAGGACAATTCTGGCTTTGTGTACCGTGATCGTTATCAAGTACGGTTGTTGCAACTGCACTAGATGCGTGGAAAGCATTTTCCAGAGCCGTTCCTCAAGTCGATCAATACAAGAACAAGCTAACTGCGAACTAAATTTGCCTGTTCAGGAAGTATGCTCGAGCAAACTGCATACAATCGTAAACATGCAATGAGACAGCTGCAATAAAGAATACAACAATAACGTCACATTTATTTAAAATCTGTGAAATATCATTATTTCCACCTTATTACGTTCTCGTCTCGTTGTTTTTCTCCAATCTCTTCCTTTCCCTTCTTTTTGTGTTTGCCCTTTTGATACCTTTCACATGCGGGATGCCATAACACCACGAGATCCCGTCTAATACAAAAGTCACATAGTCGGGCACTAATGACACACAGTCGATAATCTTAATTAGTATCATTATATATCAGCATGTGAGTATTAATGAAAAGTGGAACAGTTAGACAAAGACAAAGTACAAGATTCAGATTGATCTGTTTTAACCATAATTCCAGCTGTGTCGTCTGATCGCTCGTGTCTCCCATTCGAGTCTCCCATTGCACTTTCGCTCCGCATTCGCCAAGTTGGTTTTCAGTTTAGCTTATCTGTAACGGGAATCCCGTGATACAAACTCACCTCGGACTCACCGCGAACCGCGGAGTGTCATCGAGTTAATTGGCGGCTCAATATCGCATCATTCGAAGGAGAGAAGAAGCAAAAGATGCGGCTGCTTAGAGAAATATGTAAGTTCTTTGTGACCGCACCGCTTGCGTCTGTTTTGCACACAAGAGCAATCTTTTTTCCAAAATTATTGTATTAGTTCGGTACATTGTAGCATAATTTAAGAAAATATGGGAATTAGCAATTTTTTATTTATTTACACCACTTTGAACCAACTTTCTCTCTAACACGAAAATTCGCGAAAAATCTTTGACAGGGTTTTTTTTGCTTTCAAGTCATACAATTATGCAAGTCGCAAATTTAGATTACCTAACGGTTCAAGTGATATGGAAATTTATACGAAATTTGCTATTTCTACGAACAACATTCTTAAACAGTACTATGAAATTTAAACATTTGACAATTCATCGCGATAAGAAAACAATTGTTGCATTCCCTCGGTATAATCTTTGCACAATTTTTGAAATTTCAGCATAATCTAGCATAATTAACGAAAATATAGAATTTGCAAAGTGGAGGAAAAGTTTATATAAATCGCATACAGTACGTTTCGTTCACAGAGATCTAATTTACTTTCGCTTTTCTTATATATGTGTTCCAGATATCCCGAAATTGTAGTGTTAACTACACCTTTACTAAATTGATCTGAAATAAAATTTATGCCTAATACGCGATATTTCGATGTGATGCTGTTTTCGCCAAGATATAGGTAAATTGCACGTCTGGTTAGTGCTAGTTGTGCGGGTACAATATTATTTATATCTAGTCTGTCATTAATAAATACGAAATATAAGGAGAAGAGGAGGAAATTATTAGCAAGGTTTATTTTACTAATTGTCAAATATTAGTATTAATATAATTATGATTTATAACAAATATTAGTATTAATATAATTATGATTCATTAAACGTACCGTATGTACGTGATTAACTTAAAATAACAACCTAGAATAAACTTAAAATGAACAAGTGAACAAAGATCTTACATGTCGTACGGTCTGCTGCCCCACATGTGAGCGAAACTATTGACACTCCACACACTGTGCCACCCGAATATATGACGAAAGAAATGCAATTTCATGGACATTGGCCATGTTTCGTTCCACCCGTAAACGGGCATCATAATCGGTATCATTATGCCGAAAATTGTATGTAGTATCCACAAATGCCTGCGGAAATAGATAAAATTACAACATTAAAGATAATTTCTCAATGATATTAAATTGATATTCAGATGGACAGGTTCTGTATCCAAGAAATACCGAGAAAAATACGATGAAATTCAATGTATCTAGATTCATTCTCTTTTACTTGTCAGGCATTAGATTATAACAGGTTATATGCTATGTAAACGGACGAAAACTCACTTATCAGCGAACATAACGAGAGAATCCGCCTTAATGTCGCTTATATCCATTTGTTGACCTTTTTTGATAACCTCTGGATACTTTTTTACCATCAACCACCCGACGTGAGAGAAGAAGAATCCCCGATTGCTGTTGTATGGATCTGCATTTGTTTCCGTGAATTTGTGGTGTGTCCGATGATCTCGGACCCAATTGCGGATAGAGATCTAAGCAAGAAAACTATCGTAAGAAAAATATTATTTCGTTTTATTTCTATTACGTCTACTTTTTCCTCTTTCACTTTTTATGTACAGCGCCAAATTTAGGCAGCTATATGTTTACCTGGCCAGCTACAATATAGCAAAAGACAAGTATGATTCTAAGTGGCAATTTTGCTTTGAAAGTTCGATGTGTCCAGTATCGATGAGCACCAGCGGTAAAGCCCATCGCTTGAATTACGTGAATCAAGATATCTTGAAGTAAAATACATCGAATGTATTAATTATCATTAATTCTAAGCAATGAAATTCTACGCAATGTAGTCAACAATCTATCTAGCTATTGTCTCACACGTAACGATCGAAGCGTCTTATCTCCTAAATTGTACTTACACCAAAAGACTGTCTTGATATCCATTGTAAAGTCGATAGTGACGAGACTGTACAATGCACTTAAATGTACAAAACTTATTATTGCAACATTGTGCCACTTCACATTTGGTAGATAATTTATCCATTCTTCAATCGCTGAGTGCGAACTATTTCCTCTATACGTAACATGTTTATTGTCTATTACTGACATAACCGAAGGAGCTTTCTCTTGTATTCCAACATTGGCGTTCAAAGTGTCGGATGTCATCGTAAGTTCGTCTTGCCGTCTTTGCTGGGATGCGCCACTATCGTTTCCTGCTTAATAATCGATGAATTTATCCGCTTTATAACGGAAGTTGCATGCATGTGGTTTTGTTTCGTATGTTTCATTATTTATAGAATTTATTTCAAGCTTATATTGATATTCAAGCTTATAATGGCCGAAAATCGGTAACATTTTTTCTATACATTCACTTACAGTATATTTTATTAATAACGTTGCATATTCCTTGGTAATGATGCTAAAGACGGAATTACATTTTTTAAACAGATTATGCTAAATTTACTACCTCATAACATTAAATTAAAAGAAATTGATGGATAACACGTAATAAACATATGATCGATCTTAGTCATCAATTAGTGCGTCAAATAATTATTGTTAGAATGATGAACCTATTACATCATCATATATTTTTGAATACATCGCGTTATCATGTCGTACGTATTATTATTCTATCGCATAGTGTTAATATTATTATCAGTTGCAATAATATTAGCAAAAATTGTCGTGTAGAAAATTCTTGATACATTTCTGCACCATTTATTCTTCGAGAATTAATTTCGGAAGAAAATTGTCGCCACTGTAAACTTTTAATATTTCATATTTATTACTTGTGATATTAGATTTTGTGGTTGAAAAAAGCAAACAGATATAATGACCTAAGAGCCAATAGTGAATGTTTTTGAAAATAAATGGCAAATTTCTCATTCATGGAAGTGGAATCGAATCGTTCTCGTCTCTTTGGTAACGTACTTACTATCGTTATTCGTATCGTTATATTTGTATCTCTTATTGCTTGTGTGGTGCTCCTGAAGTTTTAGGAAGTACATATGTTGAAAGGCGAACTGCCGTCGTGCGACTAGCTTAGCCATAAATACATTGTATTTAAAGGTGATGGAAGTCGTATTCCATTTTGTAAATGCATTCTTTGTAATGATATGCAATGATTGAATTTGTAATCGTCTGATGGATATGATTGTAAGTTGGTCTCACAACTTTTGCCATCATCCATTATCGTTTCCTACTTAACAGTTATGAAACACTATATTTACAGTGGCGTGCAAAACTTTTGAGCCACACAATTATTATTATATATTCATTTCATAATGAGCGCTAAAAACTTTACACATATATATAAACAAAATGTATTTATTTGTCCTACAATTATATAAATTTTACAAACCCTTAATAATTCTAAATATTTCATTTTTACACAATATCTTATTACAAACAGTGCAAAAGAATTGCGCCAAACAGTTTTCTTATGCATAAGAAAAATATATTATTAAAAAATAATAACAGAGAATGTTGTCAACGTTTTTTTAAACTTAATATTTTGTTGCCATGCCTTTAAAAGCAATCACTGCAGCACAACTGCGAGGCATTGATGCTATTAAATTAGAAATGCGATCTTGAGATAAATTTTGCCATTGAGTTTGCAAATTTTGCCACAATTCAACTTTATTGGAGTGTTTCTTATTTCCTATACGTAGTTTGAGTTCTTGCCACAAATGCTCAATAGGATTCAAGTCCGGCGATTGCGAGGGCCAGTCAAGAACTCGCATTTTTTTCGCGATAAAAAATTCTTTTATTAGTTTTGATGAATGTTTGGGATCGTTATCTTGTTGGAAAATCCAACCACGTGGCATGTTTCGAGTTGCATATGACAGCATATGCTGTGTCAATATATCTCCGACGGATCCTGTCGGCCTACTTTGGGGACAGGGACCTCGCCTTCCCAAAGGAGGGTGGGATCCAGGGCCGGCGCATAATGGAACGCGGTGTTCCGCAGGGGTCGGTTCTCGGCCCCCTGCTATGGATCATCGCGTTCGACCGGGTGTTGCGCACGCCGCTCCCCCCAGGCTGCTATGTCGTCTGCTACGCGGACGACACTTTAGTGGCGGCCGTGGGGAGGAGCTGGGGGAAAGCCCGCCTCCGTGCGGAGACGGCGGTGGCATCGGTGGTGGGTATCATCGGGGGCCTGGGTCTCAAGGTGGCGCCCCAGAAGACGGAAGCCGTGTTCTTTCACGACGGAAGTCGAGGGGCGCCGCCGAAGACACGGGTCCTAGTCGATGACGTCCACATCCGCGTCGGGCCGACAATAAAATATCTCGGCCTGACGTTGGACAGCCGTTGGGGCTTCGGGCCTCATTTCAGGCTCCTGGTCCCCAGAGTGCGCAGGGCAGGGCTGGCAGTCGCCAGTCTCCTGCGCAACCATGGGGGCCCGGAATGGAGGATTCGTCGCCTGTACGTCAGCGCGGTCCTCTCGATCGCCCTGTACGGGGCGCCAATATGGGCGACTCAGCTGCGGGCGTCCAGAGTTGGGATCGCCCGTATGCGGGCCGCCCTGAGGCCCCTGTACATAAGGGCGGTCAGAGGATTTCGGACGCTGTCGTACATGGCGGCGACCACCCTGGCCGGGTCCCGTGGCAGCCTGGGGGTCCCGTGGAGCTCATCGCTGAGGAGCGCTCCATCCTCTGTTGGAGGGTGAAGGAGCTCCGCGAGGCGGGGGAACTATCGGCCAGGGACCTACGGGGCCTGAAGTCCCAGGCCAGTGCCCGAACCCTGGAGATGTGGGGCGACTTTTTGTCGGACCCACGGGGGTTCGGACGTATAACGGCCGAGGCTGTTCGCCCCTGCCTGCCACAGATGGCGGGCAGGAGGAGATGTGGAATAACCTTCCATCTGGTGCAGGTGCCGACGGGCCATAGGTGTTTTGGCAAGTACCTGACCGGATCGGTAAGGAGCCCATCTCCCAGTGCCCCGTGCTAATGGACACTATACTCTGGCCGCTTGTCCGGCCTGGGGAGTGGAGCGTCGTGTCCTGGCCGGGGTGGTGGGGTGTCGGGAGGAGGAGATCTCGCTCCCGCGCATGGTCCGGGCCATGTACGGGAGCGAGGGGGTATGGGAAGCGGGGGTCTCCTTGTGCAAGGACGTTCTGTCCCAGAAGGAGATCGCCGAGTGGGAGCGTCGATCGGGGATCCGTCGCCCTAGATGGCGTAGCGGTCGGCGTTCCCCGGGAGGGGGGTCTAGGTAGCGGGCCCGAAATGACATCGGCCGAGGAGGACGAGGGACCTCTGAACAACAGGGAGCCAGATCCTCCTCGGCCGCCTCGGGCCCGCCTCCGAACACGGGGGGACCCGGGGGGTCCGGATAGGGCGGGTCCGCGAAAGGACCCGACCCAGAGTGGATCCCCCTGATCCTCCCCGTGCATCGGACAGGTAGGGACAGGGGGGAGTGGAACACCCAGTTGGGGCTGGGCCCACTCCCCCAAAATCCTCCCCTCCCTGATTAACAGGGGGGAGGTAAGGAGGGAGGGTGGATGTCCCCTCTCTCCTAGGTGACACCAGAAGGCCAACCGGCGAGACAAACCCGCCGGGGACCGCGCCCTGGATTCCCTTGGTGGAACAGGGCGCGGTACACGGAGGCGTGGGGTTCCCTAAGAGCCCTGGGGCCGGGAGGTTGGGGAGGGAATGCGGGAGCAGTTCCCCTGACTCCCCATCCAACGACCCGGCAAGTAGACATCCCGCAGGGGTTTTAGTCAGTAGGAGTCTGACATAACCCTCGGCTCCCCCAAGGGCCGAAGGTATCCATGATGGATTTCCCCTGCGTGACCAAAAAAAAAAGAAATGTTGTGTCAATATATCTCGATATATTATAGCGTCCATAGTATCCGTGATCTCAACCAATGGACCAACTCCATTATAAGAAAACCATCACGTTATCTCCACCATATTTTACGATAGGAATTTGGTATCTTGAGTTATATCTTGTGCCTGTTGGACGTCGTATATACTTTCTACCGTCACTTCCGAATAACTGAAACTTTGACTCGTCAGAGAAAAGTACTTTTCGCCAATCAACTTCAGTCCAATATTCAAATTTCCTTGCAAAATCTAATCGAGTTTTCTTATCTTTTGCACTAATTAATGGTTTTTTTTACACCAGCACGTCCTAAAAGGTCTATTTCTTTTAGACGTAGTCGAGATATTGTACTTCGACTAACATCAGCAAGATTTCCACCTCGTAGTTCTCGAGAAATATCCATGGCAGTTTTTCTAATATCTGCTATCGACTTTCTTTTAATTATTTTATCGACGCGCTTTGTAGTTTTGCAAGGTCTATCGTTTCGTGGTTTATCAGCTAAAGAGTTCGTCAACTTATATTTAGCAATAATCCTATTTGCAGTACTTTTATCAATTAATAAGCAATTAATAATTAATTAGCAATTTCGCGAGAAACCTTTCCTTGTTGAGAAAGATTAATCACGGCTTTACGTAACTGAAAGCTTGTATGTTTCGGCATTGCGGTAGACAATAGACTGAAACTTAGTTAAAGCAAATATTTACGAAGGAGTTTCATAAGAAACGTAAACAAACCGGGCTCATAAAGTCACAACAAGATTACGGCTCAATACTTTTGAACACATGTAAATATTATATGACTAAATAATTACATACTATGTAATTTCAAAATTTTGTAACTGTACTATTATTTGTAAGAATGTTATGTCAACTATTTTATATAATTAATTTTTAGAGTAAATCAATATATTGTCATGTATCTTAAAAAGATATTATGGCTCGAAACTTTTACACGCCACTGTATTTATACTTTACTACTGTATTTACTGTATTTATTTATATTGCAACTTGCATTCAGATAATTTTGTTGTGTATGTGAGAATGTATTTCAAACTTTTAATGATAGTATACATATAGGTACAGTAGCCATTGATAATAGCAGTAAAATGGATAAAATAATATGTAATTTATGTCAAATATGTATTTGTTATTGCAGTTTCTGTTACAAACGTAATGCAGATTTCGTACAGTTACTGAATGAAATTTAAATGTAACGCGTTTCCTGCAGTTACTATGTACGAAGGATGCGCAAAATCTGAACCCATTTAATGAATGCAAAGAGGACAGTGAATTTTACATCCTAAGTTTTTATCAGTACCAATGGTAAGTACATAAATAAGAAAAATATTTAAATTTGTATAATTCGAAATATAAATGTTGTGTACACAAGTATAGGATTAAAATTTCGTTTGGTTGCATGATGTGCACATAGAACAGAGTTTGATATCGCGTAATATCGCTCTTTTCTACTCTCTCTTTTGGGGACATAGATTCAATAATGTTTATACAATAATATGAGGTAGCAGAAATTTCCAAGAGCAAATTTTCAAAAGATACATAAATTACAATAATTAATAACTCGCTTCCTGATCGATCATTGAATTTTGCTTCTGCTTGCTCAACATTTATGTCCGAAATTTATTACAATGATAGTCTTTTATTCGCGAAGCCACTGTTATGTTATTAGTACTAAACTTGTCTCGGGTCATGTATGCTGTTTTAATTATTAGGCTATATGAAATATGCGTAACTTGTATCAACAAATACCTATTTCAGGGAAAGCTAAATATTGATGAAAATCGTGCGATTGAGTACTGTGATTGAAAATTAATCCCGTTGCACGGAGAGTACGGAATACAGTACAATAACGTTACGAACGACTCGTCGCAGTGGGCGACCAATCACAGAAAAAGTGGATGATATTCTGGCAAAAGTCGAATAAGACCGGCATGTAAGCAGTCATGACATCGCCAATGATCTAAACATCCAAACAGTGTTAAATCATTTGGAGAAACACAAAACCTGGCTACAAAAAGAAGCTCGATGTTTGGGTGCCACATGATCTGACTCAAAAAAATCTACTCGATCGAATTTCTATCTACGAATCTCTGCTGAAACGAACGAAATCGTGCCCTTTCTGAAGC